AGAGGTCAGCCAGCAGCTGGCAGAGGCAGTTGGCACAAAAACACTTGTTTAACTTGGATTAAACCGTGTTGTTTGTTTCAATACCAAACAGTTCCCATATGTATTATTTTGTTTTTCATGTTGACGCTTCATGAAATAAAACAAAAAGCATTCTGTTTTATTTACTTTAGTTTGTACTATTGTTTAAATAGATTTTTTTACGCGATAGGTATTATTATCGAATTACAACGATGAGAAATGTTTCGCTTCAATGGATAAGGTATCGATTACAATACTGTCAAGTTGTCTAGATAAATATTGATCTTTTTATCAATATAAATAGAAAATAACGTCATAACTTAGTATGATTCATTCTTAATACAATTCTATTACAAAAAACTACTAAGAAAAATATGCTGGTAATTAAGGTTGTAGTGATATGAACCTCTTTATTAGAACTGCCTCGCATCAGGCCCTAATTAAGACAACGCAAGCCTCTTAAGGTATTGGTCGAGGGTGTCTGTGTTAGTCTATGAATGCATATGACAAATACTACACAATGTATAGCAGTAGTATGAAGAAAAGCAAACACTTTTTATTTAAAATTAATGTGTAGGTATTACAAAAGTTAAGCAAAGTATTTTTTTTAATAATAGGGAATATGCATGTAACTCCAAAATGGATAAAATATATTCATTTCTAAACTTTATTGTCTAAGTCAATTTTCACTCTACGTCTTCTGTCAACAAGTTGTTTGTATGGTTTCTAGACTTTCTGGTGATTATTTTGTATTGTTTTGCGGTTGTTTCATTTTTTTGTGATAAAGGGGCAGGGCGAGCAGACGGGACACCTGATATAACGTTATTAGTTTTCTGTGTAAAAGTATTAAATCCTTGTGAAGAAAGACTGAAACTACTGTGTTAGATATTGTAAATATAAATATTTTAAGTACTAGCCGAACATATTTTGTGGCTTATTATACACATACATACAAGACTTATATAATTGTCAATATAGTCATGAAATATATTGTTGTAATGAAACTAATAAATCTTTACGAACTTTTACTTTTCGTTGACTACGGTTCGCTGTTCCGCCAAAAGTTTGTAAAAAAAATATGTGTAACTAAGTAAAAATGATTTTCGCAACAGTATAAACAGCTCTTACACGATACATTGTGTCTTCTCATCGCCTTGCACCTTTTTCCTTGTACGCCCTAACGCCATTTTCCTTATACCTGCATCTTTCGGCATAAGGTAATACCTATACTTTGTCAGGTGCAGTTTGATGTTGTTTTGGCACGTAGAAAAGACTCAATATTTATAATAAACTTTTCTGTGCTTTGTCGTGGTAATAAGTTGATTTTATCACTCAGTTTTTTAACTTTTAGTAACTTTGTGAAACACTTCGTTGTTGACATCGAACTCTCTGTAATCTTACGTCACAGAATAAGCGCGCCAAAATGGCCGCGTTTAAGTCGCCCGAAAATGATGGTGATTTTTATATTTCTTTATCTCAATGGTTTATATTTTGAGTGTGTTATATTTATTTTTAGTAATGTAATAACTAGTAGAAACGTTTAAAAAAATAAAAAAGACATTCATATTCCCTATTGTTCATATTTCGCATCGTCAGTAATAAAGTGATGTAACTCAACTAATATAGTTTGTGGGCAATTAACATGTAATTCTTCAAATAGAACCTTCTATAAGTGAATAATATCATAAACAGAAATGACCGATGTACGGATGAACGAACTTTTTTTTTCTCGACAAGGTTTTTAGGACATTTTAGGTGTTGGTTACTTTAGGAGTTAAGAAAACACAAAATTTACACCTAACATACTTTCATTCTAAGGATGTGGCGATTTATACAGGTTGTTATAAAATTTAAGAAGCTCTATGAGATGCCAGCATAGCTACAGCAAAGCTACAATTAGCTTTAAAAATATTGATTTTAAATTGGGAAAGTGGTTTTTCCTTTCGCCACCTTCGCCTCAATTATTACTACATATGGGAATTAATAGTTTTACAAACGTCATGCAATTCCTGACGTCTCGACCTATTATTACGTTAATTCCCGTTCATCAAGGACAGTGTTATGGTGCTACGATAGTTGACGGCGATATTATAGGACATACAATAAATATTATTAGCATCTAATAATTAAAAAACCATACTTGTGAACCATAGATTAAAAACTTATAATGGCAAAAAGTAGTAAAAGAAAATAGTTATGGCACCTTAACGCAAAAAAAAATTAGGTTAGCAAAACGCAAAAAAACAGAATCTAGTGTCTTAAGTAAAACGACGATAAATAAGTAAAAATTAATTATTACTAAACTACTTAAACGGCATTTCCACACTAGGTACATCACTATTTAAACGTCAAAACTTGATGATCTTATCAAGATATTTTGTTTTAACACTTTTTAGACTTACGATTCAGATCCGTTTCACGCATAATGTATATAATCCAAAAATATGTATATGTATGCATATAGCTGAAAAGAACATGCTATATGATACTGTCATAGCATTAAAAAGGTTCAAATAAAAAAAATAGCTCCACAAACATTACCTGTAGTGCCAACAACCGTGGGAAAAGATGCAAAAGTACAAAAAAAGTGCATTAAATGATAACAGTCACACAGATGCAGGCAAGATTCGTATTCAAATTAGAGATATATTTAAAGTAAAACAATACCAGCAACCTGAAACCATATCACTGATAGTCCAATAAGGTACAGTTTCTTTACTGTTTAGAAAATCAAGCCATTATAACTGATAAAAAAATTAGGCCTGACCTTGTAATCTATGGCTTTCATGTCTCAAACTAGAAAATACTCGATTGAAAAACAAAAATGTTTAAAAAGAAAGTTCTTCAAACCCAGCCAAAGATTTAATAGCGTTTTTTTTAGTGTTGCCAATCGAAATAACAGCAGGTAACCTAGTTGGATTTAAAGACTAAAGGTAACTCAAGTACGGTCAAAGTGACGTAATAAAGTGAAAGTTTTTGCCACTTCAATACATCGCGACAAAAGACTTAATTTTCACGTCAGTAACGAAACTGCTCCTGATGTTTAAGCTACAAACACACAGGGGACGGCGATGATACTAGACACAACTATAATTATATTAAGAATACTAACACATAAAAGGTTTATGCAATGTATTATAATATCACACTACAATTCAACACAGTCCGCTATGAGTTTGTCGCTTTATTTTTGTGCTCGGATCAGGTCCAGAACAGAGTATAGTGTCAAAATGTCAGAATAAAAAAAAACCTCGGATTAGTGATAAAGGAGGTTCATCCATAAATTGACGCAGCTGAAAACCGTCATTGACATTCAGATATAAAATATTGGGTGCGGAACAATTACGTATATATTGAAAAATTCAAACCACCACCTACATAGAGACGAAAGCTTTAAAATTGGGACCAGACAGAAACAAATTAAACAAGGGGACGGATTATAACTAAAATTAAATTAAATTTACTACATACAAGTTACTTTTTTACTTAACGTTACTTTTTTTTACTTTACGTTACTTTTACATGTAATTACATTTACTTTACTTTTACGTGACATGACTTTACATTTAGTAACGTCTAATGTACTCATACCAATTTTAATACATATTAGATTAAGTAAACTTTGACCATTCTTTAATTTTCTTTCAAAAATTCGATTAGTAATAAATTAGTGATGTCTTAATAAGTAACCGAATAGATTAAAATATTTATTTAAGAGGAAGCTTAAACCGATTGAAACAAAAACGAAGGTAATTTTAGATAACAAATCCTGTACTGATTTAATAAATTATTTTACCCATGTTCAATAGACGAAGGGGTTTTTTTTACTAGAATTGTAATACCGTTTAAAATTTTACAGCACATACATTTTTTCCTCTTACTGTGTACATTTTACAGCGTAAAACGAGAATCATTTCCTTTAAAAAAATTACATTTACCTACAAGTGGTAATAAACAGTAAAATATAATGAAAATACTTATTTTTTATCCTTTTTTACATTACCATGTTGCGACACTGGTCGCGATATTATTTTTTGTAATTAACTTTGATCATTCAATAGCTTCCAGATCAATTTCAAGAGCTAATTTTAAAACAGATTTTCTTTTAATAAAGGTAATTAAGTTTAACTCAAAAATTTGAGACAAAGTAATTATTTAAACCAATGAAACTAGTGAACATCAGCGTCCAACATAAATTTGAATGGCAAACAAAGCAAATGTTATTGTATTAATCAGCCTTGTAAAAAAACATTCTAATTGTATTTTTTTTTATGAAATGGCAAAATTTCGATTGTCGATTTTTTTTCTGTTTTCCATATACCTCACTCAACACAAATAAGTGGAATTGTTTGCCCATTCCTCATTTTTAATGACTTTGGCGAAGTTGAATGAATCATTTGTTTGAAGGCTGTAAAGTATGAGTACATTAGCCCATGTAGTACAAAAATACGTCTAACTACCTAGTAAAAATATACTTCTTTACGTATGAATATATTGGAATTAGATTGCTGACCTTGTATGTAATCAGTAGTTTGATTGGTGATAAGAGTGATAAGAAATCTTGGGAAAAATCTAATTATTTTCCTGTAGGCTGTAGTTCTTTTAGATAGTCATAATAACATTTTAACTTCTTTCAAGGACATCAAAGCATCGAAGACTGACAAAACCATTATCTACAAATGGCCAAATTATTTGCCAAGGCCAGGATATTGTCCTATTGCAATCCCTCTTGTAAGCCAGAAACAGTCCGCTCCTTCCTTAGCTGGTTTCTGAATATTTCACCAATGAGTTTTATTGGGCTTGTAATCTTCTGAATAACTGGTTCTTCAGCTGTGCCAGCCTGAACCCGAAATTTGTTTTTTACGATTGCTGGTTTAAAAACGAACGGAAAAAAGATGAGATTACCATAAAATAAGATATAATTATTTCTGATCACCAATCAAACCAGCTAAACTAAAATCCAAAAATAAAAATGAACGAACTTCTAACAACACTGCGTCTATTGTGCCACTCACGATGAGGTCCTCCTCACGCATTTTCTCCGAGTTCTTGCTGGCGGCGCGGAATGTCGCCGCGAGGTACTTTTGCTCTTCTTTGTCCAGAAGTGTACATTTTGCTGCTAACTTCTTGCTTGTGTTACCCATTCTGGAGAAGAAAGTTTATTTTTTATCAAATGCAGAAAACCCAGCAAATATTTTAAAGATGGGAGAGCTATCTTTCGGCATATATGAGCCGGTTCGGCAGGAGTGATACCACGGTCTCACAGGAAAACAGTATTAAGGAATTCTATCATTGCTATTCGCCGAGTGAGAGAGGTTACCGGACCGGAGACCCAAACCTCCACCACCCCCTAATTTTGGGGGATAGGGTCCACAAAGGGTTGCAACGATTTCACTATATTTTTCATATTTCATATTTTTACATACCAAAAACGTATTATTATTAGTGTAGTTACGCACAAATGTCTGCACAAATTAAAGGCAATCTATAAAATCGCCATTAGACTGGCCCTAAGATACGGCGGCGTGTGATTGACTGTAGACTGCATGCCACTGAAATGCGGATGTTGCGCTGGGCGCATTCGAAATACTTACATCCGTGGTAGCTTAAGGGTAAAACCAATTCAAGAAAAGCTAATGGAGGGTCGACTAATATTACGGGCATGGAACGCGTCGCCCACCCGGACACATGACCCGACAAGTGCTCGAACTGTTTCCGGCGCCAAAAAGGCTGAATGAAGAGCCACTATACACAGAGATATGTAAAATTCAAGAGTCCCATCTACGGTGGCCCTGGACAGAGCGTCCGGTCGAACAATAACAATAATAGGGAGAGCTGATCCCAAGTGATGGGATAAGGCTAGGCGAAGAGAGAGAGAGAGAGAGAGAGAGAGATATGACAGGCATGGGTATTCCTATCCATATTTGTGTATATTAGAGGATGAAAAAAGATCTGTATGATTACGAAACTTATATTCAAGACTTTAAGGCAAATTTTGAAAGGATTGTTTACATTATTATATTTTATTTAATATTTACATTCGCATATATTCCCGACAGAGGGGATTAGACACTTACGTAATCCAGGGCAAGCCTATTGTCATTACTTGTCTAGGATGGGAATTGTACCCACTAAATCTGGTTTAGAAGTCAAGATCGCTAACCACTAGACCAGCAGGCCTGTTCAATCAATATCTGAAGGTTTATATTTTTAAAGATCTGTACATCACTAATCATTATTTATCTTTGTGTCCACTACCACTTTAAATGATTTATTTTTATTTAACTTTATTTGCATAAATAACAAATAATTGTAAGTACAATGGCAGAATTAATGCCACAGGCATTTTCTCCCAGTCTATCCTTGGGTGGTGTGGAAATGTCTGTATAGTTGCATTAGAAATTAAGTTGTGAGGTAAGATTATTTTAGATGTGGAAAGAGAAAACGAGAATCAAAATATTTGAATTAATTATTTTCAAGGTTCTTATAGATTTAGAATAGATTACTTGAATGAGTACAGAACAAAAAGAAAACAAATTTTATTTTAGGACCTATTAGGTTTTAACATTTGTATCGAGTTTACAAATATAGAGAAATAGATAAATTTTATTGCACACCTAAAACAGATAGTCATTATCATAGTCATCATCAACATACCTTTAATAGTAAACTGCTAGACATAGGCCTCTCCTTACAAAGGAGGTTTTGGCCTGGTATACCACGCTGGCTAGACTTTAGTAAACACATAATACAAACTAGAAATTTGTTAAGAAACAGTCAGAAGGGTGGTTTTTATCATAGTATGTGATCTCTTACAGGCAACCTTGGTATTTGGATAAGTCATGGTACCCTAGGACTAGAAAATCTGAATCATCATCATCATCAGCCTTTAACAGTCCACTGCTGGACATGTCTCTCCTTAAAAAGGAGGTTTTGGCCTACTATACCACGCTGGCCAGGTGGGAAAATCTGAATAATACACAAAAATTTTAAAAAGTCTACAATCTGAATAATACACAAAAATATTTTTAAAGTATTTCCTATGTCAAGCTTGGGTTTTTTTTATAATATTGTAACATGAAAATTGTATGTAAATTGTAATGGGTAATTTTTCATTTTAATGCATTTTGAGAAAATTCTATATAATTTTATCTAAGCTGCAATATTTTTAATATTTATATAAATATATGTATTCATATTGCAACTTAAATAAAATGATATTGAGTTAACACATAACCAGTAATCCATTATCATAATACAATGTTGCTATTATTTAAATTGCAGTTAATAACATCAATAATGTTAGTAAATTCTTACGAATATAATAATATTTATTCCATTGTGCATTTACTATACAGATTCATGATTCAAGAAAAATAATACTCATCAAAACCAAACGTCACATGCCCCTACTGTCCTCAAATGTGATTAAAGTTGTGCATTTAAAAAAATCCAAATGTTTATGGCATATTTAAAAACAAAATTTTATAAACTATTTGAAGTTAAAGTTCCTAAAGCTCATAGTTCACTTATGACATAATATTTAATTAATATAAACATTACCTTACAAGTTTAAATTATAATAAAAAAAAGCACAAAAACACTAAACACAAAATTATTTAATTTATTCAGTTAAAACTTTTGTTTCACATACTCTTAACTGTTCTCACATTATTACCAAACTAATATAATATAAATCCGTAAGAATCCATCAGAAAAATAGAATGCAGAAATCAATATTTTTGACAAAACTACAAATTTTAATTAGGTTACCTGTCAACGTCAATGTCAAGTAATATTTTTTAGTTTCCCAGACAATGTAGCGTAGTTTGAAACACGCCACTCCTGCGTGAAACGACTATCGTGCGTCGTCGCGTCGCTGAGACTGCTGGTACACATGACTACTAACTCACGTTAGGTAAGTACCTACATAGTATACGATATACGGCTTATACTAACAGCGACTACCTTATCTCGGTCTGAAAATAATCCACTATAGGGAAAATGTATGTAGCCTACCATGATTTTTGATGATTTAAGAAAGATTTTATTGCCTGTCTATTCTATTATTTGTTAATTTCCTTTATTCTTGTAGTCCATTTTTTATTCTACTATTCTTTATTCTATTATTTATCTTACTCTAGACATCTATTAATAAAAAAAAATGTTGGTTTGTGTACCTACGCTTCAAAAACTCAAAAAGATCTGACCGAGTTCTATACTGATGGTTCGTTTCAAAGATAGTTTTTAGATGTTTTTTGCAACCACAATACACCACAGCTAAGCGTGACAGGGTACGGCCAGTATAATTTAAAACCCACAACATCATACGTAAGTCGTAATGAGCATGCAAGGGTGCTAGACTACGAGTTCATATTATTTCAGTTGAAATAAAGAATGAAAGTCATGATCTACTTTTATTTCAAATAAAAAAAAACATAAGAAGATGATGCTGTAACCATAATAACATTTGATAGTTTGGGATTGGATTTTATGCTTATTTAAACATCATTAGCTGTAGATTGAAGTATAACCATTTTCAAGTTCTGGCCAATTTTCGTTTTGTAGCTCTTGTTGCCGAATTAAATCAATCCTCCTTAGGCTCGCATAGTGACGGTTAGATTGATAGATCCTGAAATATTCAGTATTCTCTCAAACGACTATTCACTACTTATATTTCTTAAGTAACCGAAGGTCTTTTGTCACATTTTCTTGCAAAACTTAATTAAAAACCATTTGGTTCCTCACCATATTAGCGTGAAAATCGTCCACACAGTAGATAAAAGTGCCAGTACCGTATATGCTTGAACAGATTTAGTAACTGTGTCATTATTTAAACGTACAGACACTTGTCTGTGTAACAAAAACAACATATGCAATTGGGCCGGAATGCTCATAGCTGTAGAAACAAGTTTCATTCTTGGGAACAAAACACCAGGCAGTAAGCTACCAAGAGACATAAAACCAAAGAGGGACAGAGTTAATATTATACATTTCGATGCATTGGATGGATATAATGCACAGCCAATCAAATAACTCCAGTGTGCCAAGGTTCCCATACGCACGACCCATAATAATTTCAAAACGAATGTTCCTAGCACGATAAACGCTATAGTCAATAATAATGTGATCATAGTTATTTTTTTAGCTTGTAAACGATATTGTTATTTGAAAGGTTATTCATTATAGATAATTATTATTGCAAACGATACATGTTTCATTGAAGTTCCGTCCTTATGTTTTAAATCCAGTTGTGATTTAAAGAAACGATAAACATGATGCATGGGCTATTGATATTGTTCTCATTGACTGGAATCAGTTTTTTGAGGAACAAACATTTTTCTTTAGTATAATGGCTCCATCGTTTACCAGTGGTTCTGCCAATCCACGTGAATATGCTTTAACCCACAAGACATAAATATGTCATTTTCTAGATACTTATATTGGAGAGAACAAAAATCGAAGAAAATGTAGAAAAACAGTGATAGAGCCGAATATTAATGTCAAAAGAACATATTGTTGATGTTGTAATTTTTTTCCCACCAACGGAGGTATTATACCAGGTACTAACCTGGTATAATACCTCCATGGTTAGGTATACTATCTACCTACTAAAGTACGTACAGATCCTTAGAATAGAGGTTTGGCCTACTATGCCACGCTGGCCAGACGAGTTTTTATAGGGTTTGTTTTAAGTTTTCCTTCTCATTGCAGTGCTGTTGTCCTGCATTGTTTGCTCCTTAAGTCGGCTCTAACGATACCAAAACAGATAAAAGATGAATAAGGGTTGTGACACTGTGTACTCTTAATCCGTCACAACATGAATACAAAATATTACTAGAGTGAAAGGTACGCCGATGAATTCATAATTACATAATTACAAAGAATTCCTAATTATAATATGGATGTCCGTACAAATCGCCCTCATAAATGAATGAATAAGATGAAGCTAATATTCTGTATATTTAACAAAAGGGATGTCGATGGTGTGTGCACTTTTTCTGAAAATATCTGAAAAAAATAAACGAAAGTACCTACTAATAAAGTGTACAATGTTTTAATGGGCACAATGTACTTACACCAGGAAAACCATTTTAAATTCTAAATTAGCTATTTCTACTCTGAATGTTCATGATAAATCAAAAGCTTTTTCTTAGAACTGTACTTGTAAAACACTTACACCTTAATATTGTGCGTTAACTAGTACGTTACTGTAGACCAGGGACTCTTTAAGTGGTCGACATCGACCCCTTGGGATCTAAATCGATTTCCCAGGGGTCGACACAAACGAAAACTGATTTTGGGGGTCTACGAAGTCTACTAATCGACCATCAGTATTAACATAAGTTCTTATTTGAATTAAATTTGAAACTATCAAGATTATTAGTTGTGTGTGGTTAGTGATCCTGACTGCTAAGCCGGAGGTCGTGGGTTCAAAGTGCTCACTCACAAATAATTATTGTGTGATGAGCACAATATTTTTTTCTGTGTCTGAGTATTATTTACTTAATTAATAATAATATTGTATGTTGAAATATTAAGGTATGCTTATCAGCAGTTTACTTACCATAGGACAAGCTCTGCTTGGTTTGGAATAAGACTGTCGTGTGGGAGATGTATGAAACTATTATTATTATATTATGGCCACACCGATATTTGCTTTCGAGCTTTGTTCATGAATATTCTCGATTCCCAGTGTGGTCATATAAAAAATTTAGATTTAATCTAAAAACGAAGGAGTACGTTTAGTATTTTAAAGTATTGGAGTCATTGTAAATTATTTCGTGTTACATTATTCCTTTTAGTCTTTGGAATATCTTTTTAAGTTGAAATTTGAATAGAATAAGATTTGGGTAATAATTTATAGACACCTTAATTAGATTAATTTTTGTGTTTAAGTTTATAATAGTAGATTTTTCAATTTAGGTGGTCACACGTCACCGTGACTCGAGAAAATGTTGTCTGCGGCTAAAAGTGGAAACTGATTATTGTATTTTGATACAGTCTTTAATTGCAGTTGTGTAAAATAGATCGAGTCATTGAATGCAGCTAAAATAAAATATCAGGATGACTCTAACTAAAATGGAGGTGGATTCGGGCAAGGGTGAAGGGTTTCGGCCGTACTATATAACAAAGATCGAAGAACTCCAACTGATTGTTGCGGAGAAGTCTCAAAATCTGCGCCGTCTGCAAGCCCAGCGTAATGAGCTCAATGCTAAAGTACGTATGCTTCGTGAAGAATTACAGCTCCTGCAGGAGCAGGGCTCGTATGTTGGGGAAGTGGTCAAACCAATGGATAAGAAAAAAGTATTAGTCAAGGTGCATCCAGAAGGTAAATTCGTTGTTGATTTAGACAAGAACGTAGATATCAACGATGTAACAGCGAACTGTCGCGTTGCTCTCCGCAACGAGAGCTACACCCTGCACAAAATACTTCCTAACAAAGTAGATCCCTTGGTGTCTCTCATGATGGTTGAAAAAGTGCCTGACTCAACTTACGAAATGGTGGGTGGCTTGGATAAGCAAATCAAAGAAATAAAAGAGGTAATTGAGCTGCCAGTGAAACATCCCGAGCTATTTGATGCTCTTGGTATAGCTCAACCTAAAGGTGTATTGTTATATGGTCCACCGGGAACTGGTAAGACGCTTTTAGCTCGTGCTGTAGCTCATCACACTGAGTGCACATTCATAAGAGTGTCAGGATCTGAACTGGTGCAAAAGTTTATTGGTGAAGGTAGCCGAATGGTCAGAGAACTCTTCGTCATGGCTCGGGAACATGCTCCATCAATTATTTTCATGGATGAAATTGACTCAATTGGATCTTCCCGTATTGAATCTGGCAGTGGAGGAGATTCAGAGGTACAGAGAACTATGTTGGAATTGTTGAACCAGCTTGATGGCTTTGAAGCCACTAAAAATATCAAAGTCATAATGGCTACTAACAGAATTGACATCCTTGACCCTGCTTTGTTGAGACCGGGCCGTATTGATAGGAAGATTGAGTTCCCACCACCAAATGAAGAAGCTCGTCTTGACATTTTGAAGATTCATTCAAGAAAGATGAATCTTACTAGAGGAATTAATCTACGGAAGATTGCAGAGTTGATGCCTGGAGCATCTGGTGCTGAAGTTAAGGGTGTATGCACTGAGGCTGGTATGTATGCTCTGCGTGAACGTAGAGTCCATGTTACTCAAGAAGACTTTGAAATGGCTGTAGCTAAAGTCATGCAGAAGGACTCCGAGAAGAATATGTCTATCAAGAAATTGTGGAAGTAATTCTTTTGATCTAATTTTTATGTTTTAGGAAATTAATAAGATCTTCTTATGTAAAGAGTGTTTTATTTAACACAAAGTTTTCCGATGTCATTTGACCTTTGTAGTAGATCATACACACACACTTATCTTAATAACTGAAGTGGTGGACTAATCACCCACATTGTGTTGACAATGTACTTTTAGTCCAACACAATGGACAAGGAGAGGCCAATGTCCAGCAGTGGTCTATGAAAGGTTGTTGTTGATGATGATAGACAAGCCTTTTGCGGTCAACTGGGGACATATATTTTCAAACCTTTTTAGTTAGTTGCGTTTATCTCCGAAGCAGCACCTTATGAAGGTCCACTGCCATAAAGATTTCCAAAAAGAAACAAATTCAGATGTCTGATTTTAAATAAATGCTTCCGTGTCAGGTGTTCCATTTAGGACAATATGTGAAAAAACTACAAAATAGGGATAGAAAAAGCCTTTATTAGTCATTCTTATTAATACTATGTTAGAAGAATACAATTGTGCTTAATTATAATTTAATATTAAAATTACTAAAACTTATTCATGGAGACATCCAAAATTTGAACAAATAAATTTCCTCTTAAATTAAGGCTGTTCATAATTATGTAACACATAATTATGAACAGCCTTAATTTAAGAAGAAATTTAATAGTAAAAATATTTCATAATTGTAATGAGTACCTTGTTACAAACATTTTCCTAGATCAACAAGAAAACAGAAATATGTACCCATGGAATAAGAAAACTCAACCATTAAATCAAAACTCAATTTACTATATAAATTAAAAGTAATTTAATTTCAGTAAATTCATGCTTAATTATAATTTTTATAAAAATGATTACAGAATAAAAGACATGCACAATATTTATATAAGAAAATACTTAAAAATAAAAACATTAAAAAATTATTGAATTAACATTTCAAAAATTGAAATAATTACATTGTAACAAACAATTATTTTTAAGGGTCACCACTAAATTGAATATATGTGTGGGGGCTACTGAAACAAGCTGAAATGGTACTATAATATTTTTCTTTAATGGTGACTGATTCTTTAAATCAGTAAATATAAAAATAGGACATTAAAACGCAACTTATTCATTAAGACAATAGAATTTTTCATTTCAATTAGTTCATAATCTTATTTTTTCATTTTCTTTCATTGAAACATCTCCGATTTGGGAGAAAACATAAAAAGTACAAACAATTTATAATAGGATATAGAAGTTTCGTAAATTGTAATAGGTACATACAATTTTGTAAAATTAATTTAATGTTGAAAGCGTATCCATGGAATAATAACTACAAGAGGTATATCCTGTATTTAAAGTACAGGGACTGACGTCTTAAAAATAATAGGGTAAAATAATATGGCAATAATTTTATTACTCATTGTCAAATACAAATATTATTTCAATTGAATGTAACATAAACAATACAATTATGCTCAATCATAATTATAATTAATTTAATTATATTCTTATTATTAAATATATTCTTAGAGACATTCAAAATATGTAAACAAATTAACTTTGTGGCATTGGAATATCTCCAATTAGAAAGAGAATAAAAATGATAAAAAAATAAAAACTAAGGTATGTTTATACATTTAAAAAAAACTAAAACATGATTACAAGATTAATACGTAGTTAAATGATTGAATGTGTCCATGGAATTACAAAAACAAGAGACAATGCGACAGTTCTCGTATTTTATGGGGCTGGTATCACTAAATTCGCACAGTTCTAAATGAAAGAATATTCGAATACAGAAGAAAAGTATGATAAAACCAGTAATTTATCGCTCTGCAGTCGATTATGAACGATATTCCCTCGTTCGTTCTCAAGCCGCTCTTAGGGCTTTACTCCGGAGCCAAGAAAATCGGAGAACCTACGGAGATAGTCAAGTGTGGAATCCAACATTTTTAAATTTATTTGAATAATAGGATGTTTGTAAAATTGTATATATATTTCATAATGGTTTTGGTATGGTGTGTAAAACAAACGTAGGACCTATTTTACAATTGAATAAAATAATAATAATGTGTTTCTTAATGAGAATAGGTCGGTGTAATAAGTTTACTGATTATTTGAATGATTTTTAAATAATATTTCTAATAGTGATGTTCCTGTCACTATTTATTTACGGTGAAATTATTTTAGTGGATAATAACTGTTGCAAATAGTTACATTATTATTAAGTTATTCAAGTAAAATAACAAATAATATTAATACTTTATTTTTACTTACGCAAGGTGAGAGATGCTTAAAGACAAGTGTTTCTCCGGAGAATTTCCTGCTATTATAACAGGCTCCGGCGTAGTGCACTAGTCGCTGTAGAGTACATGTTGCGGATCTATGGTTGTGACACATGAGCTATTGCTACGTGTTTAATACTGTTCACAGTCTTGTCTTTGTTCTTCTATGGGTGTATCAACGAGGCCTGATACACTTTAATGCTTACAAATATATAAAATAAATGATTAAAACGAAGGTTTCATAATCCTGTTGCTCTCTTTGTCATCCAAATCTGACTCGGTATCAGACAAGTCAGGCTGAGGCGGAGAGGTGGGTACAACAATTTCTAAATCTGAGGTGCGCTGAAAGTAGAACATACTTCAAAAAAACAGAATAATTAAAAATATAACGGTACAGTGCATTCGGTATTTCCTTTTATTATTATTTTTAATCTTTTTGTAGGTACATAACGCATGTTCGCAAGCTGTATCTGATAATATCTATTTTATAAAAATAATATGAGTCGCTTTTCAACAACAATTTCATTTGCATAAAATGTATGTAAGAGTTGTGTATAAAATGGCTATCTCGCTTCAGTCATTATCTGCTGCACAATTTTGACAATTTCTATAGAGAAATCTTAGATGATTAATATGTATATACTAGACTTGCAACGAATATTCGGTTACTATTCGGTATTCGGCCTATTCGGCTGCTTTTATTATATTCGGCCGAATACCGAATATCTACATATTATTCGGCCGAATACCGAATACTTAAATAATATATTTTGTCATTGAGAAATAATTGGTAAAATGAAAAATTAAAATCGATTGATTACGTATTTATTCATATTTTCATTTCTGTTATAATCATTTAAGTAGTCATTGGTGCATAACACAGGTACATAATCATCTTCTGAATTGGAAAAAATGGAGGATTCTATGTATTTGAATTATTGTGGTAATCTAAATTTAGAAGGATAAGTTTCTCATTTCTTTTATAATCATTTATTAAGTAGTCATTGGTACATGAAACAGGTACATAATTTAATTCACGTCTGTACAAGTTTTTGGCGCTAAAATCCAGCCGAATACTTTTGCCTAATATTCGGCTATTCGGTCAGGGGCCTCGCCGAATATTCGGTATTCGGTATACTGCCGAATATACTATTCGTTGCAAGTCTAGTATATACCTACATATTAATAATGTAAGAGACTTTATTAATTTTATTTAATTAATTTGAGAGAATAAATCAAAATCACAAAAAAAAATTTAGGCCTGTCAAACAACGTTTCGTATTCTGAAAACGTAGTATTAGACAGGACTAAACTATTTTTTAGTGACTTTTAGTTTAGTTTAGAGAGTTTTCGAACAACAGAATTAGCACTAATATCTACTTTAAAGTTTCTCTAAAACTTGCTATAGAGAATTACTGTACTGAGAATACTTGTACTTAATAATTTGCTTTTTGATGTCAGATTTATCACGCCTTGTGACTATGTCCGGAAATCGCTACGTGCAATAATATCATAACCCTATATTGTAATTTTGAATGGGCAGACAGGTTACCCGGTTTTAAGTCACTACGTCGCTTGACACCTACAACTCTCACAAATGCTGCTTTGCCGAGTCCTCCCTCCCCTCCGAATCACAGGGAGAGGGAGGTTTGGGTCTCCGGTAATCTCACTTATACTTTGAAAAACAGCGAAAGAATTGCTTAACATCAGTTTCCTGTAAGGCCTTGGTTTCCTCCGATTAGTGCCTAAGCATGACTCCCTCACGGTTAAATGGTAAAGTGTTTGGTCTCGTTCTGGTCTTTTTTTTCAAGAACAGAGAGCTCTTGACAAAGAAATACCAGTTTTACGTAATTACGATGGGTATGACAGCCCCGTTGATCTCAACGTGGTTTAATTAGCCATTCAGAAGAATATCACAATATTAATACTACCACCACACGCATCCCATATCCTACAACCATTGGACGTGACTGTATTTAAGTCCTTCAAGAGTATATGGGAATTAATATTATTGTTATCATTAGCAGTAATGCAATTATTTAGTTGATCGAAGCAGTTAACATAAAAATATCTAGAATATCAGTGTCAATCTTTCCAAGTTAGGGTGAGATGGAAATGCATAAAAGAACAATTTATTTTATAGTTGAAAACAAAGTCTTCTTCGTCGTATCAACGGGTGAACACCCCTAAATTTTCCAACATTGTACGTTGCTCTCCTCAGACCAAGCCTGCTAATCTTCGACAACGTCTGACATTCATTTGTATGATTCGAGAAATTCTTTCGATCTTTAATTGTCCACCTTTTATATTACCCTGGCGCTTGCCATAATAATATAAAGTATTAACTATGTGACGAAAACCTAAGTAATTACCCCGCGCCCCTCTGACTAAGCGTTGTATTTTGAAGAAACCGGTTCTCCCACTTTATGGGTCATGCCTTACCTAATTTAATTTCTTCAAAGTTTTTATTAACCTGTAAACTAGTTAAAAAAAACAGTGTGGGCAGTTTTCATTTACCTCTGGTGAATCCTGTCTACGAAGAGTATCGAAAGCATTCTTAACAAGCTGGATAGGATTTACGAACTCGCGAGATGAGCTGGGGCTGCGGAACAAATTATAAAATATATAATTATCATTGACCGGAAAAATAAGGAAAGCCGACTCTGTGTATGAAAACTGTGCATGGAAATGGTGGCGCTACAATTGTAGCAGTAAATTGCAGAACAATTAAAATATTAGAGCAGAGGGTCAATTCTCTTAATGAAATTGCATTCAAAATTTACTATTAATTTACTCTCGATTTCATAAATGTAATACAAGGTATTTTCGTAGTAAAGTATTTCTAAGACTACGAGTAACAGAATACCGTTTTAACTTTCGACACAATACAATACTCGTATTATCACATTATAGTCAACGTACCTAATAGCAATACTTTTCTGCATGTATTGTATTTTTATAAAAAATACTTTTCACCCGGCAAGTCGATAGGACGCTTCTAGTTCGAATCTTAGACTAAATGAAAAGCATAAGTGTGGTAAATCTTACCCTGCTTCGCCAAATTGTATACTAGGGTCACGAGACCCCAATGGAGAGTCATTTCTGTTGTGAAACCTCACTCTGTAGCAGAGAAGGAAGAAAATTAGAATATCCACAGGTCGTTGTTTCGAAACTCATTCAGAACAAATCATTGTGTGTTTATCTAATTAACTATTAAGTACAAATCTTTGAAATGCCTGACCAGTCAGACTGTGACAAGGGTTAGTGCATCTTGGTGGTAACGTCATTTCAAAGGTATATACTTAATACCTATCGTGTAATCTAATATATAAAATTCTCGTGTCAAGGTATTAGAAGTTGAACTCCTCCGAAACGGCTCGACCGATTTTCGTGAAATTTTGTGTGCATATCGGGTAGGTCTGAGAATCGGCCAATCTGTTTTTCATACACCTACTTTTCTTTTTTTTTTAAATTGAAATAATGTAGGTATATGCCAAACAACGTTTGCGGGGTCTGCTAGTTACATACCTATATATTTTGGAACGCGACAGTTTAAAAGTTAGTAAATCATTGTATGATTATTAAATTTACATTACGGATATTAACGTGAGGGTAGCTACGTAAAAGTTAGTATGTTTACAAGTTAACAACATTTAAAAAAATCTTACTCTGCGTAAGGTGCGGCTGCTCGCAATCTCTGCTTGTGCCTGTAAAGCAAGACCGTAAGCCCGGCCAGCCCGCTCAGCATGAAGACTACAAGAAATACTGAGCCCATCACTGTGAATCTTGGCATTGATTCCTTGTATGGTTGTCCATTGAAGAGAGGAAACTAAAGAGGAATTAAATGCTTTATAGTCAGAAGTAAAAGTGAAGGGCTTGTTGGTCTAGAGTTAGTCATGTCCTGGACTAATACTTCTGCAATGAACATGATCATTTTGTTCTGTCTCTGGATATAATATAAATGTATATATAAGTATATTTAACAGCAGTCTAGTCACAATGGAACAGGTTCTGCAGTCTGCCCTCATTGGTGAAATACGGCCACCAAGAAACGACGACTTTTGGGTACATGCACCAAGCTATAATAAGTGCCGTGTCCTGAAGAACTGCTTTCTGTATCAGGGCTTTAATCTAGCTGCTAGAGGAGCAGGCGAGGCCCGCTATGACCCAATCATTGTTACCGATTATTTCATAGTCTATTCATCTAAACCTATCACCTGTGACATACCTAGATACTTGTATGTTTTGTTAACTGAGAAACATCTAAGACGCGTGTAATCTGAGAGTTTCTTAGCAGATTCAAGAATCTCTCTACCTCTTTTTACCTCTCCTCAGGTTTCAGTTACTTCCTTTAGAATTAAAGTGTAAAATTACTGTAAAAACAGTTTTAAATTATCCACGAAGAGAAGGTAGAATTAAACCTTACTTCATCTACGCATTATTATACGTATATATTCAAGTTATTATTATTAAATATTAAGTTTCTACAAAGCCATCATGAAGTTTAAAAAATCGCTAGGTGATCGAGTCAAAGATCGCTACCAAGATTTGAAAACTAAAATACCTTTTTAAAGTAAGCAAGTATGCTATAAATAGACATAAATTCAGAGAAGCTCCCATGTATAAAAAGGCTAATAAAGAAGAGAAATACCACGATAAAGCCCTAAGGATCTTACTTCCTTTTATTCCTTTTCTAAGAAATGTTACCACCTAGTTGTTGTGGATACTGAATTAACTGCAGCAGCGTATAAATAACGAGTATAAACCCTTTTATAGGAATAAATGCATTTCCATTGCCTGTCTTTTTTCTTTCTTTCTAACTTTCCTTTCAATTAATTTTAAAAGAAAGTTCTTTCTCCTTAAACGTGCAGTTACGAGTATGCTAACCCTCTATTATGTGAATGGATCTCTGGCTATCCCTTCTGTGATATCGACTTGAATGTGTGTATGTATGTTAATAAATATATATTAAATCTCACCTGTGTCTGGTCTATATAAGGACACTGCCCTTGCGCTGCAAATTGCCCATCGTAACAAATACATTTGGGTCCAAATTCGTCCAATGCGCAAATACCGGGGCAAGTAGATCTCTCGCACCCGTTTATTAAATCATCTCTTTGCATGTTCTCGTGTCGGATCACAAAACTGTTGGCGTTGGAGAAGCGGTAGCTGTAACTGTCGCAATGTTTGTGACCAAAGGTGAGGCAACGACCTAAGCTGACCGAGTTGGCCTCGAGGTAATAAATGTGATCTTCGTAAATGGCTAAGCTCTGGGGCTCACGCATTTGAGGCTTATATGCTAATATCTTTTTGCTGCAAAAGAAGAGTCTGCTTTAGTACATTGAATTTATCTTAGTCTTAAGTACTAGCTGCAAAAACTACTGAACTAAAGTCTCTAGTTATGCGCTATTGGTTATTGGTCTTTGTGTTGTTCTTTTAGTAGAGAATTTACGTTTAAGTACGCTTGTCAGCAGTACTGATTACTATAGCGCAGGCTCTGCCTACTAAGGGATCACACAGCTATCGCTGAGTTGTCTTCAGTTTTTGTTTTATACATATTTTTCCCCTTCAGGTCAAATTTTCAAAAGTTACACTTAGTGGATACAACATAAAAATCATCAGCTGTCAAAATTTCAAGTTTGTAGCCCCAGCAGTTTAGGCTCTGCGTTGATGAAGGAGCCAGTCAGGGCAAGTAATTTCATATGTTTAGATAAATTGATGATTTACTTACTGTCTGTCCCCTTCATAGTCCATACGTATTATATGACCTGGTCCGGATTCAGCTACATAGAGTTTCTTGATGTATGGGTCGACGGCTAGCCCAGTGCAGTTACGAACCGTGGTCAAATCGGTTACGTGAGCTCCGGTTAAACTCGCGGACCAAACGACAGATTCTAATTCGCGGGTCAGACAGTAAAACATACGATGGGAACTCGGATCTACAATCAGAGCTGTCACCTAGGAAAATACAACACTATGTATAAAAATATTGATAAGTATGTATAGTTATACTCGTATAGGAATGCAGAATGTTTGTACGTGAAAAGTGTTAGTGTGTTGAAAACTGTGGTCAAATTTTTGGAGCTTCATGTGTAGTGAAAAATATAGTTGAATTTGCTTGCATACTCGTATATTGTGGATTGTAAAAGACTATTTGCGTCAGCCTTACGTTAGCATCGGAGGGCAATTTCTGTAGCATAACGCATCGCATTTTATTGATGTGGCATACGCGGATTCGCTTGGCTGATGGTGTGTTGTCGACGAAATACACGTTGCCTGTGACCCAGTCTAGAGTAACCTGAGGTCAACACAGAATTAACATTAGAAAAAAATCTTGCCAAATAAATTAGATATTGAGCTGTGGACAATTATAGTGGTATAAGTTGTGATCATGAATACAGCAAAACAAAATCACGATTTTACACATTCCATTTTGCGAATTTCATAACATTGATTAATTTGAAAAACTCACCCTCGGCTTCGCTTTTGTAAATGTATTTTTTTGGGTATTTTCACCGCTTGGGACTAGCGGTGAAAATATATAGGTATTTTATACCGATAATATAGAGTAACAAGGTGATTCCGATTTCAAAAGCTACTGGTCAAATAATGAAAGCTTAAAATCAGTCACGTGGGTAACTTGCATATATCTCACCCTGGTTGGTTTCCCAATATTGGTAACTTCAATAACGTTACGTGCTGCGGTAACCTCGAGTAACTTGTTGGCTTCGGGCACACTCAGGTACAGTATATTTTTCCTATGAAATGACAAAACAAAAAGTACGTAAATACTGCTGTCACATTTCGGGGTGTTTTTAAAGTAATAAAACTTCCACAACATCTTTAAAACAAAACTAATGGAATAAAAATTACTAAATAGTCAGCTAATGACACTGTCATAGTAGCTTTTACAATCACAGGACGAGCATTCGGCTACTCGACTTCAACCCTTTCAAGTAACTGATCAGTATCAGTTCCATTTTCCATCAAACACATTGTTTTTGCGATATTCTTTACCCGATCCCTAGCTTTAACTAGTTTCTTTTAGTCTGAATACGGTTTCTTTCCCAAAAAGGGTAGCCATTTGTGATCGCCTGATCACAAAACAAACCAAGCCGAAACCTTAACAAAGGGTTGATGGTAGATGAGCAAAAAACACATTACAAGTTTATTTAGAATCTTAATTGCAATTTTACGCTCTCATTCTATCATAACATAATTTAAATGTAAGTCTAATGAGTTCTTCAAAAGTATTAAGGTAAAGTTAACTAAATAAATATTGTAAATATACAATACCTTACGTCCATATCCATATCACTGATGGTAGGTATCTGATTGTCGTTGAACTCTACTCTGAGAGTCCCATTACCTGCTAGAGACCGTACAGTGTTGCCTGCCGCGTAGACAATTGACATGCTTCCCTTAATCGATTTGCAGGATCGACGGTCCGCTCTGTAATTGAATATTTTTAATCTGGGCTTTCTCTTACTATGGAAACTTAAAACATTTGTGTGTAAAACAAGCCTTGATAATCAACAGAAGAAATGAAGAGATAATCTAGCTAGAAAATAGGATCTGGCCGTATTTAGAAAAAAAAATTGTGACAATTTCATTTCCTTATGATAAGTACTCGAAGAAATTGCTTGTTGCTGTGTGAAGTATTGTAGACTCTATTTCAATGGTATAATAAAAATAAAACCGGTCAGGTACGAGTTGAATTCGTACGTCGAGGGTTCCGTACCTACCCAGATTTTATGTACATTTTCGCGAAAATTTGTAAGTACCAAAATTTATCTTCATTTTCAACTTTTTTTATTTTTTGGAATTATTCCTTTATTTGTGCTGTAAGACGTTTCTTTTTGCCAAAATTTCGTGATTCTAGGTCAACGGGAACTACCATATAGGTTTTCGACCCAAAACCTATAGGGTACTTCCGGTTGACCTAGAATTGTCAAATTTGGTTAAAAACAAGGTATTACAGCACAAGAAAAGAGAAAATTCTGGAAAATAAAAAAAGTTGAAAATTTTGGTACTTACAAGTTTTCGCGAAAATCGAAATTTGCCCATATCTTTTTATCGTGTTGACTCGGGACCTTGATTTTTATACACCTAATAGGGACCATAAACCTCTGTATCTGGTATAAATTTCAACTAGCTAAGTCTACCCATTCCTGAGAAAATCGGTGGTGACACACGGACAGACGGACAAGAAAGTGATCTTATAAAGGAGGAACCCTTTTTTACCTTTTGAGGTACGGAACTCTAATAAATGTTTTGAACCTTGTTTTTTAGTTTAACTTAGGCAGGTGGGTCTCCAATTGTTGATAATAACTGACCATCGTCTTCTATGGATACCTGGATCTCAAGAATAATAAGTGATCATTCTCAAAAATATTTATTATACTTTTGTAACGGATTCTAGACAAGGGTTCTGAACGAGGTCTTAAGGCGATAACTGCTACCAAAATTAACATTATCAACTAAAGGTTAAAATTAACAGAAATGCCACGATTTACTTCCTCTGCAAATGCTCTACTTTGGATTTCTTTAGAGACAATTTCATTTTATTTCATATTTCATTTTATAGTGTCAATTTCTTCAAGAAAGGCCTTTACAGATTTTATAATGACATGCAACGTCAAGTATCGTTGGACTCAAGAGGAAACAGGAGAAAATAATTATATTGGTGCAAATATTTACCAGAGTAAAAAACTATGTCCAATATTACCTGGGCGCATAGCCACGATGGCAAGAACAGCTAAAAGATCCCGGAGTGTTGAAACATATCTGGGAGCACACCTCTTCCTGGCATTCGTCAATATCTTCACAGGTAAAGTTGTCAGCTCTCAGGTTATACCCCACTTTACAGGAGCAGTGAGGACCTGTTGGCGTTGGCTGGCACTCGAACTCGCATTTGTCTTTCACACATGATGTTACTGGGGGATGATGGGTTGGTTATTTTTATTGGGCTCAATTTTTGGATGTCATGATAAATATCTCGTTACACTGCTACCTTGAGGACTTCTTAATTTTTATGTATTAGTTTTAATAGTTAGCCACCTAGGCACGATATGTTAATGCCTGTTATGCACAAATAATCATTAGTAAATATTTTTCAGAAGTCGTTCTCCTAATTTTCATTCGCTGTTCCTCACCCAGAATCAATATTTAAACAATTGAAAGATAAAATGAACAATTACACTTCATTCGAGTTAATATATTTTGGAAGATAGATACTGCAGCTTGCTTACAAAATAATAACAACTATTTCCAATGGGTATTTACTAGACTTGCAACGAATATTCGGTTACTATTCGGTATTCGGCATATTCGGCTGGTTTTATTATATTCGGCCGAATACCGAATATCTACATATTATTCGGCCGAATACCGAATACTTAAATAATATATTTTGTCATTGAGAAATAATTGGTAAAATGAAAAATTAAAATCGATTGATTACGACGTATACATTCATATTTTCATTTCTGTTATAATCATTTAAGTAGTCATTGGTGCATAACACAGGTACATAATCATCTTCTGAATTGGAAAAATGGAGGATTCTATGTATTTGAATTATTGTGGTAATCAAAATTTAGAAGGGTAAGGTTCTCATTTCTTTTATAATCATTTATTAAGTAGTCATTGGTACATAAAATAGGTACATAATTTAATTCACGTCTGTACAAGTTTTTGCCGCTAAAATCCAGCCGAATACTTTTGCCTAATATTCGGCTATTCGGTCAGTGGCCTCGCCGAATATTCGGTATTCGGTATACTGCCGAATACAGAGAGTTTCATTTCCTATCCCAAATACTTAAGCCACATATTCTGCCCTTAATTTCTAGGCGATTTGCAAAATATGAACAAAATATATCCAGTAGTTTAGCCACAGGACTCATTTTTGTGTTTCGTAAATTGCAACATCATGTGTACATGCAGTCATAATACAGGGTGGCGCAATAGAACGTGCATATTTAAAATATTGATTAGAAAATAAATACAAAAGGTATAGTTAAAATAAAACTGAGGTATTATTAAGAAATAACTGAAGTTTATTTTTTAAAAATAACATCGTCTAAATGATGACCCTCTCTACGACGACACTCCTCTAATCGCAAACGGAAGTTATTGAAAACTTTCTTCAGTAATGCTGGTGTAATTGCTGCCATTTCACCACGGATATTCTCCTTGAGCTGATCGTTGTTTTTCGGATTATTACTGTAGACTTTGTTCTTGAGGTATCCCCACAAAAAAAAGTCAGGAGGCGTCACGTCTGGACTACGTGGGGGCCATGGGATATCACCTCTTTTCGAAATCAGTCTGCCAGGGAACATCTGTTTCACAACCGCCATGGAGTCATTTGATGTGTGACAGGTAGCTCCGTCTTGTTGAAACCAAGTCCTAGAATTCACTATTCTTGAATTTTCAAGCTCTGGAGCCAAAAAACCTTCCAACATCGCAACATAGCGTTCGGTATTAACAGTGACGTTTTGCCCCCGCGCATTTTCAAAGAAAAACGGTCCAATTATTCCTCTACCAGAGATTGCTGCCCATACTGTCACTTTAGGACTATGCAGTGGTTTCTGGTGCTTGAGTTTGGGATTCTCACTGTTCCAGTAACGACAATTTTGACGGTTTACGAACCCATTGATATGGAAGTGGGCCTCATCTGAGAAAAGGATATTGTCAAAATTGGAAAATCGATTAAGCATTTCATTAGCAAATGCGAGCCTTGCTCCGAAGTCAGACTCTTTCAATTCTTGTGTTAACTGCAGCTTGTAAGGATGCAGTTTAAGATCCAAGTTTAAAATTCGTTGCAAACTTCGTCGCGATAAGTGTAAGACAGACGATCTCTTACGAGTAGACATTTGTGGATCTCCTCGTACAGACTGCATAACTCTCTCAATATTGTCGTCGGTCCTAGATGTTCTTGGACAACCTTTTGCTTGTGGTTTAAACGTTGAACCAGTCTCTTCAAAACGCTGTACCCATATTTTAATTAAATTAGCACTCGGAGCTTTACTAATTTGCCGTAGTCCATATTCAGAACAATATAAACGCCTAGTAACGATGTATGAACGAGAGTTCTCGTAAAATGCGCGCACGCAAAATGCGCGACGCTTCCCGTCGAAGTGACTCATAGTGACTAAAACTCCATGAGCCCGCCTACCCAACGATGCAGGCTCCCCCCGCCCGCGCACTTTCTACCCCGCGAAAAAAGATGATGCAATATGCACGTTCTATTGCGCCACCCTGTACATTGACCTCAGGCGGCGATCAGCTGTATACGCGGCGCGGTAATCACACGTTGCCGCTTTTACTACACCCGAATCGAACGAAATATGTTGATTATTACGTCATCACGATGCAACACGCGTTTTTAATTAGTTCATCCAGTAAGGACAGTCAGTCGGCCCTTGGCCACCGGCGAGCTTATGCTATTCCGTATCCTTGTAGATGCGCTCACGACAAATAACCGTAATAATAATATTGTTGTTGTTTATGAGATACATATTTGTTTAGAGAAGTTTTCTTGTGGTAATAATTGTTTAGTCTTATTGCTTTCGTCATAATACACGGCAATGGTGTGAACAATTAATGTTATCGTGTGCGCAAGACTTCGTAATGTAAGGAGTCCTGCTAATTTTATTTTGAAAAGTCACTATTAGGGTCTGTGTGTAGTGTAGTGTGAAACTGAGTGCATTATCAGTCTTTTAATTTTATTGGGTTATCGATATCAACATCCATAATGCCGTGAGTGACCTTCACAGCGGCGGAATATCCTGCTATGATGTTAATTTATGGAAAACTATCAAAACGCATCTTTTGCTTTACGGACACGTATGGAGTCAATCGTGTATGTCCTACAGACTGCCGAATTTTTGTAAGGGGGGTACAAAGATTACGAGACAACCAAGGTAACTACTTTTTCAAGGAGTGACGCGTACTGCTGGGTCGGAAGCTAGTCGAGCATTCACGAAATAAACACGTGAATAAAATCGCATTCTTTATAAATAGATTTTTAAAAGCAAGTGAAGTGATTGGTAGGTAGGTAATAAGAATGTAAAGTTCGCTCGTCGCGGCGGCGGCTGCGGCGGCGGCGCCGGCGGCGGCGTCGCTTTGATGTCGCCGACATTGCGACGCTGCCGTGTAGGTACAGTTCACTGACTCATGTTATCAATGGTGTTCTAATTCGGAAATTATTTTATTGTATTTAGTTTGTTCTAAATTTGCATTTCTGTATTTTCGTACTAATTTTTTATTTTTTTATTTTAACCGACGTATATTGAACCGTGTTATCTGTTATTTCATTTTTTGTGATATCTATACCGCCACAGTGTATACTCTTCGTTGCAAGTCTACTAAAAACCAATTTAAATAAATTTTGTCTGTGGCTATCTGGTTGATGATAATATTTTACTACCAGGTAGCTGTCTATATAAGGAGTAAATGAGGCTTTATATCCTCTCAGACTTTTTTGTGGGAATCGAACCCGAGGCTTCATAGACTGCAGTCGCGTACCGTACACCGTACCGCAGTGGTGTACACTAGGGCAGTGCTTTTCAAATTTCACATGAACGAAGTGCAGGTACCAGCTAGTAAAATATTAAATAACTTATTACTTACAGCATTTTCCATTCTCATCAGATGCATCAAGACAATCAGTTTTGTTGTCGCACACCTGTATCCATTCTATACATTGTCCATCGGCGCACCTAAATCCCTCGGTACAATCACCCCACGAATTTGAAGGAAATATTGTAGAAGTCCGGTTAACTGTCAAAAATAAATAATAGTTATGCTAATATATTTATTTCAGCTTAGTTTAATGCATTTATCATCATTTGCGTTTCCTGTTATTCTGACGGAATTTCAAATGGTGGAGGGAGGCGGCCATTTTGTACGACACAACTCGAACGACCGTCGCCGACGCTTGCGATGAATCGCTTACCGACGCAGTCATTAAAACTTAAACGTAGGGTCACGTGCTGTCAATCGACTAAGTGATAATAGAATAATGAGTTGTTACTTCTTAAATAGCTAACTAATATATGGACCTACCTGAAAGTGTCCGATTGTTGCCATTCAGTTCCTATATCACTTCAACATCAACAGCCTTTAATAGTCTACTCCTGGACATAGGCCTCTTCTTAGAAAAGAGGTTTTGGCCAACTATACCACGCTGGTCAGACGGTCGGGTCGTGTAGGGTTTGTGTCAAGTTTTCCTTCGTAGCTTACTCCCTCAGTCAGCTCTTACGACACCCGGATGACTTGGGGTGGTGACACTCTGTATTCTTAATCCGTCACCACACTGACAATATATACATACATACTCTATGTGTATGGCGATGTCGACGGGTGCACTGCTGGTGCATTACGTTAGCGGTAACGTCAATTCTTGTATACATACATTTTTTTTAATACGTATATACATATTTATATTTTACAGATCAGTCCGTAAAGAGGTCAGTAAGTCAGGTAATGTCAGCTGGTGTTTTCCGTCGATTTCCTTTCTACATTGTATCTAGTTCCCTGGCTACTTGTAAACAAGAAAGCGTGCGGTTTTTAGTCGGTTCGCTTCCGACATAACAAACCCACCTGTCGTCTGGGTAGGGTAGGGTAGGTTATTCCGCACGGAAAAAGGTGAGTCGGTGTTTATCGAAAACTCCTTAGACAAAAAAAAACCCGACTGTCAGGAAATATTCGAAAATTGGTTTTATTCTGCATTCACTGTAATTTTTCCTATCTATGTATTTAAAATGTATTTATGTCTTTCGTAAACTATACTCAATTACCATTGTTTTTTTTCTAAATTTCTTTTTTAATACTTATAGATTATTGTAATATTATATTGACTTTTTGTAGTGAGTAAAAAGCTTATATACCTCGACTGCATGCTTCTGGTGTCTCATCGGATCCATCGTAACAGTCTCTGTGGTTGTCACAGACTTGTCTCATACTGATGCAAACCATCTGCCGTATACAGGCGAACAGCCCGCTTGAGGCGCAGCCATGGTCGCACCCGTTCTCGTCACTGCCTCCCGGACATTCGACGCTCTTATTGCAGCTAGTTAACAAGGAGCGGGATTGAATATGCGGAATCATGCTTATTAAGTTATATTTATATGCGTGGCACCGCAGGCCTCCCTGACTAGAGGAAAGGGCGTTTACATTTTCATGGTTTACACACACATGCATGATGTCATGACTACATATTTTACATACATGCAGTGTCAAATTAAAACATAGTATTTAAAAAATATTTCTTAATTATCTTATATATAAAATTCACGTGTCACGATGTTAGTTACCGTACTCCTCCGAAACGGCTGGACCGATTTTAATAAAATTTTGTGTGCACATCGGGTAGGTCTGAGAATCGGCCAACATCTATTTTTCATACCCCTAAATGACAAGGGTGATCCACCCCAATTTTTTTTTCAATATTTCCTAGAAATAATGTATATGGCAAAACAACGTAACCGCCGGGTCAGCTAGTTTTAATATAAAATTAAACCTCTATAAGACCTAAGTCTACGAAAAAGATTTATTATTTCTTATGATAAACAATAAATAAAGTTAACTAAACCACAAAAATGAAATAGGTTATTTTAATCACTGTGCTCGTAAGCCCTTTAACATCTTATAACACTGTAACTACATAGTTAAATACGATAACATATAGAGTATAGTGAATATATATTTTGAATAATAATAACCTCACACGCCATTCAATTCCAATCTAGGCACAACCTGTACAATTGTAATCAGACCATAATAGAAAACCTAAAAGTTGTTCATTGATAAAAGTGCCCCGTCGAGTCCAAATCTAGTCGGACATCCCCAAATGCACATGTAAGCTAAAAATATATATTTAGGGGCATTTGGCGCGTCGGGGCACCAGGGACTTCCTTTCTAGGGTATACCTGGTTCCCCGGCTATTAGTACCCGAGACGGCGTGCGGTTTTAGTCGGTTCGAGTCCGACATGCCACCGACAGGTGGTATCCGAGGGGATTTCCGCACGGAAAAAAAGGGGGCATTTGGCGCGGTACTCGAGAGCTAGATTGGCACACCTACCCACGCGCATTAATGACCATTTTTTAATCTCAAAACAGAAATTAGAGCGTACAAATGTCCTTATGTCCTATATGTCCTTTGTATAACAATTTATTTTTATTTTATTTATTTATTCAAGGTAAATTTCAACTGCACGGGTGGCGTAATGGTTTAAAATGAAATGATATTTCATTTATATTTATATATTCTATGTACAAAATATAGTAAAGAAAACAGCGATATTTTTAGCTATAAGAATTACTTATGAAATGCAGCTGGTATCTAAAAAGGTAAAACCTGAGATGTAAACAATGCTACAGAATAATTATTTTAGAGAAGCTTCAGAAGCTTAATAAGCTGTTGGGGGTCAGTCGAAGGTTGATCGGTCACTAATGCAGATGTGAAACATCTAATGTTAAGAGTTACCAGCTGTTGGCCAGGCGACAGGTCACACGTCATCCGCCACCTATGTGTGCGAGGATATGTAACATGCAATGTGGTGTAGCATATAATAGTCATAAAATAATTTAGATGTTTCACATCTACCAGATGTCTTTAACGCTAAAGGTCCGTTAATGCTGTGGTATTTTGATTGAAAGTTTCGCAAACATACTAGATACATGCATGTAAACTAACTACTTATATTAATTTCAGAAACATGCAGTATTAGTTCACCTGTAACCCAAAAAAGGGCGGGGTTGGGTGTGCTCCAATAGGCCAAGATCGCCTGGAGCGGATCCAATCCTGGTACGCCCTCCTGTCCGGAGGGCGTGCACGGCGAATGGTCATGGGGGAGAGCGCAACAGTCGTGTAGATCCCCATGGCAAGTCTGGGTGTCATCCTTCCCGTGGTTGCCGCCTGTTTTAGGTCTGATTCCCTACGAAACAGATATAACAGAAACACCCAGACGCAATTCCATCCCACAAAACCCATCCTTTCCCATTTCCTATCCCATCCACACCTACTGCGGACACTAAGTGGTTGGTGCCTGCGGCCTCACTATCAACAAAGACTGAGAGTGAGGGGGAGGGGGGGGGGCAACCACCCGCATGTTTGTGCCGTGTGCGGGGACCCGTAAGGGAGGATGAAGGGATCCTGGTAGTTGAGCTGAAAGGCAACACACTGCTTTGGCCTGGATTTCTCTTTACACGGGAGGCTGAAGGCTAGCCACCTTTGGTCAATCGGCTGTAGTATCCCGTCAGAGGGCTGCTGGGCGAGAGCTCTTCCTTGGTGGGGGTGGACGACGGGTGGGACGACCAAGTCATCCTACCTAGTTCGGCCTGCCTTCTGTCAGGGAGGGAGCTCTATATTTCCTTGTCACTTCTGGCGTCGTGTGCCTTCTGCCGCGGCGTCCCCACTTGAGGGCTCCAAGGAGGGTGGAAGGACAAGGAGATGAATAGTATACCTAACACACTATGGATACTAAAAAAAACAATTTTAAAAAAACCACCAAGCCGGTACCGAGGGTGAACAACCCAAGTGCCAGGCTAAACAACCAATCGGCTGACCCCAGGGTGAACAACCCAGGGGTGAACCCGACAAATACACCTTTGGCTGCTGCTCAGCCCGACCGCAGCGCCATCCACGACTCTGGCGACACCTCTGGTGTCTAACCAGAATACGGAGCCAGTGTCGACCATCGACCTCTCCTCTTTGAGGGCAGCAATGCCCGTACCTGCGGGACCCGGCCTGGAAGAAACCGGCTGGAGCCTGGTAAGGACAAAGAAGAGAGCGTCGAAAAAACCAAACCCGTCCAAGAAGACCCGTAACGCCAACAGGGCGAAAGCCCGAGTGGAAAGGCAAGCACGGTGTCTGACCTCGGGTGGAAGTAAGCGGCTTGAAGTCGCTGAAGGGCCCGAAGGGGCCCACGTTGCCCCCGCCAGTGACGTGCTGCCCCGAGGCGAAGGCGAAAGTCAAGCCACGGGGAAGTGTACTCCTGTGGGGGCGCCACCTGCCAAGACGCCTGTAGCGGCCAAAGTACCCTCTAGGCAGGGTCAACCTGGACAGGGTAAACGGGCGAGACGAGCGACACGTGGAGGGAAACCTTCAAGTGAAACAAAGCCCGTCAAAAGAACTCGCCCGGACGAGTCTCGCACTCCCCAGGGCAGTGGCAAGCGATTCAAACCGCTGCCAAAGACCGGCTCCACGAGCTACTCCGACGCACTAAAGGCGAATGACCTTTGCGTCGCGGTCATGCTGGAGCCTTAACACGACCTCACCAAGGCACAGGCAGAGGACATCGAGGGCCAGCTGCAGGGCGTGCTAGATGAGGAGATTTTCTCGCCCGGCACGTCAAGCGCACCCGTCGCTGCGCCACAGTTTAGGGGCAAGGCCTTCTACAGTGAGGGCGCCCTTAAGATGTGGTGCAACGACGAATATGCCCTACAGTGGCTTCGCCGATCCCTGGTAAGGATCCCATCACCACGTGAAGGCACCAAACTGGTCGTCAGGAGGCAGTCTGAGATCCCGAAAAGGATCAAGGCTGGACTCCTGGTACCACAAATCGGACCAGATGATACACTGGTCCGTATACAAACGAGGCTAAAGTATCAGAATAGCCAGTACAATGTGGCCAACTGGGCCCGAGGCGCAGGAGGAAAAGAAATGTCTCTTCCTAGTGCTCGGCATCCCAGAAGAGGACGTCGTGAAGCTCAGGGCTAGTGAGCGTAGAGTATACTACAAACTAGGTAACCTCTACGTTCGCTTCCTTGATGAACGTCCCGCCCCACCAACTAACCCAGACGAGGAGCCAGAATCGGCCCCACAACACCCTAAGGACGGCAATGGAGGGGATCCTCTGATACCCGTTGAGGAGACAGCCTGCCGGGGTCCACCTCCTGAGGAGTTTGAGGACCCACCGGTGGGCGAGAGTGACCTCGACGACATAGAGGATATGCTGAACAGCGATGATGGCGCTGTCTGCACCCCCCCATAACACCCTTACAGCCATCCAAACCAACCTCCAGCACAGCCATACAGCAACGGCTAACCTACGCAGAGAGCTGGAGGTAAAAACCAACACCGTAGCCCTAATCCAGGAGCCGTGGATTAGGAAGGGCAGGATCTGCGGTCTAAACAATATTGGAGGTAAGATACTTCTCAACACTACCATTGATAACCCGCGCACTTGTATTTATACACCAAAACATGCGTGTACTACCTTAATGACCGAGTTCTGTTCCAGAGACCTTACCTCTATTAGGTTAAAGGAACCCTCATCAAACCTGCCTGACGTGGTGATAGCATCAGCCTACTTGCCGGGCGATGCTGACATCCCCACTCCGGAGCTGGCTGCGCTGGCACACCACTGCGAGCGCGAGGGTCTGGAGCTGATCATCTCGGCCGACACCAACGCGCACCATGCGCTGTGGGGCAGCAGGAGCAACAACCAGAGAGGTGAGGAATTTGTATCGTTCCTATTATCAACTAACCTTAACATTATCAACGTGGGCTCGGAGCCGACATTTGTCACATCCAGGGCCCAAACTATAATTGATCTTACATTAGCAAGTGAGCGCGCATCGCAACACATATCGAATTGGCATGTTTCGAACGAAGCATCGTGCTCAGACCATCGCTGGATCAAATTTAACTTTGAAATGAAACTTAAACTACCCGATCCCCGACGGAATCCCCGCACGATGGACCGGAAACGGTATGAACATCTTACTGCGGAGAATCTGCGAAGCATCAACCCAACATACGCTACGGGGACTGTTAAGGACATTGACAGTCATGTCGTCAACCTTACACAGACACTGATCGATTGCTTTGAACAAACATGCCCACTTTCCACACCCAGAACTGGACCACAGAACAAACACCAATGGTGGGGTCCGGAACTGGAAAGACTACGTCGTAGAGTGAGAAAGTTGTTCAATAAAGCAAAAAACTCGCGATTAGACCAACATTGGGATGCCTACACGCAGGCCCGACAACAATATAAGAAGAGAATCAGAACCAGGAAAACTGAGTGCTGGAGAAACTTCTGTACTAACATAGAGAACAACAACCAGGCTAATAGAGTCAAAAGCATACTGTGTAGTAGTAACTTGGCTCCCTGAAGAAGCCTGATGGTGAGTATACCAAAACAGACTCGGAAGCCTCAGAGCTGCTATTAAAAACACACTTCCCTGGATGTCGCATATCAGATGCGATGGAAAAATGGGAAGACAGATGGGAAAAACCACCAGATGATACAGACTGGGACACGGCCCGCAAAGTTGTCAACCACGACAAACTAAGATGGGCAATTGACAGCTTCCTACCATTCAAGGCGCCAGGACTAGATGGTGTCTTCCCAGGCCTACTGAGATGGAGTGATATGACACTACTGGACCATCTTGTAAAAATCTATAGGGGCTGCCTGGCGCATCAGTACATCCCCTTGAAATGGAGAGAAGTTAAAGTAGTCTTCATCCCCAAACCTGGTAAAGGCGACTACACACAACCCAAATCACACCGACCTATTAGTCTCACATCTTTCCTACTAAAGGTTCTCGAGAGGCTAATAGATAGGGAAATCAGGGAAACTGCGTTAGTCAGTCACCCTCTACACCTCAATCAACACGCATACTCGATGAGTAAATCAACAGAATCTGCCCTACATCGAGTTGTTTCATATATAGAAGACAATCTAAATCACAAAAGGTAAACACTGGCCACCTTTATCGATATCGAGGGAGCCTTTGACAAGACCAACTTCACCAGCATTAGCCAAGCTCTGTCCAGGCATGGTGTTGATTCCACAATCTCAGGGTGGATCGACAGCATGCTAAGATATAGAGCTATACAATTCACTGTGAGCGAAGTGACTAGAGGAGTGGTGGCTAGAGGCTGCCCCCAGGGCGGTGTACTCTCCCCCCTTCTATGGAACATTGTTGTGGATGAGCTCATCACACAACTTAATGACCAAAGATTCCTCACAATAGGCTATGCAGACGATCTTACTATTCTCATCAGCGGTCCTTTTGAGAGCATTACATGCGATCAAATGAGACTTGCACTGAAGATCGTGGAACAATGGTGCGTAGCACACAACCTGACAGTGAACCCATCCAAAACAGAGATGATCATGTTCACAAACAAACGCAGCCTAGGAAATCTCAGACTTCCCAAGCTATTTGGAACACAACTTACTCTTACCAAAGAGGTCAAATACCTAGGAGTAATACTGGACAGTAAACTCCTGTGGAACAAGCACCTCGATGAAAAACTGAATAAAGCCTGCATTATTTTCTGCCAATGCAAGCGGCTACTCGGCAAAAGCTGGGGACTATCACCCAAAATTACTTTATGGCTATACAAAACAGTCATAAGACCAATAATCACTTACGGTGCTGTTGTCTGGTGGCAGAGAACAGAGCTAAGCACTGTCATAAACAAACTGCAGCAATTCCAGCGACTCCCATGCTCCGCGGTCACTGGCTGTATGCGCACAACGCCTACTGCCGCACTGGAGGTGGCTCTTGGTCTGCCACCCCTGGATCTATTCATACAGCAGGAGGCCGCCATGGCGATCATTAGACTCAAACACCTGGGTCTATGGCACAAACGTGGGGGATCGCACTCTAAATTATGGGATCAATTGGTGGAATACGAACCACTGATAGCAGCGCCATGCGATAGAATCCCAAAACACCATATCTTCACAAGAAGATACTACATCCAGATACATGGAAATGACCGAGATCAATCCGGCATTAACGAAGTCCGAATTTACACGGACGGTTCCAAGACTAGGTCAGGAACTGGAGCCGGAGTTTTCTCGCAAGACCTAAACATAAACATATCACTAGCGTTAGGCCAACACAGTTCCATATTTCAATGTGAATGTGTGGCAATAACTTACGCTGCCACAACGGCCATGTCAAGAGGTATTAAGGACTACAACATCCGAATAATATCCGACAGCATGGCCGTCTTAAAGGCATTGGAGGGCAACACAATGACCTCTGGTATTGTCTTCGAATGCCACCAAGCACTGGAACAGCTCGCTATATTCAATGGGGTAATCCTCCAATGGATTAAAGGGCACAGTAACTCACACGGGAACGATGCCGCAGATGAGTTGGCAAGGAGGGGCTCGGCAACCCCAACCTCTGGCCCAACCCCAGTCCTGCCCATATCGTTTAACCAAATACGATGCTGGGTCAGGCAACGGACCTGTGAAGCACACAACCGGAGGTGGAAAAACTCACCCGGCTGCAGACAGTCCAAACTGGTGCTGAATCAAGTCACACCACGACTCACCTGCAGACTGATCAGTCTTAGCAGACCGGAAATCAGAACGGTTGTCGGTACTATTACAGGACACCTAGCTCGGAACCGACAACTATTCATAATCAATGCGACGGACAGTCCCCTGTGCAGGGGATGTCTGGAAGCTGAAGAAACGGCCGTCCACGTAGTCCTGGAATGCGAGGGAGTGGCCACACAACGGGCAAGTATCATTCCTGATACAAAGTCGCTCCTAGAAGCCTGTGAACGCCCCAGGAGGCTTCTGCGCTTCTGGAAGGAGCTTGGCTGGCTCACCTAGTCAGCCAATCCTCGACGCATAAAGGACCACTCGGAGTCTAAATGCGGAAACCGAAGCCCACAACCAATACCAATACCAATACCAATCTACCAGATGTCTTTAACGCTAAAGGTCCGTTAATGCTGTGGTATTTTGATTGAAAGTTTCGCAAACATACTAGATACATGCATGTAAACTAACTACTTATATTAATTTCAGAAACATGCAGTATTAGTTCACCTGTAACCCAAAAAAATTGAGCTATAATCTGTCTACTTAAGATTAAAGACCACTTCTAAGGCTGCAAATGTAAAGACATTAGGTATTGGAACAAATAAAATTTGGGTGCATGTAAAAACATGTTGGTCCCGTGATTAATGATCTTTTTTTATATTAGACGGGGCAGACGAGCAGACGGGTCACCTGATGGAAAGTGACCACCGCCGCCTATGAACGTCTGCAACTCAGGAGTCACAGGAAAGGAGGAGTTTAGGAAGGAGTACGCTCTTTTCTTAAAGGTTTGAAGGTCGTATCGGTCCGGAAATACCGCAGAAGATAACCCGTTCCACAGATTGGTTGTGCGGGGCAAAAATGACTTGACTGCTGAGATAGAAGTGGTGCTTTCGATTCCCGTTCATGACAGAAAAGAGGGAGTAGTATAATTTGTAATACATAAGATAAGTCTGTTACTGTAGATAAGTCTGTTTATCAGCAGTCTGGTCTGGTTATGCCGAATTTGGGATGAGCCCGAAGACTGTAATTTTTGTGAAAACAAATCTTGTTACAACTCGCGACTTTTATACAAAATAGTATCTACACCATCACCAATTAAATCAAACACCTCAAAACGCTGAAGTAAAGCAAGTGCGTGACTCTAACCGGGCTGTGCGTGGTAAGCAAATGCTGTTGTTATGTTCGCAACTGTACTCCCAAGGTGCGCAGTGTGGTTTCTGCTCCTGTATACTTTTGATGTTACTAACACTAGTAAAGGAAGAGAATGGAAACCGAAGAGTACTGAAAAACATTATATTCTAACAACAGTCCTGGAAAGATTCTGATTGTAATGGTATTGACAGTCATCGATTTATCCAAACCTAATGCTACGACTATTACAGTTATTCATCATCATCATCATCATCAACAGCCTACTACTACTATGTTAGACTACAGCTGTCTAGCAGTAGTCTAACATAGTAGTATGCCTCTCCTTAGACAAAAAGTTTTGGCCTACTATGCCAGACGGGAACTTTAAACTGTCCAAAGATTGCATTCCTTGGTTATTTAATGGCGAACAAAAATCAGATAACAGTTAAGAAGATTTTTTTACGCTCTAGATGTTAAAGAAATGAGCTCACTGTAGTCTCCACAAATATGGGATCCTCACAGTCTCCTTCGTCAGAAAAGTCGAGGCAATCCTGTTTGCCGTCACATCTTCTCTTTGATTCGATGCAGTCTCTGCTCCTACATTGGAAGAATCCTGGACCACACTTCACGTTCCCTGACAAAGTAATCTATTATTAAAAAATCTGTAGTATTACTCAAACATGCTGATTAATTATTTCTAGGATTGTATCCAAAATATAGTAAATTTTGTCGTAGAAGAACGGCACAATTGAGGGGGGTGGACCGGAGTGATACTACCGCATGACAGAAAACCGGTGTTAACAAATAAAAAAAAATGTCTTCGTTCCTTTTCAACGCGTCAAATTTCTGAATGTGGTTATTGAAGACCACCCCCTCCCCACTGGGGGGAGGCAACTCTTACAGCTCTTGAGTTGCAGATGTCCACTTACCATCAGGTAACTCGCTTGCGTTTACCTCCCTATGCTGTAAAAATTGTATTTACGATAAAATAAATTTGTGTTCCAAACTTACCACAGTTACTTTCATCGGAACCGTCGCTGCAGTCTTCCTCGCCGTCACAAACAAAAGTTTTTGAAATGCATGACCCAGACGCACACCTAATACAAACATATGTTTCTGTATGAAATAGATACTTATTTATATAAATAATAACTATTTATTAAACACTCTTCACTTGTGCAGGTTTGTGATATACAACGTTTCGAAAGCAATCCTTCATCAACATCATCATCTCAGCGGAATGATGCCCACATAGGACATAGACCTCTACACAGGGTTTGCTACAAGAAACGGTCCTGTGCTGCCCTCATGCAACGGTTTCCCGCGACCTTCACCAGGTCGGTGGTCGTCTTTGTTATTTTTTAATGAATCACATTTATTTTGCCAATTTTACATTAAAACATTTGATAGCTCAGATCATATGGAATATTTAACGCCTGTTGTAGTAAACTGGTAAACTGAAGTCTGTATGAAGCAACGGAAGGAAAACACAGAATCGACTTAACTCGAATTCTGTAAAACGGTATTGATCGTTATAAACCTAAATTTTCCGTAAATACTACGAAATAATAATTGAATAAGCGTGTGTTTATTGAAACAGCGTTTTAAAATTTGAATAACTATAAGTAAAAAGTGAATACCGACTACAAGTTCTAATACACATGTATATGTTATATATCAGAGCTCCGTAAGACTAAAAATTACTTTTAAAACTATCGAATTCAGAATGTTTTATTGGCTGACTAGACATGCAGTGGTGATTTATCATGAACATACTCACATAAATTCACTATCGTAGCAAGATAAAGTGTCACATTTATAGAACAGCTCATCGTCTCCAGAAGGACAGTCAGTTTTTTTGTCGCAGAGCTGCGAGCGCGATATGCAAATGGAGCTGTTAGCGCATTGGTATTCTGATGTGCTACAGATAGACTTCACTTCAGCTGTGAACAAAATGAAGGAGATCTAATTTACTAAAAATTGGTAAAGTAGGTTTTATAATAATAATAACCTCACACATTTTACACACGGCCCTCTGATCTCGAATTAAGCAGAGTCTGTGCTGTTGTAACCAGGCCGCTGATAAACATACTTATATATTTCTGGAAACATACATATTTTAGATAAATAACAACCTGACACAGAACAAATCATCGTGTTCATCACACAATTATTTGTCATGGGTGAGAATAGAGGCCACTGTCCAAACGAAACTATGGTCGAAATAGTAACTGAATTCTGAGAGGTTTTGTGCTGCGGTGAGACATGCTCAGTGCACTGAGATATGAGAGGCAAGATATTTCAGTTATGGCAGTAAAAAGTGGCTTGGGCATAACTTAAAATTTATTATCATTCACAACTTCAAATTTATCGGTCAATTAAACAAGCTACGGATAAAAAAGGTGAACTTAAAAAAATTATGATATAATGAAAGACCGTATCAACATGCTACTTACGTTTAGAAATTGGTTTGCCGTTACACATTGACGTTCTTTTTCTATTCAAGCACACGCCTCCACAGAAGTACTCATCCGGTGTACATATGTCGTCGACATTCACTAAAAAGACCAAATATGTTATCCCTATCTACGAATAGTTACAATCGACGTTATATGAGAAGATCGAGATCTAGTAGTAAAATACCTGGTGTACATCCTTCTTCGTCTTCTCCAAGAGGACAATCGTTAACTCCATTACATATCTTTTCTTTAGGTATACACTTATTACTTCTATGACACGTCACTTGATCCTCACGGCAATGGACTACTTTAACACATGTACCGCCCTGGAGAGCATATCCAGGTGCACATAGGCATCTGTACTTGAAAGGAACTAAGGGTGAATATTGGTCTTCGTGCGACACTTGCACGCAGATATCGATGCAATTAGTGCTACTAATACAGGGGTGATTCCAAAGGGGGTCACTGTCACTAGGGGGCAGCAAACTCGCTTCGATAAGCAACTGGGTGTTGTTTGGGAATAAAGCTGAAAGTAAGAAAAAAAAAGACAATAAATTTTAAGATTTAGGTAGATCTCTCACAATAAAAAAAATAGGCTTTGTTTATAGCATAATAAATATAAGATAAAGTTCATAAATTGTCAAGTAAAAATGTGATTAGCCCAATATTATAGTACTTACATTATTCTTTATTACAATAAGCATTCGTATATGAAATTGGAATTCAGTTTTAAGAATTTGATAAAAAGGTTAATAATTTCACTGTCAGAAAATTTTTTGAAAGTTTTTATTAACATACTCGTATGTGTCGTTGTCGATTACTTCTAAAAGATTATAACTTGTTGCGCCTAATTAAAATTAATCTCTGCTTCTATATACTTATTGTGTTAAAAATAAAGGTATTTTACTTATTAAAACCCAATGATCATATGATTTATAATCTAAATCAGCTAAGCAGCTAAGTGTGTCACTAGGGAAACTTTATTTCGCTGTGTTTCGATTTTTTTCTTACAGAGATCCATCCTTCGTATTTTCTGCGTTGTGTCGTGAATATCCGCCCAAAAGAGCCTGGGTGTGCGTCGGTCTGTCCAGAATACAAGATTTTCGGTTATAGCTAAACTGTAAACCGTTGTTGCAAGTTCACGGTAATTTTCTTTTCCTTTCCCTGAAATAGGAAATGGACATTAAGATACCCGTTTGAGAATTCGTAGTTATATACACGGGCGTATCTAACTTTTGACTAAGTGAGGGTAACTTGTTGGTTCAAGAGGGGGTGAAGTTTGTATCCAGTAAATAAATATACACAAAGCTAATTAAAATATATATAATAATAACTCACCATCTGGGTGTATGTAGTCAATAACTCCGTTGCTCTCGTCCGCAATAAAAACATTGTCCATTTGCTGGACGTAACGGAGACGTATGTGAGGCCCTGTTAGCATGAAGAACACTTGATTTAGCAAATATAAATATTGTAAGACTTAGCAACAGCCCCTAGTATCCCAGGACTTAGTAACATACATACATAAATAAGAGGATTGCTCTTATTTCTGTATACAGTGTGTTACAAAAATGTGCTCAAATTCTACAAGCCTTAAAGGTATTATGTAGCTAACAAATAGTTGATTTACTGGTAATGATGCACAATTTTAAACAGTATATGAATTAATAGGGCAACTTCATTAATCTGTTTCTTTTTATTACTTTATGCATAAAACTTTAGAAATATGTGAATGCCACCAACATCCTTGATGTTTAATATCGATAGTTTTATTTATGTCAGCTCTCTCTTACATGAAATTTATAAAATAGGCGAAAAGCTAAACCATTTCACCATGGTATTTTAGAAACTAAAATCTAAAAAGCAACTTCCACTACTCGTAAACTATGTATAAAAGTTATCAATACCACCAGATATAGACATCATCATCATCAGGCAATCGCAGTGCTAGGCATAAGCAGTATATTACATATAGCAGTTAAAAAAAAACCGTATTAAAACAGTAAATGTTACGACACTAAAACAACATATGAGTGCAAGTGAAATCCCCATGAATTCAGAAATTAACAGACCTTTCAAATTGTTACTAATAACGTGGCGTCTTTCATGTCCATCGAGGCCAATGCTGTCGATATGTATATTGTTGTGCTGATCTGTTTCAACCACAGCAACCATCATCCTCCTATCAATGGAAAATAAAATTGATAAGTCCACATACACCGTAATATGCCTAACTTTTTAGAAACCGCCACGGGTCATCACCACACCGGAAGTAACGGTGATGTGGTAAGTCAAAATCAAACCGACTAAAATCATATGGTGTTTCCACACACATGGATCTATTGCCAGAAATACAGGTATACCCTATTAATTTAGATCTGAATCGATCTAAATTAAAAGGAAGCAAGTCCCAACAACCCTTAGGAGATATTGGTCCCTTCCAATAGAAGTGCACGTGTAACATGTACACGTCGCTGTACTATCTGAAGCCTGGATCTGGTAGGGTAATGAGCTGCCTCACCCCAGAGCAGTGCTCATGGAAGACGGAGAACATGCAATGAACACCTGCAAAAGTCGCAATAATGTATAAACGTATATGTAATACAAAAGTCCTACTTACCCATAGTCTGGCATCAGACAAAAGCTTATAGGCGTTTCTTCATTCCCAAACTTATACACTTCAGCTCGTTTCCTTGACTTGCTAGAGTATACTTCTACTACCCGACGACCAGCGTCTAATATGTAGAGATTGTCTGTTGCGAAATCTGTGTAGTAGACACGTTGAAAATATTTATTTAAAAAGCACAATCTTAAAATATGAAATAAATTTTGTGAAAAATGTCATCACCTTTGTTAAACATGGAAATTTATTTTTCTAAGTTATAGTTAATTACTAGCAATTGTATTTTAAATTTGAAAAAAGTATCTACTATATATCTAGAATCTAGTAATGTAATAGTATTTTAATAACCATAATAACAATCTTAGCTATTGATTTCTACAAAGTTTATCATAGGTTTATGGCATATTTTTTAATTCATTTTTAGTAAATTTAGTAATTTAAACAAATATGCGATATTTATTACATTAAATGACAGCCATTCAATAAATATAATAATAATGATTACTCACCGAAGTCCAAATCAACGACATTTACTAACCCCTCTTGCACAAGAGGTTTTGTTATCCCAGAAAGAAAATCATTCATGGAGATATACTGAATAGATCTAAATTTCACATCATATATATATAAGACATCTGAAAGCATATATTATTTAATGGGTGAGGTGTTATTTAAAAGTTCAAAAACAATAAGTTATGATGTTCAAGTACTGTAACATACAATATGATAATATCATCGAGGTAAAAGAAATGCATATTGTGTTGAATTTAGGCCTAAATTTAAAAATAAACTCTAACTTTATTGTTTAAATATTATAAAAATATACCTAGTTAGAGTACTCAGACTCTATTCCTAGAAATTTAAAGGATATATCAGCAATAGATTTAAAAATTGAAAACTGGTTATATTACAAAGGTAAATCCAAAATAGTCGAATGTTGAATTTTACGTATTACTGACGCATTTACCTCTAACACGATCGTGTGTCATAGCTTGCACTCGTCCTATGTTAAAGCTAGTGGCGTGACTTTCCGGGTTGCCCAGCTCATCATATTGAATTCTAGTGAATAGACGGCCTTCAGCTACCACTAGATACTTGGCTCGATAATCACCAATGCCTGATAAGAAGAGTACATTTGTTTTTTTGTGTTTTATAATTTAATATCTTATTCGTTAAAAGAATAAAGTTTAGTACTTGTCTAAAAAATCATTTAGCTACAAGCAAAATATATACCATCCTCTTTGTTTGCATAAAAATGGATAGCTTTTTACCGTATTCGTTATAGGACAGATGAATAGATTTGAACAAATTTCATTAATACTTATTTCCAACCACGCACTAAAAATAGATACACTAAAAACTTCATTTTTTAAATCTGTTTAATAAGTTTAAAGTTAAGTCACACTTCAGCCTAAAATGACTAGTTTGACAGAAATGATATTACGGCCTTACAGAAAACCTGTTTCAAGCATTTTTTTCATTACTTTTCCCCGGATTTTGGTGGGAGGGATGACTCAAAGGGTGGCAAAGCATGTGATTCTTGAGGTGCAGGTGGCGCCGGTAAGCAGTTACTACATTAGGTGACCCCTTTTTTTTTTTTTCGTGCGGAAATCCTCTCGGTTACCACCTATCGGTAGCGTGAAGGACTCGAACCGACTAAAACCACACGCCGTCTCGGGTACTAATAGCCGGGGAACCAGGTTTACCCTATAAAGGAAGTCCCTGGTGCACCGACATTAGGTGACTCCTAAACTCATCTGTCCCCACATGTTGTGATACACACATTTAGTGTGTTATACTCGTATACAAGATGGAATATTAGTTAATCGTATAAGACAAGCACAAAATTTTCATTTAAATACAAAATAAGAAAGAAAGAAGTAAACAAAGTTAGCATGTAATGGCCGCCAGTTAAAGGTCATCCCAAATTGTGCATTCTTTAGAAAAAATAGGAATCTTAAATACTTACGAGCACAGGAGTTGTCTCGTAATTCCATGCCGTCAGGGCATCCGCAGACGTGAGTAGTATTGGACGTGACAAGGCAGAAATGTGAACAAATGTTGTCCTTACAAGGGTTGATAGTAGCGTTCATTAGGATTGGGTGATACATATGCATTCCTGTTTGAGAACAAGCAAAGATTAAACAGATTCTTATGCTTCTAAATTCTAAATTGAAAAATGGTAAAATATATCAAACTGTCGTTAACGCACAATGCGTATTTCCCACCTACTTAAATATATACTAAATTTTCTCTTAATTAATCAAAAGCTGTCTAAATTATATATGTGCCTGAAGAGGATAAGCCTCCTATTAGATGTTTGGAGCCAGATTCGTTGGCAAAATATAAGTGTCTGATACGCCTCTAATAACAGGGTATGACATGAGCAAGTTTTCGTAAAGTGCTCTACCTGTTATAGAAGTGTTCAGCTTCAGTAGGTGATGTCTCATTTCAGCGGTGCCGTGAACTTTGTCTGTCATCTGTATGGTGTTGGTGGTCCAATCATTCCAGTAGATCGTGTTCTCGAACACGGAGATGGAATACGGATGATGGTATGGCTCATCCAATAACGTCTGCAAAGGATAAGAGAAGATATTCACGAATCTGAATGACCCAACAGTCAGTGACGAATAAGAAGATTTTTTTAAGACAAATTTTGTTAAGTACGTTATATGAGGTCAAAATCATCAACAGTCTTTCATAGTTTACTGCTGGACATGGCCTCTCCTTAGAAAGGAGATTTTGGCCTACTATATCACGCTGGCCAAACGCGGGTTGGTATAGGGTTTGTTGCAAGTTTTCCGTCTCATTGCAGTACTGTTGACCTGCCTATTTCGATCCCTTTAGTCGGCTGTTACGATACCCATGTTATGAATAGGAGTGGTGACCTTCCATATGCTACTTTCTAGATGAAAAGCAAAAAAAAAAAAAAAAAAAATGAAATCAAAAAGGTATGACCAGCGGCCATGATATTTCAGTTTGGTAGCCTGTGAGAAATAGTGTTTTTTTTTTAAAACCAGAATAGGCCGGTTGATCTGCATATTACTAAATTACTAATAAAAATGGCCAAATACGAATTTGAATCGTTTGAGAGGTGCGATAATATGTTGACATACTCAATACAAATTAATACTTTTATCTAATCTAATACTTCAAGGTTTGTTGTAATCCATAAGATAGTGGTGCTTCCCTTTGGCAAGTATGTTAATTTATCATGTTTAAATTTAAAATTATTATTTTCAGTAATAAATAACACATTCAAGACCCTCGCAACAAGTGTGGGTAGACATAACACGGTAATTAGTTTTTTTTAAGTGGCCGACATAAAGTGACTCATATTCAAAATTTAAACTTTAAAACATTCACTATAATCATTTAAGATTTTTTACGCGAATAGATTAATAATAATCTAAATATATTTCAACTCACGTATCCACGCCTCAGACTAAGAATCACTACTCTGATGGTCTTATCGACGTAGTACAATCGATCATTCGGTACATCGAGAGCGAGGCCGGTCGCAAACGACTCCAGCTTGTCAACTAGCACTTCAGTGTGGCTGCCGTCCATGCGAGCTGTCAGGATGACACCACGGCCCATGTAATCCGCCCAGTACATTAGTCTGTTGGAAAGCATAGAGTAAAACCATCTATCTATTCAAAATTTTAAATTCTCTTTTTAAATTCTTCTTATACGGAGACATAAGAACTGTGGCCCATAAAGTTTTGCGTCCGTGGCGATTCCCTGCTTGACAGGGTGTATGTCTATTTTTTACTACATTTTGTCTCCCGCTTTTCAAGGCAGGGAGAAGTGGATTTCTTGAGTTTCCATCTCCTCCAATGTACTTTTGATTAATTTCGTTGCGAGTTCCAAGATATTATCTTTTTCTTTTCCTGGGACTTTCCGAGTGAGATAAGTTATGACACTGAGTTATGACTTATAACTTGGTGTGTTCTTTGGTCATTGCTGTTGCTCCTGGTATACAAGAGTCTCAGATCAGATCTCAGACGGCCACTTCTGTAAGTGGCCGTCTGAGATGGATTAGTCCCTTACGAGAAAAATAAAATAAAGTGCGCTGCCGGTCTTTAAGGTCCTCCCTCCCCTATAATCAAGGTGAAAGAGGGTCTGCGGTAACTTAACTCACTCGGTGAAAGAAACGAAACAATTGCTTAGCATCGGTTTTCTGTGAGTCTCTTGTATCACTCCAGTCGAGCCCAAATGTATGGCTCTCCCACGACAAATAGTAATAAAAAAATCTAAGCGAAAATTGCACTACAGGCCAACAGTTCTGCATTAAACTTACCCGTTCTTAACATCCAAGGTGACATATGAGGGACGGTTGGTCTTCGCTTTTATGGTGGTGCAACTGGAACCATCAAATTTGCAAGCCGAGATGGTTCCGCGTTCCGAGTCGCTAAAGTAGATGTTATCGCCCAAATAGTCTATGGCTATACTATCTGGTTCTTCAAGACCGAGGCCCGCGAGTATCTGAAGACAACGTAATCATGAAGCATATTAGGGAACGTACCCGTACTACGTGATCCATTTTTACAATTTTAACTCCTCCCCCACCGGTATGTCAAGACATACCCACTTAGTAATTAACAAATTTGGTTTTAAATAATTTTTTGTAAACATATTTATGAAAAGATCTGCTTAAATATTTGTCTTTAATAATACAGCGCTTGCCATATTTGAATATAGCTCGAAAAATAGCGAAATTTCAATTAAAAAATTGACTATCCAACCAAAAAAATTGACTACCCCAGGTCCTTCAACCAAGAGTGATATTTTGAGGACCCTCTCCTGAACGGGTCAAGTCCTATGGGAATACATGTCCCCTTATGTTACTTCAAGGTAAATTTCCAGACGATTCATAATAATAATAACTTGTTTGAAACATCTCACACACGACAGTCTGAGGACCAAGTATGAGTTTATTTTACATCTACTCAATCTTCACGATGAGAGCGTTCGGCGCTGCGATCGATCCGCCCTGAAATTTGCACCTGCACAATACACACCTGCTTAGTATCCTTAATGTTATCCAGCCGAGCTTTAAATATGGCTTGATGACCTTTTGCTGTTTCAACCCAGTACACATTTGTGCCATCGAACGTTACTCCATGAGCCTTTAAAACAAACGTATATAAAATAAAATATACAACATCGAGCGACATTCTATTTCCGATCTCATCAATATAGATATAAAACTCATTGTTCCGTCCCATCCTGCATTACAATTATAAGCCGGTATTGCGGTTTTTTTTTTTTTTTTTTTTTTTATTTTAAAAGACAACTCCCGCATTAGGAATAAATCCTGTGTCGCGGGGGACTTTACAAACATACATGAAACGGACACAAAGTACACCCAGACTCAGAACAACAATTTGTGGATCACACAAAGTGTCGTCCCATGTGGGGTTTGAACCCACAACACTCGACGCAGTAGGAAGCGGCGTGGCGACCGCTTAAACCACTACGCCATCCGTGCAGTCAACCACGCGTATTGTAAGTGTAGTTATAGGAGGGCTTAGGACGAGTTTTCCGAAGCTGGCGTTTGGCGTCAAGGTCTTCTAGATGGCTTCGTTCACAATTTTGAATGCCCTTAGGGACAGCTTTGTGCCACTCCGTTCTCTTTAACTAAACCAAACTAGTTTAAACATGAAAGTAACCAACCTTTTTAATGCCAGACGCAACAGTGACCATTTTTTTTGTCATAATTGTGAGATATCTGATGTCATTTGGTGTGCTGAAGAATAACATTCCCTCGGGTGCTAAAACAATTTTTTACAAGTTACATAAAGCTTGAACAGAAAGTTTAAACTTTCCCTGAACTTCCACAACTATTTCAAGGCCTAAATTAGCTAAATCGATCCAGCCATTCTCGAGACTAATGAAAAGCAATTAATTTATATAAGATTATTATAATATACCTGCACGCAACGGTGAACCAGGCTATATTACCTTTCTTGCTGGAGAATTCTCACTTTATGTTCAAAGCATGCGACAACGTTGCTCCATACAGTGAGGGTTGTGTTAATTTAAACTTATTTCGCAGTAGTTATTTGTAGATATTTCATTGTGTTTAGTTCAATGTATCTACTGAAATGAATGCAGTAACTTACCAGGAGCGAAACACAAATAGCGTAAATGATCCATTGTATATCCAGGTTCACATTCGCATCTGAAATTTCTGGGTAAATTGGTACATTTATGTGAACATTGGGGTATATCCTTTATGCACTCGTTGACATCTTCACACTTGTGGGTTTCGTAGTTGTACAGGGATATGTCGGTATCTGGGTCGCAGACACAGATAGGACCTTCACGGTCAGGAACGCATTTTGTGTTGTTGCCGTAACATTTGAAATGGTCGCACATTGTGTTCCCTATGAAAAAAGCGGAGATTAAACATTGATACGAAGATATTTTGCAGTAGAAAAAAAAGTGTTTATTCGAAAAATCTGCTTTTAATATGTAATAGAATAATTAAGAATAAAAATTAAGAGTATTATTATATTAATTAATTATAAAATTAATAATAATACAATTACTTGTTGGTTTCGACAATTTTTTGTCAACAACACACTTTTCTGAACTCTGAAAATTCAAAGGCTGAATTTTCTAATTACTTATCTGTGTAAAAAGTATGAAAAATTCTATAGTAATAGTAAGAGAGTAGTAATAATAGTGATAGTAATAGCTAGTAAAATGGTAATTACGCAGGTTTCTATACTTGTGCCATTTTTTTAGTTTTAATCTATATTGACGAATTATCCTGTACAGAACAACTATGAAACTTTCTCAGTTGTTTGTGGATGGTTTAAAACTACTCGTAGTTTTAAATAGTTAATAACCTAGTAACTTTGACGATATTAACGATGCTAATTCAACAGTAGTTTGCTTGTTGAACATTAGTACCTTACATCGTAATGGAGAGAAAACTAAATATATTCGGTTCATTATATCAAACGTTAACGTTGAAACAGGTGAAAAACACTCGCCGAACGACAGACAGAAGTTATAACCAGACTTCTTGTGAATTTAGAGTGAGTACTTTGTAGTAGTAGTAGTGTTTGTGTATTTTGTATTAATAGAAGCGTGCTGTTATAGATCTACACATGTATATTTGTTATGTGATACTTCTAATGCAGGGGCTGACCATCTGTTGTGTGGCGACGTGTCACCACGGCTTGCGTCATCACGCTATGTGTATATGTAACATGTAATGCGGTGTGGCGGCGCGTTGCCATGCACAAGTGACTCTGCGACTTAATCATCTTTTGCTTTTAGAGAATCTGAATCTTTGAAATAAACTGAACGCAAAAGTTTATGCTGATCCGATAAGCGATAAGCAGCGCCTAATGGAAACAAGACTTCTCTTAGCTTCGCTTTTAAAGATTAAAATTTTCACAACCTAAGATTTGAGCTTTGAAATGCAAAAAATATATTGTAACACCGATTAAATCAAAAAAGTAACTTACATATAGAAATAGATACTTACACCTGTAACAGAAGTTCCCTTCATCGCTTTCGTCACGGCAATCTAGGATACCATCACACATTCTACTGGCAGTCACACAATATCTCCAATCGAGACATTTATAGGCATGTTCTACGCCGCTAATAGGCACCTTATAGCAGAAGGTATCCACTAAGCCCATGTGAGCCGACTTAGCAGAACCTGAAAAAAACAATAACCAAGTGCCTTCTAAACTTACTCAGTACACCACCGGCTCTTTTGTGTATGTGGAAAGCCCCATAGGCAGTCACCCCTACTTCTCAGTTTGTGGAGCTCTTTGCGGTAATTGAATCGATGAAAACAAAAAATGGCGTGAAGGGTCTATGGACCCACGATCGGAAAAAAGTTCTACAATAAGTGTCGGAAAAAAATGTTGTTACACATTTTTCGGTCTCGCTTCCATTCGCTCAGAGCGCGTAACGCACGAAAAGGAACTTCCTGCCAATAGTCACAGCAGGCAATGAGAGCTCTAGGGCTGTATTCTTACAGCAGTCAAATTTTTAACCCGAAGTAGTAACAGGGGGCCCAATTTCTTCCTGACGACTGAGTGCAGGTACTTCCCGAAGCAAGTGTGTCCGAACCTACGGCAGTTGGAACAAAAGGTTCCCGTGCCATACCTGACCATTTGACTATGACTGGCTACATCGCCTCCACGGTAGCAAACCCTGCATTTGACACTAGCCCACAACTGTTGACATTGTTCAACTCTAACCCATAACCCAGAGACTGCTGCCTGTACATCCCTTGCCTCTATCCTTGTATACTTTTCAAGCTCCATGTTCTATCATATTAAAAATGTAAATTATACAAATATACAAAGTAAAACACAACCTGTTTCTTGGGTTATTATTTAACTAGCTTTTGCCCCCAATTTCGGGCGCGTGAATGTCGGTTATAGTGGTAAAAAGTAGCGTATGTACCATTTTTGTTTTCTTTTTTTAAATCGGTTTAGTGGTAACAAACAAACGAACTTTCACATTTAAAATATAAGTAAGGATAAACTAATATTCAAGTACTGTTTTACAAGTTTCCAGAAGATTCGGAGTGTTTTATTGAAGTCAGGAGTTCAATACACCACTTTAGTGTATAGGTAAGGTACTTACGGCACAAATCCTGTCTAAACTCATCACTCTTATCCTTGCAGTCGTATATTCCATCACAAACCCATAAGTCGGAGATGCATTTATCGTGGTCGCACAGGAAACCTTTGCACGTTGCCTAAGGATGAAGGTGATTATAATATTTATATCAATTTATGATTATGTGTTTCAGGACTTTTTATTGGAGTGTTTATATTGCAAATGACAATTTATGGCAAATGAGAGCAATAATTAAGATAATTCAGTTGTAATTACTGTATTTGAATTGTTTTTTTTTTAATATTTTGTTTAATCACAAAATATTGATGAAAATAAAATAATTTGCAATATGTACTTATAATTCCGTTCATTTTAACACTATTTTCTTTTCTTTTTCGTGGCAATTTTCTTTATTACGTATTTATATGTTTAGCAAACATTTTATTTAACTATTATTATGTACATCGTAAAATGTGCCTGTGCCAAATTGCATCCAGATCACTCATCACGCTACTTTTTATCCTGATCCACGACTGGATTTGCCTGACCCATTAGATTCACAAATACTTGACGTAATGTATCGAGAAGGTTCGGAACGTGCGGCTCAAAGGAGCCTCTGCTGACGTCAGGGTTTCCAAGTTAGAGATTTTCCCACCTAATTTATAGGTCACCAGTATGTAGCCAATCTATTTATTTGCTAACTTAGCGACACGTAATGACATCTAGAGCAGTTTCTAGTTAGTCTAGGCTCTATTCTAATATAATGAAGAAAAAATAGGGAGGGTGGGGTCTATGGACTAGCGGTTGTAATGAAGTTTCTTTCGCTTTTTGGTAGACGTTTACTATACAGTCATTATAATCTTATATATAAAATTCTCGTGTCACAATGTTCGTTCCGTACTCCTCCGAAACGGCTGGACCAATTTATTTAAAATTTTGTGTGCACATCAGGTAGGTCTGAGAATCGGCCAACATCTATTTTTCATACCCCTAGACAAGGGTGGGTCACCCTAATTTTTTTTTCAATTTTTTTTTAAAATAATGTATAGGGCATAGCAACGTTTGCGTGTCAGCTAGTTTATATTATAAAATATCAAGTTAATAGAATTAATTGAAAAATTCATGATAAAATTCATGTATAAGGTTTAAAATAAATAATTGGAGAGCCAGGGCCGCCGCTAGAAGTTTAAGCGCCCGCGTGCAATGCTGATTTTATTTTATTTTATTTTATTTTATTTTTTTAGGGATAACAACAGCTGCAATTCTTAACTAGGTAGTAAACTATGATTACATGAGTAGCCAATAAAAGTTATCCACGGTAGATAAGAGTGGATGAATATGCTTACAACAATACATAATATTAAAACTGATTGGTAAACCTTGAAAAGATGGGTGAATAGATGTAAAATATGAAATATAATAAATAACTGAAATAAATAACACATACTAATATATATAAATATGGGAGAAAAATTTAATTGAATAAATACATTAAAAATTTTTATATCATCTAGAAACCTATAAATCCAGCCATTCAGTGCAATGATGTTGACATTTTAGAAAGCCTATGATGATAGTAATTTAAGCGAAACTCGTTTTTTGAAATTATCCTTAGAACCGATGAATATGTCCACACTATTAAAGTGTTCATTATAAGAGTCGAGTAAACGTGATATTACACCATTTCTACCGTAATTAGTCGAGTGAAATGAAGTGCAAAATAGTGTAGTGTGTCTAGTGCGTTTCTTGGGTACATTAAACTTAATATTATTTAAAAGCATAGGACAATCGATCCGTCCTCGCAAAATGTCATAGAGTAAACCCATATCCATCAGAATACGCCTTTCCTCGAGAGTTAGTAGATTGTAAATACGACAATTTTCTCTGTAATCATGAAAGCTGTGACGAAATTTAAAATTAAGGTGATCTATAAACTTTTTCTGGATGCGCTCCAGACTGCCTTTGTGTATCGCATAACAGGGAGACCATATCTGACAACCGTATTCCAGTAAACTACGAACAAAAGCAATATAAACAACACTTAAGCTCAACAAACTCTTGAAAGGTAGGCAAGATCTTAGGACAAAACCGAGATTGCGAAATGATCTGCTGCATATAGCATCAATGTGCTGCCGCATGGACATCTCCGAGTCCAAAAGTATACCCAGGTCTCGCACAACCTTGACCCTCTCGATTGCAACGCCGTTAAAACTGTATTGGTAAATGATAGGATATCTTTTACGGGTAAAGGATATACTTTGACATTTTTTGATGCTAACCGTGATATTATTTTTAGCGTAGTACCTAAATAAAGAGTCGAGATCCTCTTGAAGCAAGACACAGTCAGATAAGGAGTTGATGGATGTGTAAATCTTTTTGTCATCAGCGTAGAGTATGTAATGTGAGTGCTTGATGTGGTAAATTATGTCAAAAATATAGGCGTTATAGAAGAGAGGGCCAAGATGCGATCCCTGGGGAACGCCAGAGGGAATAGATACAAAGTCAGACTTAAACCCACCCAATACAACAGCCTGAGAGCGATTAGTTAGGTACGATTCAACCCACCTAAGTAGGTCACCGTGAATACCTAACGCGTACAGCTTACGTAACAGGATGCCGTGGTCTACACGGTCGAAGGCCTTTTCAAAATCTGTGTAGACCACGTCAACCTGGCCACCATTTTCCATTTCGCCTACCACATAATCTGTGAAACAAGCCAAATTTGAAACCGTGGAACGTCTTTGCATGAATCCGTGCTGAAATTCTGGAATGCCAAGACTAACAACTGGGTAAACATTATTAAAAATTATTTTTTCAAAAACCTTGGCTACACAGTTTAAAATGGAGATAGGGCGATAATTATCTATTTGAGATTTGGAACCTTTCTTGTAAATAGGTATGACGTGCGCTTTTTTCCAAAGAGAGGGAAACATACAAGTTCTTAGTGAGTGTTGGAACAGTAGAGCAATAGGGTGCGATAAACTCTCAGCGCACGCTGACCAAAAGACAGGAGGAATTCCGTCGCAACCAGCACCCTTATTTCTGTCCAAACGTGAGAGGTGGTTAAATACCGTTTCTTTAGAGACAGTTATGTTAGAAATAGTGTCGCAGGCCTGGTAGTTGAACAGTGGAGAATGAGTGTCAGATTGCGACGAGGACCGACCCCTAGTAAAGACGCTGTCAAAAAAGTTATTGAAAGCAGTGCATATTGCCTGACCGTCATTATATTTTGTATTTCCCAAAGTGAAATGACGCGGATAAGCAGAACCAGCCCTTTTTGACTTGACGTAGCTCCAAAAGTATTTAGGTGCTTTCCTTATGTTGTGTTCAGCATTGCGTGTGAAGTTGTCAAAACACTGAACCTGTACTCGATGTTGCCTATCCCTCAGAAGCTTAAATTCATCGAAGTCTCGAGGATTTTTAAACAATTTCCATTTTTTATGTAACTTATCTTTTTCGCGAATGACCTTAATTAAAGAATGACTATACCATATGGGATAGGAATTATTTCGCTGACTGATAAGGGGTACAAATAGAGTAATACAATTTTTTAATTTTTCATAAAATAAATCAACCGCGTCGTCAACACAATCAGTGCCCGACAACAATTGGTCCCAATTAATATTACTCAAATATTTATTGATATCTTCATAATTACATATGCGGAAGTTTAATCTACATATTTTATTCGTGATAAAAGAGCTAATATACAAGTCTACAATGTCAATAGAAAGAGGTGGGTGAAATCTATCAATTTTAGTTAAACCGCTAGTCACAGAAACGTTTAAAGGTAAGTTTGAAAAACAAAGATCTAAAGTGTTGTCACAGTTATTAAGTGTATAGTTATATTGAACCAACCCTAATAAGCTTAAATCTTCCACAAATGCACAAGCTCTGTCCTGTACCAGGCTGCTACCCAAATGTGTGAGGGACCAACCATCCCTACACCAACGTAAACAGGGTAAATTAAAATCACCTACAAGAAAATAATACGCGTCTTTGTATTTACGAAATAAAGTGTTAAAGTTAATAAAATAATTATTTAAGTTAGTCGGCAGATTAAAGGCGTCAGGTGGCATGTATGATAAAACAATAATTAAATCCGCTGAAGTGCCAAGAGTCCGTGCCGAGATCTTCAGACAAACAAATTCATATTGTGAATTACCCAGCCAAGCGGTGAGCGAGACCGCGCATAGCTCACGGCGGACACAGCACACAACGCCGCCGCCAGCCCGCTTACCAGTTACATCCAGATTTCGATCGCAACGAAACATCTCATACCTACCATCACAGATTTCTTCGTCTAATATATCACTCTGTAGCCATGACTCGGTAATAAAAATAATGTCGTATTCATGTAAAAGAATGTTATTGTACAAGTCAAGACATTTTGTGCGTAAACCACGGACGTTTTGGTAAAAAATATTTAGTCGTTTGCTATCCATTAAGGTGGCCATTTTAGAGGTCTACAGTAATATGTACATAACTTTTTATAATAGGAACAACATAAATGGCAGGAATAACAGGTGCAGAAAATATAATTATATACTGAACAATGATAAAATACGTGAACGTAGTATAAGATTAGAAATATTTTATAAAGTAAAAAATAAGATAAATAATATGTGGGTATATTTAATAATAAGAGGCTACGATATTTTATATAAATGTTACATAGCTGTTTACCAATCATATCAAGCGGGTTGTAAGATTTAAAACAACCAATCAACTTAAATTTGTTAAATATGAGATTATGGTACAATAACAAACATTCCCCAAACAAAAAAACTAGAATAATTAGTCATACAATTTTACGGAGATCAGCAGGGGATATGATACGAATTGACGCGGAGGTGTCATTCTTCCTAACGAAGATTTTTCCATCACGTATCCAAACAAACTGGTACTGCGCAGCGGCTGCCTTTTGCCGTGTATTCTTGTGTAACAGCTTGTTGGCAGGCGTGAGGTGTTCATTTACAAAGATCCTTCTCAGGTCACCCGTGATGCCGAGGTCGCTCGTGCTGAGGCCCTTCCTGGTTCTAATAGCAGACAATATGGTATCGCGTAGGAGGCGTGAGTTGAGTTTAACCACGATGGATTTAGGGCGACCAGGTACTGGATTGACTGGGCGTACTCTTGTCGCATGCACGACATCGGTCGCTGAGGATTCTATTTCCAAAAACCTTACCATAGTGCAGTAATAATCAATAAGTTTCTCGTTAGACCTTTCAGGAACACCATTTATCTCAAGATTAAACGCACGGTCACGCTGTTGTTGATTATTGAGTTCCACTTCTAAATTAGTTATGTGCTCCTGCATTCGAGTTATATCCGAGCTGTGGGTTGTATTTGATTTGAAGATGTCATCAACTCGTTTAACCAAATTAGCCTGAAGGCTATCCTGATGTTCAATCGCAGTCTTGACCGATTCCATATCCGTAAACAGCTGAGATTGATTAACATCAATAACTGAAAGCTTAGACTTAATGTTGTCTAGGTCGTTTTTTATTATAGTGTTAATGTTTAATTGAATGTCAGAAACCTTGTTTTGGAGATCTGTCATCATGGAGGCAAGCTTAGCAGTCAAATCCGATGAAAACCTGTCAAACAGCTCATCCAAGTTGCTGTCCACTTGCTTGCGTTTGCGTCGAATAATATTCACAGACTCAGCGTCTTGTAAATGCAGTTTGTGTAGCTCGGGTTCCGATGCGACCGATACCGGTTGTTTAGACATAATTATAAATACCTTTGTATAACTTGTGGAATAGTTCAGGTGGCACAGTATCACTTACACAAACAAATAGCGCACACAACACAGACGACTAGGTTTGACAGTTCGCGGATACTACCAGCGACGCGAGAACGGCGCAGCAGGAGCAGCGGAAGAGAGACGAATAATTTCACTTAATTATTATGTACTTGACCCGTAATCAAAACTGAAGCGTATGCGCACCAAGCAACGTACAGTTCACAATGCTAACTGCTAACACAAATATCAATTAAAGAAGCACACGTCCACCTCGAACAAGTAACGACAAAGTGATGAAGCTGCTTTTTTTGTGGGGAAACCGCCCTTCAGGTCTCTACTCCTCTATGTCGTAGACTAAAAAAAACATTTAGTAGTGGACCGAATTGTGAATTGAAAACATTCTCGAATCCACTCGGTCCAGCCGTTTAGGAATTAGGAACGCACAAAAGAATTAAATATATAAAAGGTAATTTGATAAATTTCTATTCTATCCTAATTCGCATGTTATTCTTTTTTTTCTAGCTAAAATAAATAAATAATAATAAATGAGTGTACATTTTATTTTGTCATAAGTGCGTAAAGCGATCCCCATTCGGCTGCCGAGCGTACAAGATTGGTGCCGGGAAGTATACGATAATTTTTACGGATTAGTTAAATCATATATGTATTCTTAATTCAGTAACAGAAGTTTTTTTTTGTAACGTAAATTAGAGCCTAACATTACCATTTGGTAAAACAGGTGTATGCATCAGTGTCATTAGCAGACCAAGAGCAAGGTTTAATGTTTTCAAAGAAGTTTAAGTCACTCTAACCTATATTGTATTTAATTTAGAATTTATTTCTCTCTGACATTTCTAAGGACCTAGTTACCTAGATTTTAAGATATAGGCATGGCTGACCTGGAATGATTCTCCCTAGGTCGGCCACCTAGTAACGCTTATAACTTTTGAACCAGTGCCCGACAAATTCTAATATTTGGCGACTGATTTCGACAAATTAGCGACTAAATTTGGGAGGAAACAGATATTTGCTAGGTGCTCTAGTTTTTGAAAAACAAGCGTGGCCCTGCTAGGGAGACTGGCCCCAGCAGGCCCCCCTATAAAAGCTTATAACTTTTGAACCAGTGACCTGCAAATTCTGATATTTGGCGACAAATTTCGGCAAATTAGCGACAAAATTTTTTGCCAAGCCAGTGTCAGTGACACGTCTTTGTTTTTTTTTTTAACTCGAGGGATTGTTTCGCGTTTTTACTAATGGATAAGGCATTAGTGCAATTGGCTTCATCGCTATCATCAACACAGACCACGCGTTTATTACAAATCCAGTAGTTATTGATACGACTCAGGCCATTGGCACAAAAAAACTGATGTGTGGCGTTACCGCTCTAATTTGTAGTAGGATGTTTGAACAGCAGAGAAACAAAACTGCGATCAACAATCTTGTTCTAAGAAAAACAGCATTAGATTACACATTGGTTACTTATTAAATAACAGTTATTCCTTTACACTTTTACGAGTGTGAAGGTCTAATACAAAGTAATGAAAATTATAAACAAATCAGTGATAGTGCTATGGCCATTGGCAGAAAGAAACTGGTGTGCTTTACCGCATTTTAGTGTAACACTTTCTCTTATTGTATTATAGGCTTATTTACATTTAGGCCATAAGCAAGAAAATATTTTTCCTGAAAATATAACCAGACCAGGCCTATCTAATAAGGTACATTATAATTAATCAGATATCAATACGTACGTTTTTATCGATGGGTAAAGTATCAGTGCAATTGGCTTCGTCGCTGCCATCATCGCAGTCCGTGCGGTTATTGCATATCCAGAAGTTAGGGATACAGCTGAGGCCATTGGCGCAAAGAAACTGGTGTGTGGCGTTACATATCAATGGATCCGCTTTATGGGTGACTGGAGACAAAAATACATTATTGTAATGTAACGTAATTAAAAGTAAATTGTAATAATTATTAGAAATAAATAATAAATTCGACGCCCCCCGCGAATAATCCGGTAATCGTAAAAGTGTAAATGTTCAGGAAAAATAAAAAACCATTTTTCCTTAATAACTCTATTAAACAACAAGTACCTATCAGAGACTTTTTATATCGCATATGGAAGCTAATTTTTGCTATCAAGGGCTTCGTTATAATTTAGCTGGATGCATTTTACTATATTAGTGTAGGTCAAGCTCTGGTCAGTAATGTCACTTACGATATTGTTCGTGTAAATTTATATTTTCGACGGCAACAGTAAAATCTTGTTGCGATATTATTCGTGTAAATTTATATTTTCGACGGCAACGGTAATATCGTGTTGCGCTATTATTCGTGTAATTTGTTTTGTATACTGAACATTTGCAAAAAGTAATAATTCGGTTATTCGATTGTTTAACAGTAACGTACATTTTATTGTTTTGACTATTACTGTTTATTCGAATTCCCCACCATTATCAACCATTTTATAGGAATTTAAGCTTTTGTGATACTGAAGCAGGTCATGATGAGGATTCTGATTAAGATTTTCAACTGTAATAGGACCTTATTATAATTTTTATGATTGTGTAACCATGTGTAATAGTCGTGTCTTCAGTTCAGTGTCTATTTTTTATGATAATAATAACTATCGTGTTTTGTCAAACTAACCAAAGTTGTTTCATTTACTAGAATGTCCTTTATTTCATAAAATATACTATAATAATCATCAAATAATACTTAAGTAAACTATTCGAATAAACAGTAACAGTCATAACTATAACATGTTACATAAATAAGGTAGAAAACTATTTACCCGAATAATATCTTAAAGTAATTTTACTGTCAAATCATATTGATTTTTTTTTCGTAAAGATCTAAAACCATATTATTCGTTTAAAATACATTTTAATGATTTTTTATGGAATATACGCGTAGTTTTTCATATCTTCGTAAATAAAGATAGAAAAATTCTGAAAAAAAATTACATGGTGTATTTTAACTTCTAGATGCCGAAAAACGCATAACATGAAAAACCCCGTAATAGGTCATTACCGGATTATATCGCGGGGGACGTCGATGTGTCGCAGTGCGGTTTTAGTCGGTTCGAGTCCGACATAGCCACCGGTATTTGGTATCCGAGGGGATATCCGCACAGAAAAAAAAGGGGATTTCTAGACTAATTTGTGAATAACTCAAAGTGTTCAACTTCAACTCAAATTATTCCATGTGAGGATCGAACCCACAACACTCAGCGAAACTGAACTTAGTAGAAAGCGGCGAGGTGACCGCTTAAACAAATAAGCCACGCACTACACTTGAATTGTGTGTATAACTCACCACAGAATTGCTCGTCAGTGCCATCCTCACAGTTTACGAAACCATCACAGAACTGCGACTGCTGAAAGCACCCTCCACTGGTGCACGGTACGGAGCCAACCTCAGCACAGCTAATCTCATAATGGTTGTCAAGTTCATCAGAGTATTGGAGTGTGTATTGGAAGCAGATAAACAAAACTGCGATAAACAATTTTGCTCTGAGGACAAAAGTATCTGATTAGGTAGGTACTTATTAAATAAATAACAATTATAACTCACACTTTTACGAATACAAATACCTTTTATCTAAAAGTAAAAAAAAAAGTTTTACTAAAGTTATGAAAATTTAAAAACATTATTTTTATTATATATATGGTAGGTATTATATAGAATACCTGAATTACACAGATTACCTGTAAAAGTAACTTTACGTGTGTCACACACGGCAGTCTGATCCCAAACTAGGCAGAGCCTGTACTATGGTAACCATATTCCTGATAAACAATTATATTTTTAAATAAATACACATAGAAAAATGATCGTGCTCATTACACAATTACCTGTCGTGGGTGGTAATAAGGCATTTGATAAAATCACAAACACACACGCGGGATATGATTAATCATAAGTAACCATATGGTTTTAAAATCACTTCATCACACCTGTGACTCATCTACTACATCACTGCGACTAAGTAATTATTATACCTAATAACGCGGATTGATTGATTATGATGGCAATAATCTTTGTCTATGACCAAATCTAAGTAGTGATTTATCAATAGTGAAATCACAGTGACCACAAACAATCATTTCATCAAATGAATATGATTTAAAAGTAGCGATAATTCCCACGTCTAGTGGTAATCAAGTCCAAGACCTCTAGCAGTAAAGGTCACTAACCACTAGCTAGATCAACAGGTAAGACCTATAAGTAAGAAATATAACACGAGCAATATTTAAGTTCACGTCGGATCACATCAACAGCCTTTAAAAGTCCTCTGCTGGACATAGGCCTCTCCTTAGAAAGAAGGTTTTGGCCTACTATATCACGCTGATCAGACAGTTGGTGTAGGTTTCACAATTTTTTAGTTTATTACTTGTTTTAAATTAATAATAACCTTGTAACAAATTTTTAAAACTATTTTGTAATTTTGCAAGTGGGTAGGTACCTACATTTTATAAGGTGAGCGTCTATTACTCTTCAGCCAAAATAACTAATTTAGCTGGAAAAAAAATCCTTTGAAATCTGTTATATACCTATACTCGTATTTAAATGTTATACTTACATGAATTGCAAAAATTAATATAATGTTTGAATAATTAATATTTCGCAAGTAAAAATAGTCTTTCTACCCTCTCAACGTTTTAAAAATGCCTATCCTATGACAATACACCATAGGATACTAGAATACATGAAAAAAAAACAATTTTGAATGTAAGGGTACCCTAAAAGTTTTGATGATTTTATTATTTGTTTTTTCCTGGATGAAAGAAACCCGGCAAAAATTCGTGATAAACATTGCATTTTATATATATACATACTGGGTCTCCTAATTGAATTCAACGTGCACGTATACTCTTATACGTACAACGTTGTGTAAAAATCAATCAAAAATATCAGAATAGTATTTTAAGAGATATTTGATGATGAATATCCGAACTTTAAAAATAGTAATAAGTGTTGGTGGAGAAGCTATCTAATCGCTGAGTAATTGAACAAAACAAATTACTTATTACTTATTTAAATAAACTAAAAATACAACTGCCTTACAAAAACAAACAAATCACGTGTTTTTATATTAATAATCACTACGTATGATGTAAGAAATCCTAATTATTACATACATTCTTAGATAAGTTGTTTTAAGAATACAAATACTTTGCCTACACGCCAGTGTCTCCACGACACTATCACAAATTTTACGTTTGAATTTTACAAATATCATATAATACCGAAATTGCTAAGATCTAAGAGATATGGAGACTGATATAAATACCTCTCCGATTATTTTAGTCACTTGCTTGTATATAAGTTATGCTTTTGTTAATAATTTACCTAAAATATTGTTAGCTTAAAGAAATATTTTAAGCACATGTACTCACTTAAACATTTTAAGTATAATTCCTCATTAGCTGAGTGGAAAATGTATGATTTCACAAACTTGTAAAACGAAAATTAAAATTATTTGCTAAATATATTAATTTTAGCTTTTTGTAAAAGTATTCTTGCGATGCGCACGACTGCAAAACGCAAAAAGATCGAGAATTTTCATAATCTGAAGTAGTTAATTTTAAAACTACCCGCTGTTCCAAAAAAATAATAAAACATATGTAAATGAATTTTTTTTTTATTTTAAATAAATTTGTTGATTATTACTATTAAAAATAATTGGTAATATACTAACAATTAAAAAATTATACATTTATTTTATTTAGTTCATATATACATTGATTTCAATAGTTTAGTTTAGATAACAATTACACAGAAATAATAAAACGTAGTAACTTGTTTGATCAATGTACGTATTTAGAATTCATAGCCTCGTTTAATAATTAATTAAATTACTTGTGTAAACATTACGAAATTTCATAACAAATAGCGACTACCTTAATTGGAAAATGAGATAAGTAAATGTTTTAAAGTTTCTCTTGGACTTCATGGCAGTCAGTCAAGGCGAATTAATAGTATACAAATCACTGGAATACCGCATACCAGCAACATTATTTCCTAAATATTCATCATCACTATATTGTCATCACTCTTCTCTGAATTAATTAAATTCCTAGAATGTAACCAATTCTGACCGCCATATTTCTACACATTAAACTGTTAGAGATACCGTGTCCATCTGTTATGAGAACTAGTTGCTAATTGGGCCTAACCAAAGAGTTCTTTCTACAATTGTTATTTTAGCCAAGTCTTTTATATTCCAGAAGGATTTAGTAGCCATGGAAAAAATACATCTGAAAATTAGTAACGAATGAAGCCGATGTAACCCAGTTAATAAAAAATCTTTCAGTAATTTTATTAGTTTGCTACAGCTCTGTTTCAAAACATTAGCTAGCAGCGATAACCCTACTCCATAACAGATGATACGAGTATGTTGACGCTCTCGTTGCCAGAGCGTGTCTAGCGCAGTCTAGCGTTTCAGGTATGAGACACCTACTCGAAAGATCTGCCATCAACGACCTTGAACCTTACTAACATTACTTTACTTAACTGTTTTACCTTAAAGTTATGGTAGCTTAATGACAATAAATTTACAGACCTCTATTTATAATAATTATAAGAACATTTATTTCAGAGAAACTCCATCCAGAAAAACATTATTTTGAATGAAAGAACAAAAAGGACAGAGAACAATAAATAACAATTAGACAAAGGCACAATCATTTATTAATTTTTTTTAATGTTATTAACGTCATTTAAAATCCTAAATCATTAAAAATACCTTTGCAACTCTACAAACATTTAAAAGTTACCAAAATGCATGTCTTGTTAGAGTTTGATTAGGAAATCCTAGAAGACAGACAGACAAAGATATAACCCTTTCTTTCCTACCTAGAAATGCAGAATGAATGGTTAACCCTAGGTGAACTTTGTATCCCACAAGCTTTGACATGGCGCACACCTTTTTACGATTGGTCACCTGCTTTATTAAAATTTTACATTAACGCCTTCCAATTAACTCTTCCCGATCGAAGTAACCTAGTAAGGTGGGGACACTGACAGGTTTTTTTTATGGTATAAGGGGGCAAATGAGCAGACGGGTCACCTCAAAAGTCAAAAGTGCGTTGCTGCCCTTGGAGTCCCCCACAATCAAGTCAGCGGGAGGGGGTATCTGGACTCCCCTAACCTCACTCACTCACTGAAAGGCAACGAAAGAATTGCTTAACACAGGTTTTCTGTGAGGCCGTGGTATCACTCCGGTCGAGCCGGCCCATTCATGCCTAAGCATGGCTCTCCCTGTGGTTGAGGGCCTTTTCCCGCGACGGGAGGAACACACACCCCCATCGATGGCCTCCTTGGTCGGAAACGACGGGGAGAACGAGGATGATGTTCCGCCCGTCGCGGATTCGTAGACAAGGCTATTCTACGGATCCGCTCCAAAAGCCCCGTCCCCGGGCCAGACGGGATACCTGCCCGACACACCACCCCGCAACAAAACCCCGGTGGGGTGCAGTCCGAGGGGGTTACCACACGTAAAAAAAAGGCACTTACTGACAGATTGTAGGGCTATAGATAGGGTTGACATAAACAACAAACAAAACTAACAAAAAAAATGTTTTTTCGTTACGTTGTATGCCGTGGAAGTGGATGCGAGGGGTATACCAGTATTGAGCTCGAGAGTATTGGCTCGAGAGGCATCACGGGACCCTCTCATACCAGGGGATCACTGGGAAAGGATGTTTCGGGGATCACCTGTGTCTGATCCGCAAGGAGCCAACGCCTGAGTGCCACCACTGCGATGGTCGGATCGTAGACACGGCGCTCCACACGCTGGCAGAGTGCCCGGCGTAGGTGGAGCAGAGGCGAGACCTCGTGGCTGCCATCGGAGTGGAAGTTCTCTCGCTCGATAACCTGATTGACTACCGTGCTGAGCGAGAGTACGTGGAACTCTGCCGTCTCCTTCTGCGAGTTATGTTTGCAAGGGAGATGGCGGAGCGGGACCGGAAGAGGTATAGAACTCTCCCGGCGCGCCAGGCTCGGGAACGGGCCAGGTACCGCAGATGACTCAGGCGCCGGAGGTCGCAGAACGACCTCCGTCCTCCATAAGCGCAGGCCTGGGGGTGACAGATGAGGCCATCTGCTTAAAGACCTTGGATTGCCAAGCTCTTTTCTTGAACGAAATCCAAAGCAGAATTACTAGGCTCGTATCAAATATGTTTAGGTAGAGGGTGTAACACAGCAGACAATTGGGGTGAGCATTGGCGTGTCGCAAGGAATACTCCCTGAGTAGCATTGTATTGCCCCCATCTATGACGTGATGGACCCAGCGCTCTTGTAGTTAAAGCATTTTTCTTCTTCTTTAAGCGGCAAGGTAAAAATATTATGTTGCATTGAACTCGCAGGGCAAAAGTAATATTTTTTTTTAATGATAGCTTATTATAATATATATTAGTATGTGCAATATGACTGATTAGCCTTTTTTTTTTCATTAAACGGAGTAATGAATATGACACAATCAAAAGACTAGAATAATACTATTTTTCTAATTTAATTATTTTTAGAACTTTTCACAAAAACCGGTATTGTTATCCAAATAATTTATCGCATACATCGTTATTCAAAGCGGACATCTCTAATGCCCAATATTTTTTACGCTGCCAACTGTCTTTTTTTTTACTCTGTAGATGACAGGTCAGAGTCCAACTTTCCTGAAGTTTATTAAAAGTTTTATTTAGTATTTTTTGTATATCTACGCTTTATATTGTTGTTTTAGAAGTAAACGTCGTGTCGATTTATAATTTGCATTAGTGTTCCGGCAAGCCATGGCATCACAAATATCAAAATCCCTTTTTAAAGTGTCCCACGTTAGCTCGACTGTAAAATTCGGTAGGTTTTAAATGAATTTACAATGATTTTAAGATTTCTGTCTACATTTTTTTTATAATTTAACGATTCATTTTATCTCTTATCACAGAAGTTTACATAACGTTTGCTATTTTAATATTTATTTCTGGTTTTTATACCGAAGAGTAAACTTTGGACTTACATGTTTAAAACCTAAATTGGCATGACTACAATTAGTTTCCATCAACTTGTGCCAGAAATGAGTACAAAGTTCATGTTCGTATTATTATCGAAGAAGACTTGTTTTATTCATGATAATGCTAACCAATACAGACACCAGATATAAATGTCTAATATGATTTAGACATGATTATTTTTTGTAGACACGGCAAGACGAGCTCTGAGCGTAGGGGCCGCCCTTCAGCAGAAGAAGACCTTACCTGACCGCACTGGCAAGAATGTAGTGTTGGTTGATGGTGTACGAACACCATTTTTGGTGTCCTTCACTGACTATGCTAAAATGATGCCACATGAACTCGCCAGACATTCCTTAATGTAAGACTTTATAAGTTTCAGATTGTTTTTATATTTCATAAAGACTCAGTTACCAGCAGATGACACAATTTAATGAGTTTTTAATAGAGAATGCCCAATTTTTTGAAATCCTTTAATTTAGCTCTCTCACAATTGGAAGTACAAATTACATATATAAATGTTTTTGGTCTCTCAATGGGTTTCATTAAAACCAAATTTAGTAGCCATTTAATTTAAAAAAAAAACTAAACCAAAATGTTTTTATTATTTTTTTGGTTGGGTGCAAAATATCCCTATCATACAAAAATATTCTTTTTAAGGGGTCTTCTTCAGAAAACTGGAATCTCAAAGGAAGTGATTGATTACATTGTATATGGCACTGTCATTCAAGAGGTCAAGACCTCCAACATTGGTCGTGAGGCTGCACTAGCGGCAGGCTTCAGCGACCGTACTCCGTCTCACACGGTCACCATGGCTTGTATATCCTCTAACCAGGCCATTACTACAGGTTAGTACACCTTTATACCTCCAATTATAAATTAAAATGCTTTATCAAAAATAAATATATAACATTCAAACATTTTCTCAAGTGTATGGCATACTTAATGGTCAGTGAGCTTCATAGTATTTTTTTTTAAACAAAAACCCTAAAGAAGAGCTTGATTAGTAAGGCTCTTTATCTAAATGTAAAAAGCATTGCAAACAATCTCAATTATAAACTCTTTACAAAATAAACTATAATAAAGGCATACATATGGTTAAATATCACAAACAATTAAAAAAAGTAAATTGATTTAACTTAAATCAATTTCTCTTTATTAAATGTCTAAATGTTGTAAAATGTTGGTATGCTGTAAATAACAAGTTGTAATGTGTTTATGAAAAGCATTATATTACATATTTTTTATTGACATATTTTAACTGCCTCAGTGGTGCAGTGGTAGCATATGCAACTGCTGTGCTGAGGTCTCGGGTTCGATGTCTAGGTCGGACCAAGTGTTTGTATGATCTGCAAATATTTGTTTTGGAGTGTGGGTGTTTTCTATGTATAATATGTGTGTATTTACCAAAAAAAAAAAAAAATTTGTATTTTATTGGTCAATCTAGCTTTCATAATACAAGCTCTGCTTAATTTGAAACTAGATGGTGTTGTATGTTAGGAGTCCGAAATATTATTATTATTATGAAATAAATAATTCCAGTAACTGGGTTCCAACCCCCGCTGGGACTGTGGGTGAACCTTGGTTACGGACGGGCCCAACCTAAGTGGTACCACAGCCTCACAAAGAACTGGTGGAATTCTAGACAGGTGTCGATGGATGAGGGTAGTCACTTACCCTCAGGTGACCAGCCTGTGTTTGCCCCCTACACCACAAAAATAGTTAATCTAAATGCTTCACGTGAAAAGCTATAGGATACTTCCTATTTTAGGTGTAGTATGACACACTGTGTGATTTTGATGGAGTCAATTGAAACACAACGCCCCACTGTAAATCCCAGACAGGTCACGAGCCAATAGGGTTTCAAAATGCACAAAGAAAAGACCAAATTCTTATTCGTAGTGAGTTATTTAAACTATTTGGTTGGTTTTAGCTCCATTTATTTGACAACCCTCGTGTCTTACATATCTACCAACTTATATAACTTTTACATTTCATTCCTATAGGTGTGGGAATGATAGCAGCAGGCGCCTTTGACGTAATTGTAGCTGGTGGCGTTGAATTCATGTCTGACGTCCCCATCCGCCACTCGCGTAAGATGCGTTCCCTGTTGCTGCGTCTCAACCGCGCCAAGACTCCAGCCCAGAGATTGTCGCTCATCGCATCCATCAGACCTGACTTCTTCATACCTGAGGTTGGTTACCTCATTGCTTTATTAAAATACCTAATCTATACTATATAATATTATAAAGCTGAAGAGTTTGTTTGTTTGTTTGAACGCGCTAATCTCAATAACTACTGGTCCGATTTGAAAAATTCTTTCAGTGTTAGATAGCCCATTTATCGAGGAAGACTATAGGCTATATATCATCACGCTAAGACCAATAGGAGCGGAGCACCAATGAAGAATGTTTCAAAAACGGAAAATATTTATTACTATTGAGAGACGCAGACGAAGTTGCGCGGGTCAGCTAGTTATAAATAAATGTCATAGCCTCATCTAGATAAATATTTTTACATACGTTAAAATGAAGCCGCTTTTTTTCTTAGGTTAGATATTTTAAACTAAGCAACGGATTTTAATGCGATTTCACCAATAATAGTATAATAGGTTTATATGTATAATACATATATATTATGGTAGGAAAATTTCATTACATTTGCAATATAATGAAGTTTTCGTATTTTCACTGGTTATACCTTTTTATTGATAAATCAAAACAATGTACTATGGAATTATATATCTTAAAAAGATCTACAAAAAAATCCGCGATGGTAGTAACTCATCACTCATCAGATCATATGAACTAACTGTTGTCATCATCAACAGCCTTTAACAGTCCACTACTGGACATATGCCTCTCCTTAGAAAGGAGGTTATCGCTAGTTGTATATAACTATTATTAATTTTTCCATGAAGATCAGTGTGACTTTTTGATATATTTTTGTGAATTGGTCAGTTCTACTAGAAAAATGAGGATATTTTTTTTTGCCATGTGAATATTGATAATACAACTGGTATATTTCAATGTAATTAATCTAATGCACACAATGTGCAAAAATTTACTATATAAATCCTTTTGTCTATTCTATTTTGCGAATTGGTTTATTAAAAAATAATGAGGTAAGTTTTTAATGCGTAAAACCCGAATGTTGTTGACGATCTAAAGATCAATTGCTTTTTTTTGTATTTTATTTTTTGAAAAAAATATTGCTCTTATCGCCATTATTAATCTGCCCATAAATATGTACCCATAAAACAGGCATTGATTTAAATTTTATTGAGAATTTTCCACTTGTGTTGCAATTGCCAGAAAATCTTTGGCACATCACACTTTTGACATTGTTGAAATAAGTATGAAAATACCCGTTACCGGTTAGATATCAAAGGTCATGATTCAAATGATGTGGACTTGTGCATCAAAGTTTTACTAGTTATAAAGTTAATTTCATTACAATTACATACATAACAGACAAAAAAAACATAACGTTATGTACACATGTATAATGACATTAGCTTTACTTATTATTTAACACACTTGAATCTTTCAAACAACATTTTAATGCAATTTATTGTTAATTTGCATTTAAACACTATGAGTAGAGTTGTAAAAGTAAACATGTAATTCTTATTCTGCAAATAAATTTGAAATAAAAGTATATTGTTGGTGTTAGTTGCCGGCAGTCGCGGAGTTCTCGTCGGGTGAGACGATGGGCCACAGCGCGGACAGGCTGGCCGCCGCCTTCGGTGCTTCGCGCCAGGAGCAGGACGACTACGCCATGCGCTCTCATAAGCTCGCGCACGAAGCGCAGCAGAAGGGATACTTCACTGATCTCATACCTGTTAAAGGTATGTACTATCCAACCAGATGCGTCAGATATGAGTTATATATGATAGATAGACCAATGACAAGTAAATTTAAATTTATATATTTATTTGTAATCATACAAACTGTATAAATACAACGTTTTATAGTTGAGAAATTCTAAATTTAACATTGTCAGAGTTATTAAACAAATCATAGGCATGCATGATATTTAAATTACATAGTATATCAAAGAGACAACTTGCATATTATAGTGAAATTATAATAGCGACTCTAAACAATAAAGGTGTTACTATTTCTAAAATATTTCTTATAAATAATTATGATAATTAAAAAACTTTACTGAGTAGGAAGTGTCTGAATGATAAAAATTTCATAAGGAAGATATGAAGATAGACTAATATGCCAAATAGATGGGGGGATAGATGAGTAATCAATAGAATGGAACCGATAGTTAGTAGTTTTATCACAAGTTGCAAACTTTAACCAGACTACTTTTAGATTTCTTACTATATACGTTAGTGGTCAGATACCAGTTGCGTATGAATATGAAATTTTACAAAGCCGACTGGTATTTTCGGAGAGAACCGAATTTTTTACAAAAGTCATGAGAATAGAATGCCGCACAATGAATGTCGATTCAATATCGCTGTCACTCATGACGAGAACCCCTCGTGACAGTTGAAATAAAATATTTGTTTTTATCTCACGACGTTATTGATAAACGGAATGTGGATTCGGTGGTGATAGTTCCGATAGTCACATCTGCTGTTGGATTACCCTAAGAATCTCGCTTTAATAGACCGTTCTCCTCATGACGCAAAATAAGAATTATTTCTAGCGATCAGTGTTCATAGAACAGATATCGAAGGTGTATTATTTGTTTTTTAATGTATTAAAAATTAAAACAACGAAGTATAAAAGGTATATAAGTATTCTATTAGTCAATCTAGTTTTCATAGTACAAGCTCTGCTTAGTTTGAAGCTAGATGGTGTGTGTCAGATGTCTAAAAAATATTATAATAACAATAAATGATTTGGTTCTACAGTTGATGGTAAAGATGGCGTTGTAGACAAGGACAACGGCATCCGCGTGTCCACTCCGGAGCAGCTCGCCAAACTTAAACCTGCCTTCATCAAACCGCACGGCACCGTAACCGCTGCCAATGCTTCCTTCTTGGTTTGTAAAAGAATAATTGTCACAGTAATTAATTACATTACTTGAATTATCTATGTCCCTTGCCGTGTTTCTGACTAACCTGTTACTTCTTCCCCGCCTTTTAAAGCTAGACTATGAGAAAATGCCTATAGCATTAAGTATCAAAATAAATAAATTACTATAAATTTAATACAAAAGAAATAATAAAAAGAACAAAACAGAAGAATATAAAAAAATGAAAAATAAAATAAGAAGAAACTGATTGTTTACTCAAGGTACTTTCGTGGACCTTGAGTAAACAATTGTATTTCTTTCCAGATCCCTTCTTAATTTTACGAAAATATTTCACCTCCATGACTTAAATTAAAGGGGTTAAAGAACACAGGATATTGTAATTTCCTATTCTCCTGTTAATTTTTTGGGGTCAAATGTAAAATGTTGCAGTCAGTTTCGGCTGGTTTCTTTGACACCAACACTCCCTGGGGAACATCTTGTTTTCACAGATGCAAAAGGTAAATTGTTATGATTATGAAAAAGGCCATTAGAATAGGTATTATTAAATTTATTATTTTTATATATTATTAAATAATAATAAAGACATATTAATGGTAAAGTGTATTGTATGCAGACTGACGGTGCTTCGGCTTGTGTCATCATGGCAGAGGCGAAGGCCAAGGAGTTGGGCCTCAAGCCCAAAGCGTATGTGCGGGACTTCACCTATGTGGCCCAGGTAAGTGTTAACCTCTTTCAATTATTTGACAATGCAATTGTTGTTAATTATGTTGCAATATATTCTTCTTAACTTAATTAAAATGTTATTTTGACGATTTCTTTGACCTTTGTATTAAATTATAAATAATATAGTTTCCTATACTAAGTAATTATTTTGGAGTTGTAAAAATTATTTTGGTGTCAAAAATACAATAAAAACAGATAGTCCGCCTTATGCAATATGTTTTCAGAAAGTATCAATAAATAAATAAATAGTTAATAGTTGTATTATGTTATATATTATGCTATAAATTATCAATAATTGACAGGATCCCGTGGACCAGCTGCTCCTCGGTCCCGCGTATGGCATCCCCAAGATTTTAGACAAAGCTGGACTGAAGCTTTCCGAAATTGATACCTGGGAGATCCATGAGGCCTTCGCTGTAAGTTATCTACGTTTACTGTTCCTGCTTCGACACCACTCCTCAGTGTTGTCTATAATGACCTAATAGAGGAATGGCAACAAAGCTAGGACGAATCATGTAAGAGACCAGTTATTTCCATCTGTTCGCGAATGGTTGTCGAGGACATTGCTTGAGGTGGAGCACTGTATCGCTCAATTTCTTACGGGTCATGGTAACTTTAAGAACAAGCTGTATTAATTTAAATTAGTCGAGTCACCATTGTGTCAATGCTCAACACCTAACTCTAACTGTGAACAGTCTGCTGATCATATCCTCTGGGAATGTAGTCTTTGGTATAATGAATAATATAATATAATGCTGAATAGCTTGCAGGTGACATCTGGGGCGGTATACTATGGGGATCTTGTGTCAACTAGGGTTAATTTCCGTGCGTTTAGGCGATTCTGCCATACATATTAAAGGAATAAAAAATAGCTCACTTAGGACCCATCATATTTTGTGGCCGTGGTGCTTCCCTGTTTAAAAAGGTGTATGCTTATTTTACTTCATTTTGTCTCCCGCTTTGCTAAGGAGGAAAGTGGATTTACAGTATTTCCAACTCAGGCAATTTTCGTTTGATTAATTTCGTTGGGTTCCAAGACAGTTTCAGCATCAGCATCAACAGCCTTTAACAGTCCACTGCTGGACATAGGCCTCTCCTTAGAAAGGAAGTTTTGGCCTACTGTACCACGCTGGCCAGACGGGTTGGTATAGGGTTTGTGTCAAGTTTTCCTTCTCTTTACAGTTTTGTTGTCCTGCATAGATTGCTCCCTTAGTCGGCTCTTACGACACCCACGGGATGAATGGGGGTGGTGACAATCCGTATTCTTAATCCGTCACCACACGGACATGACAGTTTAATTTTTTCAAATCTAGTTAGCTAATCAATTTTTATATTACCACGTAATATTTCAGGGTCAAATCCTGTCAAACTTAAAAGCTCTCGACTCCGACTGGTTCGGACAGACGTACCTTGGGCGCCAAGGTAAGGTGGGCTCTCCAGACCTGGACAAGTGGAACAAGTGGGGGGGCTCACTCTCCATCGGACATCCCTTTGCAGCGACTGGAGTAAGTACACCATGACTTTTATCTTATTGGAAAGAGCCTAGCATCTGGTTTAATAGATTTGTATTCTATGGATTTATATTAAATAGAAAAAGGATTTAAGTTATTGTCAATAGACACTGCATTAAAAAAAATATTAATCGTTTTTTTAGTCATTAGTTTACTCAAAATTGGTCCTATTTAAATTTGAAGATAAAATTCCACCTTTAAAGGGCAATTATTTCATGTAGTCGAAGTTCAGGAGTCCGTTGACTTGTCCATATTCTTCAATTCAGTTCTATAAAGAATTGAAATTACCCCAATGAATATCAGGGTCACCAATAGGAATATATTATACACATTTGTTATAAATTAATTGCTCTTCTTAATTCTAGGTACGTCTGGCTATGCACACAGCCCACCGTCTCGTCCGTGAAGATGGACGGTTCGGTCTGATCTCAGCGTGCGCAGCGGGTGGGCAGGGCGTCGCCATGCTGTTGGAGAGGCACCCTGACGCTACTGCCAACTAAATATACTTTACCCACGGCCCTTATCATACTAACGACGTTTATTGCAAGAGTCGTAAGACAAAAGAACGATATACATTTAACAACTGCTAAGAAAATGCTAAACTAAACGTACATACTAGATTTTTTTTACATTTAATTGCAGTTGACCAGATATGAAATGGGAGTTAACGGCAGTAGTTCATGTGGGTACGACAAAACGTGAAGACCAACTCAATGGATGAGTTATTTAAGGTGCCACATAAAGTTCTCATGATAGATTATATAAGTATCCTAATACCTAGTTCAATCATAGAGTTCGGTTATGTCTTTTGTCAATCACTAAAAAATAAAACGAAATCTTCTTGGCCAATCTTTTAACACAGACATCTGAAAAGATTTGATCTGAAGGCGATATTGTCTCTTATAAGTTGTTAGTATGGTAAAACAAAAATACCGATCATGAGGTTAAAAGCAGAATACTAAATGTAGAAGTAATATTTTTGTTAAATAATGTATGATAACATGATCCTTCGATATCCTAAACCTCATTCCCACAAAAATATAATCGGTTTACGTCTTGTTATCTCTACTTCTACTTTAAGATGAACAGAGATTGAGTTTATTTTAGAGTAGATAGCAGAGATACTAGAAAACAAAGTCTGATGTGGAAGGGGTTCCTTCTAACTTTCAAGTTTTTATCTTAGCCCCTTGTCACTGTAATTTATTCCATTAATATCCGACTTTTCAGCTAACATGTTTATCTTTTCAGTAAGAATTGCTAAAATATTGTAAAGTTTAAAACCTATAAGAACAACAAATTTTAATGTCACTTGAAAGTGGACTCTAATGTTAATAGGTATTAATGCCAAAATGACTATACGACACTTCGAAATTATTTAAAATATTGTAATTATTTACAATATCTTGTAAGAAAATTAGTTATATTAATATTGTGTAATACAAACTTAGTGTGGTAGGAATAAAAGTGTGTAAGAGAGATTTCCTAGTATTTATTTCATATTCACTAGTCTTAAGATCATTTCGTATATTTATGTATCTGGTGTATTATTGTTAATAAAATTTATATTCAATTTCATGTTTTAATTTCTCTAAAGAAATATAAGTTTTCATAAAAATATATATATTTACGAACCGTATAACGGAGAAGAATGGAGCATACCGTGGTCGGAAGACGCCGCCGGCCAATTATCGCAGTTGACAGTGACACTGACCCACGGACCTCTAGAGGTCAGTGTTGTGATGGCATTGCAAAGGTGTGGAAAATCCATTTTCTTTTACGATGCAGGCAACAATTATTCGACAGTATTTCTGACGCTGCAGTTGAGCATTCAAGGATAACGTTAGGTAAAATTAAGTGAAACGCAGACACAATTTGGATATTTTAAAGAAAAAAATTACGAATCTCATTCTAAAGTTGATGTTATTTTTTAGCCGACTAATAAAAAGAGAAGGTCCCATGTGTAAAAAAAACAAAAATTTTTTTTTTTGTTTTTTTTACACATGGGCTGAAAAGTCCCGGCCCTAACAAAGAAAACACAGTTTTTTTGGTTCAAAATTAGCTTTAATCATCAACGTAATCTCCATCAAGAGCAACGCAATCATTCCAGCGCCGCTCTAACATTTCAATTCCACTTTTGTAGAACGATTTATCTTTTGCCTCAAAATAGGCCTCAGTTTCAGCGATAACCTCTTCTTTCGTGCGAAATTTCTTACCGGCGAGCATTTTTTCCAGGTCTGCGCCAACAGCCGCAAGCAATAGTCGCTGGGAGCCAAATTGGCGAATACGGTGGAAGCAATTCGAAGTTCAATTCATGTAGTTTTGCCATTGTTTTGATTGACTTGTGACACGGTTGCGTTGTCTTGATGAAACAACATTTTTTCTTTGCCATATGCGGTCGTTCATTCTTGAATGGAAACCTGGAGCAAGTTATTTATATGAACCAGCCTGAAGGGTTCGACGATGGATCAGGAAAAGTTTGCAAGTTGGATAAGAGTCTTTACGGGCTCAAACAAGCTCCAAGGATGTGGAACAAGAGGGTCGCCACACACTTTGTAAAGAAGATAGGCTTGATCAACACTGATAACGACCCATGTATTTACTATAACAAGGACAAGAGCATTATGCTCTCACTATTCGTGCATGATGGATTGATAGCTGGTAAGGATAAAAAAGAAATATAAAGACTCTTGAGAGAGATAAACAAGGAATTTCAGATCACATACAGCAAGAAAGCACAGAACAAGTTAACGTACTTGGGCATGGAAATCAAAATCGACAAGGATGGTATCTTCGTGAATCAACCTCGATACACGGAGAAGATCTTGAGAAAAATGAAACTCGAACAGTGCAACCCAGCATCAATACCCATTGAGCAAGGAATGATCACCAAGAAGACAGACTTCAAGAATGACGAGGCACTTCCGGCAAACAAGAACTATTGTGAGGCGATAGGGAGTTTGTTGTACTTAGCTACAATCACTCGGCCAGACATCAGCTTCGCCGTGAACTCTTTCAGTCGATTCTGCAACAACCCCATGAAAAGCCATCAGGCGATGGTGAAACGTGTGTTCCAGTACTTGAGAGGGACAGCGACAGCAGGAATCTACTTCGGAGGAGGCAAAGACCTCGTGGCATATACCGATTCAGACTTTGGAGGAGACTCAGAGACAGGACAGTCGACGAGTGGAGTGTTGGTGATGAGAGGAGGACCAGTGATCTGGTACTCACAGAAGCAGCGTTTGGTAGCGACTTCAACTGCAGAAGCCGAGTACCGAGCCGCGGTGTCTGTGATTGACGATGTATGCTGGATCAAGAGAATCGCACTGGAACTTGGTATCTTGGAATATGATCAGCCGATCACTCTGAAAGTCGATAACATGTCAGCTATTCACCTGTTACAGAACGCACACGAAGGAAAGACAACCAGAGGAAAGAAACACATTGAAATACCACGAAAGTACATCCAGCAACACGTTGGCAACACTGTGATATTGCAACACGTCGAGAGCAGCAAGCAGATTGCAGACATTCTCACTAAGCCACTCAACCGAAGAGTTTTTGAGATGCTACGTTGTAAATTGATCAAGGAGGAGTGTTGAGAATTGATCAATTGACGAACCTCTTTTCTACAACCTCATGTGTGACAGCGTCAAAACAAAAATAGAATAGAAAAGTAAAAAGCAAAAGAGATGCATGTGTTTTTAAACTGTTTTTCTTTATTCTGTTCAAAGTATTGTATTACATTTTTTATGTTGAAAGCACTCTTGAATCTTAGTTTATTTGCTACAACAAACCCAAACCCACTGAAATTTACAACATTTTCCCATCAAGAAGCAGTGTAAAATTAAAACACGAAATTGTTTTTGATCCATTGTTTTGAAAATAACAAAAGTAGCGTCACTCTTAGCACAATACCTACGTACTAAGCATTAGAAATTAACCTACTAAATTAACTAAAAAAGGTACCTCACGCGATAGGCGTGAAAGGACGGGGCCAGGTGGCTCACTAGGTAATTTGAACAGACTACACGCGTTTTCTCATAGTTAAAGTTAAACAACTGTAAATCACACATAGTATAAGTTTTATAAAAATGATAAAATAGGTTATAGAATTTAATTCAACAAGAATTAAGTATCTACGAACAAATAAAATTAAGGGTCGTATTACAAAATATATACTCAAAACTCCAGGAACGCTTGAGATTAGTGTTCGCCTTATAAAACTACGTTCAAGCGTTTCTTGAGTCTGGATAAACGTTCTTTAATAAATGATTCTGCTATATGTGAATATACGTATAAATAAAACTCAACAAAACGATGCTTTACACCTAATAAGAGAACCTGTGTTAAGCAGTTCTTTCCTTACTTTTCACCGAGTAAGAGGTCACCGTTGCCCAAACCCTCCCTTTAACCCTGATTCTGGGGGAAGGGGCGGAAAAGCGGCAATACACTGGTGACTCTTTAGTTGCAAGTCTCTATAGGCGACGGTAGTCACTTATCATCATTCGACCCATCTGTTCGCTTGCCCTCAAGAATAAGATCGCACCGGATGCCGATGTCAACGAGTTAGCCGCGAAATTTCGGCTATCGGAAAAACTATTAGATGTCACAACCATAGAGATAATACAGATAGAAAAAGAGAAGCGAGCCACGATCCGGGGACGTTGGTAGAAAAAGAAAGCTGGCAAGCACAAATAAACACAGCCGCATCGCTTCTTGCCCCTCGTCTAACTAATCTGTGCTCCGGGCCAACAAATTAGCGAAGAGGAGCGAGAGAGACGCATGTAAATCGCCGTCTTCTTTCTCTCTCTACTGACGCGTCGGACGCGTAGCGATGTCGCGATGTCTATCTGTTTTGTTTCTATGGTCAGTTGACATTTTTGACAGATTTGGGAATAGGGATGGGTCTAAGAAATGAAATACTACAATATCTGATTCTTAAAAGATATCGATAGCATTTTCTTGTATCTACTAATAGATTACAGTTTTACAGATTTATGCATGTTACTGTAAAAGCCCTTTGGAATGGCATCTCTGGGTTTTACTATTAAAGCTTAATATATACTAGACTTGGACAAAAGTAATTTTGCTACAAAGATTTATTTAAAATTACATTAACTCATATATTTTTAATTATTCGTTTTCGTTTGAATGTCAGCTGAAATTTAAGTATTATGTATTAAATACTAAAATACATCTGGATTGAAAACGGCTCGTTAATAATAAGTTTGATTATTCGTTTACAGGTGCATTTTAAGATTAGTCGGTTCGAGTCCGACATGCCACCGATTCACACAGAAAATTTTGCTACCATCAACCATCTACTTCGGCCCAATTTTTTAAACTCAATACTGGTAATGGAAATTACAAAGCAATGTATCACATAAAAACATTAAAAATATTGAGATATATATATATGTTATAAAATATAATTAGCAAAGTTTCGTTAATTTTTTCTAAAAATATATAAATACAAATCTTGAAAAGGGTTAGGTTTGTTATATGGTATTACATAGTGAAATCTATTCGTAATTCTCATGCCCTAAATTACTTGTACCTCTTTATTATCCACTTCCTCAACAAGTATCCCTACCCATTAATTTGGGTAACCTCTTAATTCTAGTACATAACCTGTTTGTTAAGATAATTTATCATGATAATTATCACAAAAAGTCGGTACTACAAATTACAGTTCATCGATGAACGGTTCGCCGAAAACCTCCTTCACCCGTAGTCGGTTCTACAAATTATAGTTCACCGATGAACAGTTCGTCGAAAAAAGCCTTCCACAATGGTCCCTTGAATTAAACAATCGTTGCAGATTCGACTATAACAGTATATAACTGTTCGGAAAAGAAAGATAGGATTCATTTAACTGAGCGATTCCAGAAAGAGTTCTAATAATGATGCAGAGTGGCACGGAACAATTAGTTCTATTGCAATATACATAAAATAGATTGTGGTGCGATTATATTGTTTACATATGAAACGAACCGACAACCCTGGTGAGGTAATGGAATTGAGATGCCCCACGTGCGGGAAACAGTGCAAGAAAAGAGCCTAGTTCCAAAAACATTTGAAAACACACGATGACATTGATGCAAGACAGACGTCTGTAAGTTCGTCAATTGCTGCGGAATTAAGATTTGCTGCTATCCGTAGCAGCAATTTTCAAGGCAGGCCAGAAAGTGAAATTGCTGGCATTTGGTAAGTGCATCACTACACAAGTTACAATTCATTTTTCTACAATATCCAAATTAACTTTTCATTTTATATATTGAAAGAAAAACTTTCATAAGTTGTATATATATTAACTGTTCACATGCCACAGTGCTTTCACCGGTAAGCATTGTACAGTTTAGTGTGGCATGCACACCGAAGTAGTTTTCAACCACAACATAGTCGTGTATTCCTAAAATTCACTTGTGTATCGAAATACCTATTAAAATATTTTTATTTAATTCAGCATTCAAATATTTAAGATTGTGTAATATTCCAACATAAATGATACAATTTCAGACCGTTAAATAATTTTGTTAATGTACGATATAAGTACATCCACAGAAATTTACTCTTAGTTGGAACGTAACCATCACAAATAATAGACAATTTCAAGAAGAGTGAATGAATTTAATAGTTTTTAAAACATAGACTACTATTGTGGCGTCGTTCGAGCGGATGTTGTTTATGATCGACATTTTCTAATCTTTTGGAAATTAGTCCCATGAACGTAAATTGTAACATTATTTTCTGTAAATGGAAGAACTTCCACACAAACCTGTGTTGGTCTGATGCAGTTGCAAAAACTGTATAGAAAGGTATAACAAAGTGATCATATGAACGTTATGTGTACTTTATTAAGGCTGAAGTTTTTTTCTCGACCATTATAGCGGGAAATCTACATTGTGACGCGCACAAATCGTGATTATTCGTAGCGAGGTCTGGCGAGGTGTCGTAACAGCCTTGTTATGTGGCCATTTAAATTTTGACAGTGGACTTGTGATAAATTTCGTTATAATTGACAATGTCGGAGGAAATGGCGGTGTCTGATAACACAACTGGGGAGGAAACAAATATGAATGGCGAAGAGACGGCATCAGCTATGATTGCCGAGCCTGTGCAGGCAGCGCCAGAGCTGCTGGAGGAACCCGAAGTTCCCGCACCTGAAGAATCTCCTCCTTCGGCAGGTAATAAATAACTTTCACATAACCTATGTGCCAACATCACGACATACTTTATCGTCATTTCTCATATATTTTTTACTTTTTACTATTCTAGATAGGAGTTGTAAGACCAATGCAGACAATAGGCGTTTAATTTTAAAGCTTTCTTAAACTTCTGTCTATCCATAACAATTGATCTTGCATTCCAAGATCCTTTTAAGCTCTTATCTTATTCTATTTTCAAAACATATCTCTTTAGTAATTAGACAGTAATTAACATGTCCTGTTATATACATGTTCTTGTACCGAGCTCATTTTGTTAATGATGCTTTGAAAGCGATGATTGCAGTTGTGTTGTTGGAGTGCAGTATTGATAATGATTTCATAGTGTTCCTAAACTAGTATTAATTTGAACCATATTGACTTCATTAACATTTACAAATATATGTTTATTAATTGCTAAGCTGATAAGAAATAATTTTGTTCTAATTCTGCATATGAAGTATCAAATGCATTTTATGTCATTTTTTTTAAATCTGTGTTCTTACTTGTATTTTGATTCTTTTATTTATTTAGTCATTTGATCTAGTAGGCAGAGGGAATATATATATAAAAAAATAGTATAACTGAGAAACTTATATTTAGGAGTGTACTAGGGCGAAAAGCTTAAAGGAAAGAAATTTAAATTTGAAAAAAAAAGAGTAAAACATATATTATTCAACCAATCTGTGGAACGGGTTTATACATATACAGGGCATTTCTGGACCGACACAACCTTCAAAACTTCCTAAAAGGCCGGCAATGTGTTTCTGACTCCTGAGTTGCAGATGTTCATTGGCGGCGATGGTCACTTTCCATCAGGGGGTGAATCTGCTCATCTGCCCCCTCTATCATAAAAAAATGATTCAATTTTAATAAGAAAAAATATTAAAAAGTATTAATTAGTTAGGTTATCCAATGAAAGTAGTTTCTATAAGTATTTTTAAATAACTATAGGCAATATTAAATAAATATATTATGAATCCACTGAGAATTAGTACCTGTATAGATGAAGAGTGGAATTACTAAGAACTGTATAGAAAAGTACTGTGGTACATTAGGGTTTATTGATGAGAAATGAGGCTAAAAGCTAAGATGTATATTGTAAACGACACAACTGGAAATGACGTCACTGCTAACTAGTGATGTATAACATGAAATAAAACAATTTTTAATGATAATCTGCTATGTTTAAAGCAACTTCTGGATTCTGAAACAAACTTTTTAAAGTGGTCATGATCTTATGAATGAAAAATAATTGACATCGATAAATGCATATGTTTTGTTTTAGAACTTCTTTACAGTGGTGTCATTACCAAAAACATACTGGTAACAATACCCCAGTGCAGCGGCTTGCACAGGATTATGACACTAGGTATGCGGCGAAGTAGGAAAACAATATAATTTAATCGTGTGTACACAACCACACAGCCGTTTTTAAGTTATTATATTTCGTTTATTCATTTATTTACTATTAATTAAAGTCATCTATAACGTACGTACGTTTTATTAAAATGTCTGTGAATAGCAAGTAAAGCACTGCATTTATGCCTACAAGGAGCGCACGTCCCTTTCCCAGTGGTGTGATTCAGTGGTGTCGTTGACAATACACGAAAGCTAATGCCAAAATAGATAAAACAATCTTTTAAGCGAGTTAAAGGTCATGTCAAAACTTAAGCTAAATTGGTGTAGAACACTTTTATGCGGTGATTTGCCAGCACCTGTAATAATGTATGTAAACTTTGTAACTCAGTCTTGCTTTAAGCAATGAAATGAATAAAAATAATATTTCTTAATTGAGTAAATTCAGAATTCTGTAACTCCTGCACTAGGAAATACTGTGTTGCAGGAGCCCACTAAAATTCGTAATATGTTCTTATGATAAAAATAATGATGGATTGAAAGATTTGCTTTCTTCATATGACAGTATATATAAGCTAAGCTAAGGCTATTTGTAAAACCTCACAGACACAGGTGTTGACGTGATGTGATATTACTTTGTTTACATTTATACCTTGATGGTCAGTTAATATACCTGTCTTAAGGGCCCTCTCTAATTAAAAGACATACATACGGGGGTGAGACCCTACTGCAGTCTCTGTCTTTCTTCATTCGAGGCTTGTTGCATCCCTTACGCAAATGTATATTATTTATATTATTTATTTATACCCCAAACTATTACATTCCTAAGGATTGTTAGCTTCTGGCAGAAGATTAGACATAAGCAAAATCTGTTTTTGCCAAAACCTTCGCCAATTTTACTCATTGCACTAACTCCAAATAAAATAAGATTGATGATGATGCTGTTTACATTTATACTTAGCCCCTCTGTAAATTGGAGGCTTACCATTTGTTTTTTTTTATGTGTAGACAGGGTAAACGAAATACCGGTCAGGTTCACGTAATTGTATAACATATATGATAACCACTTTCTACATTCATACATTTGCTAATTACTGTTGTTTGAAAACTATTCTGTGTTATTTATTTGTTTCATTTCCTCACAAGAATTTCGTACTACTGACAGGCCCATCGATAGCTAATTTGCAGGCCCTAAGCACATTAGATACTGGGGCCCTAAGCCTTGACTAAGCAGTTTTTGTGAGAATAGACAAAGAAAATATAGTAGTCAGTCATTACTATTGAATTTTTTCTAAGTATACGAGTTACAAGTACAAATGTTTTTCGGTAATAAATATCCATTGGTGATCTGGCCGGCACTAGGGGCCCCTATCAACCGAAAGCCCCTGGGCACGTGTTTAGATTGCCCCTTTGGTAAGGGGCCTGACTACTGACTAGGTATTTCCTTTGATGTGTGTACATAGGTAGATTAAAAGGTTTTTGCCTAAGGCTTTGCTTGCATAAAAGTAGTTTTTCCATTTCTGCAACATTTCTTTTGACGTAACGTACCCAATATGATGATATGAATAGATTGAAGAAATACAGACCACCAAACTTCTATTTTAAATTCAAATTTTAATTGTCTATTAAATTGAATATAATTATAGACAAATACATTTGAACTTTTTGCCGTTAGGAATTCACGTGGACGAAGTCAGCCACAGCTAGTTAGAATAAATATATAATATCTATTCAAATTGGTTACTACTACATACAAGCAGCATTTTACTTATACTTTTTTACCTTTTACCTTTCTATAATTATGTCAAAGTGCATATGGATTGACAGAGAGAGAATGTTTCTGTTTTATCTGCTGGTGTTTTATAATTTGGAACTCTATTATATTTAAATAAACAACTTTGTGTATTTGGATTCTTTACATTTAAATTTCAATTGTTATATGTTTGAGTTATACATACCTGTACATATGTGACAATGACATTTAAAAGGTTAAGAATTTTTGTTGTAAACTTACTAGTTTTAAATTATTAGCAAAAGTAACTGCAATTATATACCTCTATCTGTACACAATATAGCCAATTCTTAACAACCAGGCAAGTATGCATTAATGAATATGTGTTTAGTTTAAGTATGCATATGCACAACTGAAGTAAGGATGATACTGATAAATTTGGACTGAGATTTATGAGAATTAATAGATTAGTGCCTATTTGCAACTAATTAGAAACAAGTCTTAACGTAATCTTAACATATATTATTTCAGATTAAAAAATTATTTTGGTTGTTTTGGATTGAAAAAATAGTCGAATTATCAAGGCCTTTTTTATCAAGATCATTTATAAATTACTGACTTATTACCATACTGTTCTTAGGACTGGCAATAATTACCATTTTGAAGTATTGAGTTGATCTAAAACAAAACTAATGAAATCAGAATATTTTTGCAAACATACAGAGCCAACAAAAATGACAATAAATTGGAAATAAGCCATATATTTGATTCTGCACTACTCCTTTGAAATCTATTTAACTTCTTTGCACATCTTTCAGCGTTTATCATTTCACATTATTAACTAAAAAAAGAATATAAAGATGTTAATAAAGTGAATCATCCTAACTATTTTCATGTAATTATCATATTTTTAGAACTTTGCGTTTAAAAGTTATCTTAGTTATGTAGTTTACTTTAATTGTTATTATTGTTGATGATATTACCAGCAATATAAATACAACAATAATCCCTTCCATGAGAAAGCAAGGCCATACAAAATCCCATGCATTGTCCTTTATCACGTAAGTGTTTAATTTGAAATTGGAACTTGACAAATGATTCTTAAATTATTGAGCTTTTAAAGAAGAACAATATGTATTATTATTATATAATGCACTAGCAGGTCATAGATCTGATGCGTGCATATCACTGCACTTGTGTTCGTTTTGTTGAATCTAAATGTTCGTCTGGTCTGATTTAAAAAAAAATCACAGATCCAGCACTAATTATACTTTTTGGTAAACTGTTCCAAATGGTCACCATGCGATTTGGTAGAAAATGTCTTTCGGGTTGTTGTTGCCTATGTGTATAATGGTACACTTTGTTGCATTTAGTGGGATGAGCCAGTCTTGTGTCCACTGTACTATAGGATCTAAGTCCTGTTGTATAATATTATGACTAATGAGGGGTTCCCATTATTTTGGTATCATCTGCAAATACAGATAAGTCTGACCTAATAGCACTTCTAAGGTCAGTAATGAAGATGCCAAACAATCCGAATACAGATCTCTGAGGCACTCCGTACACTTTATTATTCACCTACTGTAACCCACATTTCTTAACCCGACTTCACTAATATTCTCATACTACTCATTTTTACTATGTCTATATTTGACATGTTTGTGGGTAACCATTTCATTGGAAACGCTTGTGTGCCATTCTAAATGTCTGTTAAATCAAGCTCTAACATAAAAAAAAACATTGTTCACAGATTCCCCACCACCAGAAGTGGATCCTGAGGAGCAAGGAGAACCTGCAGAGCCTGTAGTAGCTGTGAAAGAAGAGCTACAATCAGATGAACTTGACTTACCAGTAGATGCTATAAAACAAGAATTAGACAATGACATTAAAACAGAACAAGACTATTTACCTAATGAGACAGATCTCTGGGAGGAGAATGGTGAGGACAAAGACGACAAGAAAGGAATTAAGCGAAGAGCGTCTGCTGCTTTTAGTGATACTGCTGATGAGGAATTCAAAGGCTTTTTTGATGTGAAAGCAGAAATTAAAACTGAAGACTATAGTCGAGTTTTAGGTAAGCCTCTGTTTAAATTATTCTCTGTAATTTTATAAACGGGAATAGTAATTTTAAACCATTTTTTACAATTAGTTATTTACAATAATATAAATTATTACTGATGAGTGTTACAAAGCTTAAAATAATTCAGTTTCCAGTAAATAACATATCCCAGTAGTTGATTTGAAATTACTTTGAAATATAGTAAAAAGATGCCTGCTTTATTAGATCTCATGTCACATCGTTTGTTATTGAACTATTATGAAACAGCTTGACAAATTTTTATTGTATGACTAGCTGACCCGGCAAACATTGTATTGCAAAACAAAAAAAAATTAGGGATGGGTCACCCTTACCATTTAGGGGTATGAAAAATAGATGTTGGCCGATTCTCAGACCTACCAGATGTGCACACAAAATTTTATGAGAATCGGTCAAGCCGTTTCGGAGGAGTACGGGAACGAACATTGTGACACAAGAATTTCTGTCTGAGTAAGTCTGAATAAGTCTGAGAATAGGTCATAAGCTATTTTTTACACCCCTAGGTGGTAAGGGTGACCCTCAAAACGTTTTTTTATTTTTACTGCAAATATGTCAGTTAAGTTAATAAAGTACATTAAATTAAGAAAATGAATGGTTAGTATTTTATTATTTTTATAGGCCGTCATCGGTCACAGCGCTCCATTCCTCTTTCAGTCATAGACCCCACAGTTAGTTATTTTATATTTGACTACCAAATATTCACTAGAAATAATGTGTATGGCAAAACAATGTTGCTGACCAAAAAAAACAAAGCGGACCGCTAGTAATTTATGAAATTATTTACTAACTGTACCCTGCCATGCTTCGCTGTGGCACATTATCGTTCATTTTTTTTAGATAAAAACTATCTTTAAAGCGTGTTGTGTATCATGTCTGAATTTGAGCTCAATCGGTGCAAAACTTTTTGAGTTTTTTTAATGTACAAAAACCAAAATAACATTTTTAGATATAGCATGCAGCTATTGTATTTGAACTAAAAAAATATATAAATAGTGTGCTATCTGATTCTACAACATAATTTGAAATGAAATTAGATGTTATAATTATCCCTTTTTCTAAAACTCTTTAATGTTATTTTGGAACATTCATAGCTAGTACAAACAACAATAAAACTTATGTTTTAACCCACGGTGTTAGAAATTCCTTAAAAAAATTAATTGCACTGCTTGATTTACCAAAGCAAAGATTTTGTTTTAAAAAAGGTTTTGTATGACTGAAAGGAAATTAAAAAAAAAACCTTTAATCATGATGTTCCTTAAAGTATCAAATACATTTATAATAGTCCTAACTATCAATTAGTATAAACAGCTCAACAAATCCCCTCAAAACTGGTGATGTAATTACTGTCTTTCGTTGATTGAATTGAGTTATCCTGCAGGCTTTTCTCTGCACCTTTGTGAAACACAATTTCATGTCCTTCCTGTTGGTCTTATTGTTAGTGACCTTGACTGCTAAGCCAGAAGTCGTGGGTCCGATTCCCACCCAGGACAAACAAATGTGTAATAAGCACGATCATTTGTTCTGTCTGACCGTCATTTAACCATAATATGTATGTATGTATTTAGAAATATATAAGTATGTTTATCAGCAGTCTGGTTACTATAGTACAGGCTCTGGCGGTTGGGATCCTACGGCCGTGTGTGAGATGGGTTAAATTATTATTATCATCATCAGCCTATCGCAGTCCACTGCTGGACATCCTCTCCCGTTATTACTATAGTAACTTGTGAATTTAAGGCCTGAAAACGTGACCCTAATGAGCTTTTATATATGCAGAACGATTGGAGGCTGAGGTGACAGCAGCCACCAAAGCATTCATACCACTGAAAACTGTGATGGCTACGCCACCTGCCCCCACCAGAGCATCAAAACGAGCGCGCAAAGATACCGGTGAGTCAGCATGTATAATTTTTTGTTTGTAACCTTGACGATACGTCTTGCAATTTAAAGTTATATAGGTAAGTTATATAAATACAAAAAAAACCGAAACTAGAAAACCAACTTATATGGATAAAATATATTTATTAAATCTTTTCAAAGTATTCTCCAACAGCCTCTATACAAAGTTCCATGCGTCTAAACCAGTTCTCGAAAGACATTTTCCAGTCCGCCGCAGACACCTCTTTTACGGCCTTCTTAAACGCTGTTAGAAGGGCCTTCATTAATGCCTTTTGAAGTTGATTAAATGACTCTGGCCCCAAGTAGAATTATAAAAAAATCATCCCGCGAGAATATTCTCGACGCAAATCCATTTATTTGTCAATGAGCCACGATAATTCAATTTAGCTCTCAAAAAATGTGGAGGGAAATTTGAAATTAGAACGATGGTATTTTTATTTGTAAATAATCTCATTTTTTACATATTACATGATAATTGATCCCGAATACCACCACGATCCAAAGGGCAAATTTAAAATATTTTAAAAGGCAATTTGTATTTTAATTGCTGACCACAAAAATACATTCCTAGAATTTATGTTAGTAAGAACTATTTAATATGGTACCTTACTAACTGTACATAAAAAGCATATTTTTATGTATACACCAAATTGGAATGAGATATTATTACAAGTATAGCAGAATATCAAAGATGTTTTAGAAGTGGTGATTACTGCAGGTTATATATTATACATAATATTTGAACAATCAGCCTATTTGCCAAAAAAACTCAGATTTTTCTTAATAATATGTATTTTAGCAATTAGCAGTAATACATAGGCCGAACATATTGAATGTTTTAATTATTATTAGTTACTAACGATTTTTTAATGCCCTGTACTGGTTTTGATTTATTAGTTTTAATCTTAGTCAAATAATTATGAATCACTCATTTATAACATGCATATAATTACTATACTGGACTGTTTTTCTAAGATTAGTAAATAAATAATCATACATTTTGAGTTCCCAATTCAGGTTCGGTTGATAAAAAGTGTCATACATAGTCTGTTTAAATGAAAATTTTGAACAAGATTTTATTAACAATAATTAAAATTGAACATTCAACTTCAAAGATTAATTACGAAATTAATTAAAATTATTCTTCATAACAACATAGTCGAACAAGTCAACCGATGATTAATGAGATTTCGATAGATTAATCATAGTAGCGAGCGAAGGTACTGGCTGTCTAACAAATTTAAAAAGTAATTTGAAGAGAAATGGTACTCATTAATATTGTATTATGCTAACAATCACTACTTTAATAATTTTCAATGCATATGAGGATAATGGATGGATATCATAATTATAGTAATAGAAAAAATATCTCGTGAACGGTTCTAAATTTCAATCTACATTAATTTACTTCTATAGGAATATCAACGATAAAGCAATGAGCATAACTAACGATTAACTTATTAGTTTAGCCTTGAGTGTGATCGAATTTTTCATCATAAGTCATGATCAAATGAATCATGGTCGATCGATTGATTTAAAAAATATGGTTGATTTACCCTAAACTGCAACACAGGTAGTAGCGGCAGGGTTGAGGGCCGCCGGACGAGGAACTCCGAGGCTACGGTCATGTTGTAACCGTTTTTTATTGTCTTGGCTGTGCACGAACCGAGATATAATTTAGATAGTGCTGCAATAGATTTAGAAAATTGATTGATTACAAAATAAACGTTTCTATTGAAACAAAACCTAAATTGTTTTTATTTTTGTGTATATATGATGTATATTTTCGTATGTAATATTTTATAGCAAATGAATAGGTAGATTTTTTTATGCACTTAATCTAGGATATGTATAGATACTTTACTAATTTCATAAAAGTGCTCTAAAGAAGAAATTATTTAAAGAAATTGCAATTTAAATACTCGATAATAAACCAAAGACTGAAAATTTTAAAACAGTTCAATTTATTTATTTTTATGGGTAAAGTAAAAATATAAATATAAAAGTAAATACAAATGCAATACTAATAAAACTCGTCTTATCAAAATCAATCTATCAAAGTGATTTATGTGTTTGAAGAGTTCAGTTAAATATCTCGTCATTGCGATAAGAACTTATTTTGCTTGATTTAATATCAATTTTTTCAATCAAATTTGCCTTGAAAAAAGTAGTAAATGTGCTATTCCAGATTATAATCTATCTCTGCTAATCCATCTATCCTCACAAAGTTTCGCGTTCATAATATTAATGGATTTATAGTTATTTGGTTGATTGCATTATTCAAACTTGTCGAGTACCTACATAAATAGGTTTGATTATATCAAACATCTATGTTTTATAAAAATCGATACACATTACTTATTACACTTTTATTTATGTAAAATAATGTTATATGAAGGGGAATTAATGTAAATCACGTACCTAATGGATATCACATTACTTGCCTGAGTTGCCTGACGTTTCGACCAGGTTGCACAGGATGTAGTCACAGGCTCACTGTGCCTATTAATTAATCGCGTTAAATCCTGTATGTGCATACAAACTTCCTTATTACTGGTATGTTTATACTAATGTAATTGACATATTTCCTTTAAAGTAATGTTACTATTGAAAAAACGAGATTAAAAAAAGGAAAAAATCAAATAGTTTACTTTTTAATTTGGATACAAAAAAATAAGGTTACGAACTTTTAAGCCTCACGTCAAATAAAAACGACAATAAACGCCTGATAAAATGTTCATTGCAAATCGTTATAGTTCTGATTCGTGGTGTAACTATTAAGAATCCTTTTAAATAATATTATATGAAAGTATAACATAGTAAACATATGCCATAAACGATACATACGACTCTTCGATACGACCTAACAATTAAAAGCAAACGATCACTGACTTATAATGATCTGATCTCTAAATGTAACCTTTAAACTCGCACCAATTTCTTTTTACAATCATAAATGCAGGCGTTCATGGGCGGCGGTAATCACTTTCCACCAGGTGACCAGTCTTCTCGTTTGACCCCTGTATCAAAAAATAAATAAATATAAAACATGATTGTTACAGATGGATCAAGACCGTCATCAGCATTATCGACAAAATCGGACGGCGATGGCTCCACTGATGTAAGTTTATTTATTTAAACGCACTTACTAATATATGTAATAGTCAGTTCGTCCGTGTGGCGACGGATTAAGAATACAGAGTGTCACCACCCCTATTCATCCCGTGGGCGTCGTAAGAGCCGACTAAGGGAAAAAACTACGCAGAACACCAGCCCTGCAAAGAGAATAAAAAACTTGACACAAACCATATACCAACCCGTCTGGCCAGCGTGGTATTGTAGGCCAAAACCTCCTTACTAAGGAGAGGCTTATGTCCAGCAGTGGACTGTTAAAGGTTGTTGATGAGTCAGTTTTAGCTGGCTATGTCATGAAATACAACCATTTCATGAAATGTTCAAACATATCATTAAAAATATGTAGAGCAAGTGCTAAAAGTTATCAAGTCTTTCACAATGTGAGGTATAGAGTTAATAAATATGCATAAGCGATGACTTTAAGCAGAGGTCAGAATATATTTTGATCTATTATAGGACAAAAGTGTACACAATGACAGCTCAAGTTATACTGGTCATTGAAATAAGACATTCAAAAACTGTCGAATTTTGCGACCTTCAGACGATCTTTGGTTATGAAAAATGTTCTCATATTTCTTAATATTATTCATTGATATGTTAAATATTGGTCTGACCTTGGATCACAATTGTTTTAAATATGATAAGTGTTTATTATAGATTTTTGTATAATGTATTCTTTATTTGTCACAGCTGCGAGGATTATTTGTTATATTAAATCATAAAGTGAGTCCAAAGCCAGCATTATCGTGCTTTCTTTTAGTAATAAAGCTACTAGTTACCCCTGTCTTTACGAGTGTACCCAATAATACTCATTTTGTGTACCTCGTGTTTACAATTATAAAATTGTCGTTCAGTACTACGACTTTATGGCTGATAGATCGACGGATATATAAAATAAACACAATAATAGTTTTATTACTAAATGGAGTATCTCCTTGCCAATCTTTTAGTAATCGATTTCAAGAGAACTTCAGGCAAAGATTCTTAATTTGGTTAAGTATGTGTTATATGTTATGCGGTGTTTTCTTTTTGAGCCGATTTCAATCCCACTTTTTTAAAATTGATTTGTTGTCAGGGATGTTACATTTCCAGGGGTGAAGAATACGGGTTATTACAATTTTTCATGTCTATCATAGGGGTATCGAAGTCGGTAAGAGGTACTGTTTGACGTGTAACATCTTTCCTCTCGCTTTTCTGAAATCTCTGTGAATGATTACGTGAAAAGGGATGGAAGTACGTAACAGGAAACCGAGGAAGCGCGCGTAATCGATTTGATTAATAGGGCAGATGTTACACTCACTCATATGCCTCACTCGTTTTCTTAAAAGTGGAAACTTTTTCTTGTACCTAGGGCAATATTATTTTTTGCTTTTTTTTTACCTAAGTAGTAAATTAAAGTCTATAGTTATTTTTTGCCGCTCGTCTGTGTGCTTTGCCTTCTGCTTAGCCGTGATCGGCACCACCGGCGGGATGACGATGTCCAATGTTTATGAGCAGGCGTCATCGGCGGCGTACTCCCCAGCGGGCCCGGGGTCGCGCGCGGGGGGCGCGGGCGGTGCGGGGCGGCGCGCCACCACGGAGATGTCGTCGCCGCTGCTGCGCGTGCCGCTGGAGCGCGGCTGGAAGCGCGAGCTCGTGTACCGCGCCGCGCTCGACGCGCACTCGCGCCGGAACGCAGACATATACTATTACACGCCGCACGGGAAGAAGCTTAGGTCTACGAGAGAGGTACGCCATATTCTGACACTTATATATAGCATCACACCTTAGTGTAATCGATTTTATCTTTCAAAAACTGTATACGTATATTTAAAATATTGTAATAGGGACTCAATAGGGGTGCATGGCCTCCCACGATCAGTGCGATTTGATCCACTCATAAAAACCTTATTGCACATTGAAATTTATTATCGCTATTAGGTCCCGATTATCATCCAATACGTTTAGTTATATATTTAAATATACCTCGAATAAGCATGTACTTGCTCGTAACGTTTCATGATCGATATTTTGTTCATACAAACAAAACTCTGACATTATCATTTAAAAAGCTTATACAAATCAACACTTCAAATGAAACTCAATTTAAACATTTGTTGCAGGTTGGTGAACATCTGGCTGGTACAGGACTGACTTTAGAAAATTTCTCATTTTTCAAAGAACCTCTTGGAGTCGATGATCCGGAGAAAGAAATTATTAGGTAAGCCTACTTATGGGTCTAGTTTAATTTTGTTTGCACACTGCGAGTGAAATATATACTGATAATAATTTATCTCGTACAGGGATGCAAAACTAATACGTCGTGTAGACTCGCCGATAGCGGCAACAACACCGGCTACCCCTGTCGAGGGCAAGCGCACGCCGAAGCCCAAAGCACCTAAAGGTGCCAGCCCCGAACCACAACCCGCCGTCACGCCTGCAGCCACGACTGTCAAATCACCACCTGCTAAGATCAAGGTCTGTATTATAATAATAAGGGCAGTCATTTGTTCTGTGTCTGGGTGTAATTTATCTATAGTATGTATGTATTTAGAAATGTATATGTATGTTTATCAGCAGTCTGGTTACCTTAGTACAGGCTCTGCCTAGTTTGGGATCAGACGGCCGTGTGTGAGATGTGTGAGGTGTATTATTATTATTATGTAAAGAAGCTACTTTTCAGTAATGCGAATTTCCTAACATATATGTTAGGAAATTTTATGAGTTAAGTTGTAAAGTAAAATGTTATTTAATTAAATAAAAATGGTTTTCCGGCTGAAAATTTACTATTAACGATTTACAACTCGAAAATAAAAATCGAATTCACCCTTAAATAACATTCCGTCTAACTTGACTTCCATTTTGGCATCGTGGTTAATTTGAGTTTTATATATTTTTGAAGCAGGTAAAGTCCGTGGGATCTCGGTTGAGCGCCAGCAGCGGGACGCCGGCGCGGAAGGCGGCCGCCGCCCCCGCTGCCCCCGCGGCCCAGCCCGCTCCGGCCGCCGCCGCCGCCGCCACCCCCGCCACTCCCGCCCCCCCGGCCACCCCGGCCGCCACGCCCGCTGCGCCCGCGCCGGACAACAACAACAGCGCCGCCTGGAAGAAACCGAGGTACCACATTATGTACAATTACACAGACCTACAACAGATACTCTCCCTCGGGTTCGACTGACTCGTACTATATGGGTGCTGATTACGGGTATAGACGATAAAAGAATTGTTTGACCGATTTAAAACACGGCTGCGTGAAAATCTAACCGATGAGTACAAAGCGAGGAGTTACAATAAGTCCTTTACAAAGATGTCACGCAGTCGGAGGCCGTCTCACTTTTTTAATGCATTTATTTTTGTAGACCTCCGATTGCCTGACGTTTTTGTAAGGACTTATTGTAACTCCTTGTCTTTTTTTATAGGTTTGCCAGCAGTCTTGTTTTAAATTTGTTAAATTCTTTGGTTGACATATGCTTTAGGAACCACGTGCCTATAATTTTAGTTAAAAAGGTTTTTTAGATAGGTATAATCGATTTATTTTATCGATTATTAAATTTCGTTCATTACATAAATAAGAAAATTTTACGGACAGTATGTTTATGACACCAGTCAAACAGGTCATAATTGAAAAAGAAAAGTACATTTACTTTTAAATGGAAAATAATCGATTATCGAATGTAAGAATAAAATGTGCAATTTTGGTTAATGACCAACTTACTTGTGCATTATTTCTATAGTGATATATTGATTAGCTAAAAATACGCGCTCCTCTGTGGCATAATAATATGCAGCTACCTCTATTGTGCTTTAAAAAGTTACTCATAAACGTCATATATGGACATATAAGGTCTTGCAGATGTGAAACATTGAAATTATTTTGTAGAAGTAATTAGTACTAAATGATAGCTTATGAAAGAGAATAATAAATATGGCAGAATTAAAAATAAAATAATCATGAAAAAAACAGCGTGGCGACGCAAAGTACCATGGCGACGCGTCACCACGCCAACAGCCGGTCTGTGGGCCAAGTGTGAGTTTTTTTTCACATCAACTCGCTCGTGTTCGGTGTTGCGATTGGTCCGCGCTGAACCAATCACAGCCCCAGACGCGTTCACCGTGACGATCGAGTAGAAATAAACTTACACTGGCGAAATTTTCAGCCGTCGCGGGACGTCTAGCAGATGTGAAACATCTAAATTATTTTGTAGAAATACTGAGTATTACAGGATAGCTAATGAACGGATCTAATAAAGCGCAATAAAAAATAGTTAGATTTTTTTAACGATCGAGATGATTTATTTAATATAGACATATATTAATTTAATACAAAAATTAGCTGAAGACAACTTAATTCTCTTCATCAGTGACTTCTGACGCGTCCCCACACCAACAGCCGATCTGACCCTGCTCATTATTTATTTATTTATTTGGACAGCCAGTAGTTGTTACATTATTTACTAAAATCTGAAACATACATCCATTATATTGAGATTAATGCACAACGTTGTATGGAGTCACATCATGCGTAATAGAGTAACACTACATCCAAAAGTTATTATGTGTAGTTGTTTGTGAAAGCTTTCTCAAGTAGACACCGACGTGTGTTTTTGTGTAATAACATTTAGCATCTAATAAATTCAAAGAAATGTGAAATCATAGAAAAGAACTGAGCAAATTATCTCTTCTCCATCGTTCTTATAAAAGTAAATTTTTGCTCGAATCACAAAGTAATTAAAGAATAAAAATATGTATGATTATTAAAGAACCTAGAGCTGATTCTTGTAATATAGGTAAACGGTCGCTTTTTATGACAAATGACACCGCTTGTTGGCCATCAGATCGACTCAATATATATTGCCTGGTGCTATATACAACTAAATACGCGTGTTTTATGTTATGATCAAACGTTATACATTATTCACCCTTAGTTATAAACATATGTGCCGATACATAAATTTTACAATATTTATTTATTAAGAACAAAGTTTACAAATGGCAATGCTTTGACACTATTTTATCCAAAAGAGGAGATTTAGCCATTGGTTTGTTATGAAGTCACTGAGTCGGATAGTTACAGAAAAATATAGATAGAGACACGATGCGTTCAATTCGACTGAGGATAATGTGTACGTTTCTTTATATAAACTTTCATCCTAAACAGTATTTAAAAAAAAACAGTCGTACTTGCCAGACTATCGCTGTTTAAAAACATGCCTTATTCTGAATTACTAATTACGCCACTAAGGAGCACGTGTTTTTTTTTGGCTTCTATGAGAGTATGTTATTTTCATAGAATATTCTTTTTTAGTACACTAGGTTTTGAAAGAATTTGTTAGGTATTTTTTTAAATCCATTGATGTATATTAAAAAACAAGATAACCTAACCTATGTTGGTAGTCTATATCCTGAATAAAATTTAGGGTTAGACACTTTACAGTGGCCTATTACTAAATAGTCCATAATTTTACCTATTTCAACAGAATAATCTGCCTCGTCCCTACACTCATATAATTTTGTTTTTATAAAAAAATAATAAGTAAAATCGTTCTTGTCCCAGTGGAAGTCACACAGAAGCAAAATAAAATATTGTTGAGGTTCTAAAGTCCTCACTAGAATTTCTGTGTGACCGTGTGTGCATGTGTGTGTACATACATTAAAACGTCAAAATGTTTTTTCTGTAAATTACAATTGAATGAGAGGAAATATTTCTTTCGCCTTCATTTGGGTTCTGAGTGTTTTTTCTTAAAAAATATATTTAAAAAATCATTATTTTGAGTTGTCTGCTGAGAAATGGTAGAATAGGCTTGGGTGAGTCTATATATAGTACCCTAAAACCCACCTCAAGCTAAATGTTACTTAAATGAGAACAGAGCCGTTGTTATTTAGAGCTTGAGGATGACTACCTTACCATTTGTGTAATGATTGTCATATCATTACAGAATATGACAATCATTATAGATTGTTTTTTAGTTTGGTATCTTTGTTTTCTATTATGTATCAATGAAAGGTTACAATTTGTCCATTAGTTTTTTTTCATACCAATGTGGGTAATGTGAAAATAAATTAGTATACGTAATTGTGATTGTTTACGCTTTGAAATTTATCATTGATCGTTTTCTGTTTTTAATAAGTCTGATGTTCACTATAGATAGGATAAGTTTAGTTCTAATAAATTTCATTGTTCCTTCCAACCATGTGTTTTTTTTTTGTATACACAGGTACCCTTAATATGCAAGCTTAGCGTTCTCCTATAACTGGGCACTTTTATAGACGGGAATAATATATACTTAGTATAATGATATAATAGTGATAATTAAATATGCTTTTGTGCATCAACAATGCAATATAGAATAAAGATTTATTGATGTGAATTTGTATCCGTAATCAGCTATCCTACTAACAATATTGAAAGAGGAGACAGTCTCATGTGGGGGGTCTGTGTTTGATACATGAATAATATTTTTTTCAGTACCCATGACGTTTTAATTTTCTTTTTTCATATTTCTAACTGACTGATGTTTATATAATTCACATGCAGCATTAAACATATATTAGATAAATTTTTATAATAATCTTTCGCCATTGAAGAATATAGCAGAGTACTTGTAATATGTGAAAAAATAAATTTAAAGCGTCGTATTTACTGAAAATCTGGCAAGAAAAAAACATTAATTTAATAAACTGGAAATTCTGTTGAACAGTAGATTAAAAATAATGTTTAATAAATAATGTAAAAATACTTTGTTTCGCGGTTTTACGTTTGATACATTCCCACAAGTGTAACAGTGTTCTTCAACCATTAGTTATATTTATAATTTTTTTTATGTGTTGTATAAAATATTTGATATACTTTGTTATCTGATTTCTTAATCAGTTTTCAAAGTTTTTGTTAAATGATAGTGGTATAACACGTTACTTTCTTTTCGGGTGGTTATAAAGATTTTAAAGGTCCATAGTTGTCAAAAAATATTCTCACAGTAAACTAAATGCTAATTTCAAATAATTGTGGTTGTACATGTGTGTTGTAGGAAAGTTATAGTTTTTACAGACATTATTATGTTGTCATGTAAAATAAATTTATATATACAAAAAGATTATAACTCTGTGTCGGACAAGACTCTCTTGGACTAAGAGTTATCCATGACAACAGGGACTCTGGAAACATACTAGACCCAGACTTAAACCAATACTTTATGTAATTGACACTGTAATAATAATAAATCATTTATTTCACTAACATAGTACACCAAGTTATATTTAATTGTGACACTTGTACCCATGTTAAGATTTAACTTAACTGAGAGAACTTAATGTAGTTCTTTTTAATAAATTTTGACAATCATTTACACTGAAATGTCATCCCACTCTTATGGAATTTACTTCTTTAGATCCACTATAAACATACCTGCAAACACTCATACTAAGAAAGAATTGAATAGCGACAGAGACATTGTACAATAATATTTTGCCAACTACACCTCGGTCGACTAAAACCACCCCAAAGTAGCGTATTATACCATGCACATGACTAAGTGCCGCGCACGGTGTAGAGGGTTAATTGTGAACGCAATTAGCCCTCTGTGCGGGTACTGAGTAGAGGCGAGTGTAGTGCGTGTGGCGCCAGGCCGCCGGCGCCGCCGCCGCTCGTGTCGCGCCCGCTCGACCGCGACCAGCACGCGCTCGACCCTCAGGTGAGTACCGACATACTTTTTAATTTAAAAAAATATATTTACATCTCATTTTTGTGGACTAGTTTTCATCCACTGGTCGAAATTGAACGATAATCATTATTATTTTTTAATAACAAGTACTTTTATTGGTGGTTCTACTTCAAATAGTGTCTGGCGCTTACCAACTAAATTACAACATTTTTCTTTATAAATATTTCATCAAATATGTAATTCAAAGACCCGTAACGCTGTCAAATTGATTATTTTTTAGTTTGTTTGTCAGATTTATTCTGACAAAATTGGTAGGTAGATAGACCCTTGAGCTTATAGTAGATTTCAGAATTGCCATGAAACGAGAGTGTAGGTGATATATATATAAATGTTTTGGCGCGCAGTCGCCGCGGCAAGTGGTACAACCGTGCTCGATGACGTGCGGGCGCGGCGTGCCATCCCTGTCGTGTGCCGCGTGCCTGTGTCTCTACCACGCCGCATGCGCCGGCTATGTGCACACGGCCCCGCCCGATCCCTTCTTGTGCAAGGTATGTATTCTAAGTATGTTTAATGTGTTTATCTAAGTTCTACAATCCATAGTACAAGTTTTAGTTTTACGACCGTGTGAGAATTAAGCTTCGGCCTATTTGGGCCGACTCGACTGAAACGATAGTAGGGCCTCATAGAAAACCGATGTTAAGTCTTTTTTTGTTGCTTTAACCGAGTGAGGGATACAGGAGCCCGGGAATTAGGGAAAAGGATGGCTCCCCTAATTCAGAGGGTGGTACTATAAGCAACGATATCTAGGACTAATTATTACTTCTGATTATACTGTCGTATACATAGCAATTACAGAATTAATGATAAAAAACTTAATTAATTTAATAAAAAAATATTAAATTAACTTAATTGTCATATACAGAACTGCCGCAAGTCCTCGTCCCCCCCTCTCGAGCCTCCCCCGTTGACCCACAAGTCGGGCGTGGCTGGCGCCGTGCCGCTGGTGACACCCGTGCCACGCCGGGTGCCCGTGCCTGTGCCCGTGCCCGTGCCCGTGCCGAGCAAGGTGCCGCGGGACAAGCGCGTGCTGCTCCGAATGAAGGTATGCACTACAACTAAAACTACTCTTGTTTATTATATTTACAATAGTATTACAGTATAGGACCCGATGTAGGTCCCTTATAGATGAGGGGATCAACCATATCAGGCGCTATATTGTATGAACGCAATTGCATAAACAAAACTATCTGAACTTTCAACATTTATACATATTAATAAAGACTGGTAATTATATAATAAAAACATTTGGTTTCTTAACTTTTCCATGGAATTAAGTAAGTCAAGACAGACTTAAAACTGCTCGACTTGAAGAAACCAATTTTGTTAGAAAGTTAATTTTTAAAATGATTTTCGATATATTGTCCAGTAATTTCTCATTCCTGCAGATTATTTCGTCATTTTTAAAAATAACAACAGACTGAATGAGTATTATTTAAATTCAACAATTCCCGGAAAGTCTCCGCGCTGAATATTTATTGTAATTTGTATAGAATACATTTTATCATTGTTGTGTCTCCTCAAAACAATATCGTATTTATAAATTAGGTATCGGGCGGCACTCCAGACGGTGAGCGTGTATGGGCAGTATCAGACCAGTCACAACCGCAACAAAACCAGTCGCAATTGAAATCCTCGCAGAATGCACACAGTGCACAAGTGGTACCGCCGCAGTCGATGCAGGCGATGGGGCGGGCGAGGGGCCCGAGGCCGTCCTTGCCGCAGTCGCTGGCCGTCCTTAACGGAAGACGGTTCATCATCGTACCACGCTCCCTGGGCAACGCTCAGCCACAGTTAGTTGTATCGTATTGTTCATTCTTTTTCAGTACATTATTTCATGCCCTAATTACTTTAAACTTAATTCTATGAGTATAGTTTACTAGTAAGTAAACATGTCAGGGGTAGAAGTAGGTGATTATAAGATGTGTTCATGTTAAATGGACTGCCTCGGTGGTGCAGTAGTAGCGTATGCGACTGCTGTGCGGACGTTTCGGGTTCGATTCCCGGGTCGGACCAAATGTTTGTATGATCTGTAAATATTTGTTTCGCAGTTAGGGTGTTTTCTATGTATAACATGTTTATGTTTACAAAAAAAGCGTATAAAGGTATTCTATCAGTCAATCTAGCTTTCATAGTACAAGCTCTGCTTAGTTTGGAACTAGATGGCGTAGTGTGTCAGATGTTAGAAATATTTAATCGGCGTTTGAAATAAAAAGTAGTTTAGTCCCTATATGGGACCTATTTTTGACAATAATTGAAGTCACTTCTCTCATAAGTTATTAACACTGTCCACGGTTATAATAATGGAATAGTGTCACAATACTGTTCACTCTAGCTGCGTTCTTATTTGCCCTTGTAGTTTTTAAAACGCTGTATGTGATATTCTTCCCTTGTTACCGACAGGGTAATAAAAAAAATACCCAGCCAGGAGAGTAACAGAGATTACATAGTTCTGCTAAAATAACCACATTTTAATTCCCACAATTCTATAAAATCTTTGTTATTATTATATTGGTATGATTATTATTATAATATTTTATATTTCCCTTACAGATAACACCAGCGTAGCATACACAGTCTGAGCAGCGAAGCCAGAACGAGTTCATAATAGCATAAGAGCGAATAATCACAATTACACATATAATGGACATTATGTTATCAAATTTGTTTAAACTCAGTATCACAAGTCGTTATAGGTTGCAGATACTACGAATATATAACCCAATATATTATGTATTGCACAGTATATAAGAAAAAAGTAGCAAGACAAGTGTGATACTATTTTTTCAGTGCTGATGAAAGTATTAAATATATTGAATTGTGATTAGAACAAGCATTGACAGCTTTTATAGTATAATACTGTGTTCACATTGATATAGTGATAATGTGAGAAATAGTTATGAAACACTACAAGTGGAATGAAAGGACAAGTTCTAACTGGAAATGCAAAATCATTTAGCTGTCAATTTCCCATCTTACTTTTGCCAAAGTTATGATAAAAATGGAACATCTGTCTACTTATAAAATTGAATGAAAAACGTATTCTTATAAAACGAAGAATGTTGGTAAGCTAGCAAGACAATAGTCAAAAATAAAACATAGGCCCAAGTGTGAGTTTACTACACTCACACACACGACGTTACCGAGCTCAACCCCCCCTACCTCCCCCTGATTCTGGGGAAGGGGACCCTTGTGACTCTTGATTTGCATGTGTCCGTGGGCGGCGCTAATCACTTAACATCAGGTGACCGGTCTGCTTCTTTGCCCTTAACATAAACAAAAGTAAATTCAGGAATATCCCAAGTCTGGTGTGGAAATAGCACTCCAGCAGCACTCAAATAGCACCTCCCTGAAGAAATTGAGTTCTAGTACCCAAAAGTCTGTCCTGTGATTGTAGAGGCCACTAGGACAGGGACGTTAACTAGCCATGGGTCTTACAGCAAGCCAAGGAAAACCCAACACCCTCCTAACAGTGGGCTGCTAATAATTGTTATCACTGCTATTGGACAGTACAGTTTCCCGACGTCGAGTTCCGAATAGTAAATTAGATTTACCACCAAAGACTATGCTCGTATTAAAGATTGTTTGATTATTCAAACTCACGATTCAATTCGGGCTTCAGTTCGGTCGGCTTTCATTCAGACTTTGTCTGATAATAAACTTCACAAATTACTTTCAATTTTTTGATTTCTGTGAGTAACCTCCAATCTGGTATACCATAATTTTGCTATTGATATTCAACTTGGTGTGTTCCCGACGAGCGTGCTGTAAATTGTGCGTGAAACACACGTTTCAGTGTATAAATATTCTTTATTTTTGTTTATTTTGTCTAATATGCGTTCTACAAATAAATATGAGACTAATTTGTCATTTAAATATATTATTAATCAGGAAAATATTAACGTCGAAAGCAAGTCTGCATTTAATATAAACTTTCAAGATCTTTTGATGGAAATATAAAAAAAAACAATTGTGACAATTTAGAGATATTATTTTAAAAGCAAATTAGGCACACGTTTGCTCATTAATATTTTGTATTGTTAAAAAATTATCATCTTTAAAGTAACGGCCTGAGCAGCGTAGGTTCGTCATATTATACAAAGGGAGGATTAGTGATGTAGATCAGGTATTCCCAAACTATTTTGGGCAAGAGACTACTTTTCCAAAATAATGATACCTCAGATCCTCCTCCCCCCCCCCCCTAGTAAAATTGCTGCACGCTTATCGACTTGTTCAGGGTTTTTAAAGGTACAACAATGCTACTTTCTACCAAAATATTACTATATTAGTCATTTTTATAACAAGTTGTACGTAACACAACTAAGACAGTTTCTTGAAAGTTTCAAATTAATTGAAATAAGAACTTGTGTTAATTAATAGGGGTCGATTTTTAGACCTCTTCGATCCCCAAAATCTGTTTTCGTTTATGTTGGCCCTTGGGAAACCGATTTCGACCCCAAGGGGTCAATATCGACCAATGGTATCCCTGATATAGATTAAATGGCTTAACATGTTTAAATTGTAAATTAAACTATAGTTCATTCGCGTTAAGAAAACAGTGACTTATCGATCAAACAATTAATTAGTAATTTCTTGGAACCTAATTGGTCAGGGGCGGGGCTTAACCTCTCACGTGCCGCTGCGGTAAAAGCAGTGTAGCAGCATTTCGCGTATTTCGCAGTTTCATCATCATCAACAGCCCTTAATAGTCCACTGCTGGACATAGGCCTCCCCTTAGAAAGGAGGTTTTGGCCTACTATACCACGCTGGCCAGACGGGTTGGTATAGGGTTTGTTTCAAGTTTTCCTTCTCTCTGCAGTGTTGTTGTCCTGCGTATTTTTCTCCCCTAGTCGCCTCTTACGACACCCACGGGATGAATAGGGGTGGTGACTCTCTGTATTCTTAATCCGTCACCACACGGACATTTCGCAGTTTATGGGAGGTTAATCGATGCGTCACTATTTTCTTAATGCGAACGGACGCGAAAATTAGGTAAGTAATTTATATTTTATCCATGTCAAACAGTATGGTTGTTTGTAACTATAAAACTATTAGAACAATCCAATTGGTAAAGTATGAATTTGATAGCAATATATATTAGTTTATCGTTATTCCTTTCTTGTCTTGTACCAAGTAGATAAACAGAATAACTGTATTACTGTCAGAAGCTTAAAATATTTTGCGTTAGTAATAAATAAGACTGGATTAGAAATTGTAAATGAACACTCACTAACATTTAATGTTATATGTAAAGGAAATGAATGCCCTCTCAAAGTGGGCTAATTGGCCTAGTTAGTAATTATAATGATTCGATGTATCAATAAGCGATTTTATTTATATAACATGGTTTCAACACAGTTGTTGGCTATAGGACTCGTTCTAGATCTGCATCGCGTAGTGGAGGTCCACGCTGCAGCTCTAGAACGCGGTCTAAACGGATAAGGATTTTTGATTTTGACAAAGTATAAATAAGTACGTTTCATAACAAATATCTAAGCGTTGATATTGCAGTTATTAATTACACTAAGTGAATATAAAAAATATATTTTTTCTCTTTCTCATTGTAACTTTTGATAGGTATTAATTGAATTATTAATTTATTTTTATTTCAGCTTTATTTCTGTTCGTTGTTAATTTATAAGGGAATGTATCAAACGTAATTAGTGCGAAATAAAATATTTTTAAAGCGTCCTAAGTTTTGACTTTACGGCTTACGCTACCCCACAACGAGGTACGTAGTCGCCTTTTTTTTTTCTAATTAAATTGGTAAATAAGGTATTGTTAAACGGTAGTCTTAAATCATAAAATAAAAGCGAATAATTTAATTAAAAATATTGTTTTATAGTGAAACAACACGGCGCGGTCGCGTTGCGAACGGCGCGGCGTCCCCGCCGGCGATGGCCGCGACCGTGTCACCGCGACGTCGCGGCCGACAACGTGTCGATGACACCGACCACTTCACCGCCTTCTACAACAAGGCGCAAGAGAACAACTACAATGTTGTCGTTCAGGTATGTTTTAAAGGAATTGTTACCAATAGTTCGGTTACTTCGATGTTGATTTCATTAAGTGCAAGCTACGATTAGGTGCCAAGTAAACGTGTTTTTTTTTGTTTTTGTGAAATTAAGAACTACTGTAAAAAGCCCTTATTCGCGGAGGGTATGTTCCGAAAATGTACCACTGAATACAGAATGGGTTTTTGAATAGATATTAGTTGAGATATGATCCGCGTGATATAACTTTATCTTGCCTAATAGATTCGCGAATGAAGATTTATTTCCCCCCTTGAAAACAGGAAATTAATACTCACAGTGAGTAGACAAAAACGGGAACCGTGAATAAGGAGTTTTTATTGTACTAGCTCTTCTTTTGTTAGCGGCTTAACATTGAAAAAGTTATGCAAATCAATTTCACGTTTAAAGGCACGATTAATTAATAAAATGTTTTTTTTTTATAGATATTTCAATACCTGGGCATGCGAGACTTGGCGCACTGTGCGAGAGTTTGTAAACTGTGGAAACAGCTCGCCGCCACACCCGCGCTCTGGCGACACGTGCGGATGAAGAACTCGCACGTACGTACACTCGCATAGATGTATCGTTTAAAGTAAACCGTGTCGGGCGACGCGATCACTGAACGGGTCGGTTCCCTCCGCAGGTGAGCGACTGGGGAGGGCTGTGCAGCGCGCTGAAGCGGCACGGCACCAAGCGGCTGGACCTGCGCAAGATGCTGCTGCCGCAGAACGACACGGTGTTCTGGGAGCAGTTCGCGGAGCACATCTCCGTGGTGGACACGCTGGAGCGCATCGAGATGTGCCGCTGCCCCGCGCGCGCCGTGGAGGCGCTGTGCCGCGGCCTGCCCGGCCTGCGCGCGCTCTCCGCGCTCGCCATCCGCGACGCGCGCCTCGACCCCGCGCCGCTGGCCGCGCTGCCGCTGCTGCACGAGCTGCGCCTCAAGTCCATGGCCGGGCTGTCGCTCACGCGCGACCTGCGCCACCTGGCCGCGCTCACGCGCCTGCAGCACCTGTCGCTCACGTCCATCAAGGAGCTGGGCTGGTGCCTGTGCGACGTCATCGGCTCGCTGCCCGCGCTCGAGTCGCTGGAGCTGGGCGAGTGCACGTTCCGCGCCGAGTTCGCGGGCGTGCTGGCGCGCCTGGCGCGGCTGCGGCGCGTGCGTCTGGAGCGCGGCACGCCGCACTGCGCCGCGCCCGACATCCTGCGCGCGCTGGCCACGCTGCCGCTGCTCACGCGCCTCGAGCTCGTCAACATCGACGTCAAGCCCGGCTTCGACGACGCGCTGGCCGCCTGCACCAACGTGCAGCGCCTGCTCATCATCCCCACCTACGTGTCGCAATCCGCCACCACCAACCGCCAGGTGCTGAGCGGCGTGCTGCGGCTCAAGGACTCGCTCACGCACCTCATGTGGGGCGTCACCATCGAGCTGCTGCGCGTCACGGAGCTGTTCATCGACCAGTGCGAGCAGGCGGGCGAGGCCAAGCGGCGCGACGTGGGCGAGTGCATCCCCGTGCTGAAGCCGGTGCCGGGCTGCCGCCTGCCCGACGAGCCGGCGCACGTGGCGGGCCCGCCGCAGGTGGAGATCCTGCCGCTGCCCACGCTGCAGCGGCTGCTGTCGGCGCAGCTGCCCAATACCAAACTCAAGCTGCTGCGCATCCCCTTCCACGCCACGTGGCGCCAGTCGCTCGCCGACTTTCAGTAGCACGCGCCCGCCCCCGAGCCCGCCGCCCCCTCCCCCGCCGGCCCCGCGCTCGTCGTCTGCCTGCCGCGCTGGTGGGCTCAGTAGCGTGTCTCTCACCGATTACAATATCTCATGACTAATCTACTACATACAAGTAGTCATTTCATATTATCAAACCACGTATTCAAAGTTACAAAAACATACAAAATCGCCCCTTAGCCTTTGAAAGTCAGACTTCTCTTTCTTAGTCTTCTTGAATATAAGTTATATACCATAATAGAGTACCACTAGTGTATCCTATATACAATCTTAATAAATGGCATAGTTTTCTTGCACCACTACTAAAGTTTTTGAAATACATGGTTTGGTGATTTTCGAGATCTTCATTTGAATATCGCAACGTAGAATCTTCTTTATTTCAATATGTAGTAACTTGATAACTTAAAAACCAAAGCTAAAGAGATCAGCGGTGAGGGGAGACGTGCGGGTCCCGGGAGTGCACGCGTAGCTACGTGTCTACGAATTGTCCTATCATTTATATATATAATTATATCTCATTTCTATACAAAGTTCATTTTAAATCGTATTGTTGCCTGGAATTATATGGCCCGGATACGAAATGCTCCTGTGTGAATTTTATATTTATAGAGTACTCATTGAATACCTATATTTCTAAAGCAATATAAACACAAATAATCCAAAATTATATATTAGCGAACTTGACATTATAAGTAAATCTGAAACGTAACTGATTTTTAACCTCGTTAATAATTATATAACAAAATATATTTGAAACGTTAGCTTCGACATATTACAGTGATAATAATTACTAAAGATATGTACATACATAGTACTTATATATATATATTTATTGCAATAAGTCCGTGTGTGTTGTAAATACGCCGTTTGATGAACGGTTTGCTCCCTAATTAATGTATATAATTTATGTCCGATGCAACACACCCAACCCGTTGAAGCGGACATAAATAAGGATATTATATATACACATGATAATATAACATAGTGTAGGTCATATGTATATCTATTACAGTAGTTGACGCTATTATACAGAATTAAATTTTGGTTAAATTTAAACGTCTTCCAGGAGCAGAACAATTATCAGTGATACATCATACAGTTTGATGTGATGAAACGATATAAAAACATGTGTATAAACGGCAGACACATTCTCGATAGTTGCAAGTTTTGTTGTATTTATTAAATGTTGAGTGTTGACGCCAGTCGCCTCTAGACATTGGGAATGATACCGACCGTACGCATTAAGTACTAGACATTTACCAAGATTTGTTAGTATAATGTAAGATGACTAGCTTCTAAATGTATTTATACATGGAATTATTAAGTACAGAGCTATGTGAACAGTGTCCATGTAGACGACAAATGTATTAGCACCGAAACGTGTCCTTATGTTGCAATAACAAGTAAGTTAACACTGTGTGTGATTATGTAAACATTGGTACAGAGTAGATATATTTTTATAACACAAACAGGACAGCAACACCAAACACCTCCCTAGCGCAATGAACAGGTGATGTGTATATTGAATTCAATGAAGTACTAAATATATATTATCATTCGAGTTACTAGTTTTATTACAAGAATAGAATTATTATATAAAATATTTTAAATTAAGGACTTGTAAATATTTTATAAGATAGATTAGTTATCAGTGCCTATGATTATTGATTTCTGTTTGTACTCATACCGATAGAGGGCGTGGTACACGAAACAGTCTTATTGTGAACATGATGGTTAGCGCATCTAATACTGCCCGCAGTAAATGTTTATATTATTGCACATTCATTTATTGAAAATATTATTATTGATTTTAACTCAAAGTTATTCAAGAGAAAACAAAATAAAATATCGTAATAAATAATTTAACAACAGGTCTTGAATGTGGAATGAGTGAATTATATTGAGAATCTATTAAGAATAAAGACTGAATCAGTAATAAGGCTATGTTTAAGAATTATTGTAAATTATTATATGGCAAGAGTAAAGTATAAAGTTGTCAGTCTTGTTCTTTAATACAGATACAGGACAGTATTATATGTGCGACATGTCTTGCTACTGTTTGGGCACAGGTCAACTTGGCAACTCGACGAGAATGCGCCGAACGTCGAGTAGCCATTTCATTTATTTACAAACTGTTCGTTTTTTTTTCTTTATTATTGATATAAACTTACTAAATAATTAGTAGTAAAATTATGTGGCAATGTTTGAATATATAATTTTTAAACTTGTACATGTCAAGTACAAGTGTTGTTGTGTGTGTGTCGCCTCGGTCGGACTGTCAGGGCAGGGTGTTCGAAGTATGTAATACTATTTACTTATGGACAATTAGACAAACAAATAAAACATATATTTGACACATTTCGTGTCCATATTTAGTAATTTCTTTTGTGTAGCAAACTTTTTTCTGGGGAGCTTTTAAATTATAGATTGTTGTAAAATATGTATCTTGTTTTTATTTTAATTGAGAAAGAGAAAAAAGATGTCACCTGGTCTATTTGGTGGGTGAAAGGGACGGCGTACTGGAAACAGGAATAGTTGATTCAGAGCATTCATCTAATTTTTTTGTTACATATTTTTTTAATAAAAATTGTAACATAATGCTTATTTAAAATAATTCTATACCACTTACTGCCAAAATACTACAATCTAATCGGCCTTTTTCTCGACTGTACCTACTCTTAATACGATGCCGGAGTAAGATTAGCAATCGTTCACAGTCGTCAATCTTACATTCTTGTGATGAACTGACTTACCATCGTCCTGTATCCTGACAAGTATCCACAAATAGACGTTGGTTTCGCTACGCTGCCCCTTACACTCCATATTTAGGTAGGTATTTATATTCATTGTTTTGTCAAAGAAAATCTTTAATAACTGCATGGATTATTAATTACCCTGACATTTATTTACCTATAATTAATGCCTTATTATCTATTGTTTGGCAAGGGTACAATGAAATATTGATATTGAGCTTAAATCTAAAAATACTATTATTCCGTCACAGAATCCACATGAAGTGTGTAAGTAGACCCTAACCAAGGTCTTAGTACTCTCTATAATCACACTAGAAGACATTTTGCCAGTTAGCCTTGTTTATATATTTCTATTATATGAGAAAAGAACTGTTTCTCTTATTCCTTCTTGAGAACTTCTTTCTGATCCTATATCTTAAGCAATTTTCGATGCTTTTCAACAAGTGAGTGACACCCCTCCCTCCTTATTCTCTTTGAGTTGCAGGTGTCCTTGTCATAAGGTGATCCGTAGCTCACCTGCCTGCCCTCCATCTAATGCCATAAAAAAACTGTCAAAGATATGTGACACTTGTTTTAAGACGCAGTGCGGGATCATCAGCGGTGTATTCTCTAGAATGTCGCAAAATTACATCCTTCAGAGGCAAAAGAACGCTCTACATAGTATTGTAAATTCAATCCAAAAATATTTTGATGCGGTAGCTCACTTTTTAGCCTGCTACAGTTTTATTAATAGGGACGTTAACATTTACTAATTGAATACTTTCCGTTTTTAGAACTATAATATATTAATGAAAAATAGCCAAAATAGCGTCTGTAAATTCCAGCTAGATCCATGAAGTCATTAACCAATACCCAAGAGTATACATATGTACAAACTGACTTATGCAAAATTATTCGCTTTAATAAAATAGTGACGCATTGATCAAGCCCCACAATCAGGTTCAAAGCTTTCGTACGAACGATAATTTCTTAGAACCTGATTGGTCAGGGGGCGGGGCTTGATTGATGCCACAATATTTTTAGTAATGCTGAGGGACTATAGTTATCACTAGTAAGTTTCATACAACTGTGTTTGAGCAGAACTAAAAGTATTAGACTGTCGTGAAATATGCAAGTTAATACCACCATATGATTACGACACTTATTAATCTGTAATACATAATTAAGTTGCTGGAATTGATACAAAACCAATTATATTTTTTTACCGTTGAGGCTATCTACAATAAAAGTTATTTAAAACGTTTCGAGCATTATATGTGCATAAAGTAGTATATTGTAAAACTCCCATCATAGATTTTAAAGTTTCAGTAACATCTTTGCTTTTTTTTTGTAGGTATTCCAGTAAGAAATTACAGAAAATCTTACGCGTTACATCAGTTTTTATCTTCACAAAATATGCACAAAGACTAAAATTTAAGAATAGGCACAAAACAAAATTCTTGGTCCTAGCATATTGATTATGTGATTTAAGGAAAATGCCAAAATTGCTCTTAAATTGTTATTACGACTATAGTATGTATGCAAGTTCATTTCATCAACTCATTATTTAAAAAAATGTAGCTATGCAATAAGGTGATGTATCTCCGTGCCCTTTAACAGTGATATTGAGAGAGAAACCCTCGAACGGCCACTTCGGGGGCAAATATTTTGTTAGTTAGTACTTACATAAAAACTGTCAGAATTAAGTGGTATACAACAGTAACTCCATCTTTTGCGATGGAATAAGTAATAAGAAGCCATGGTCCATTCGCATTAAGAAAATATTGATGCATTACAATGCTTTCATCGGTGAGCGCTGATCAGCCGTGAGAGGTTATCCCCGCACCCTAACTAATAAGGTTCCTAGCTTTTATACAAAACCATAATTTCTTGTAATCTGATTGGTTAGGTGGAGGGGCTTGATCGATTCGTCACTATTTTCTTAACGCGAATGGACCATAGGTTCTCGTTACTAATAATATAACAAATATAATGAAGATCTCTTCTTCATTATATATTTCCTATAGATTTTTTACAGGAATCTCAATAGTGTGACCTACATTAAGATTTCCAAAGGTCTAGCATAATGCGGATACCCTTTTAATATCTAGTGGTTACATCCATCTTCATAACATATATTCATAATTTGACTTTATATTTAATGTTTGAAGATTGCATATAAGCATTGTTAAATATGACATTGGTACTTTTGTGGACGGTTGACAAAAGAAATGGGTATACATATATTTCACGTGATTTTAATTACATTTTGTTGTGACACATGTGAGACAGGCAAATGTTTTGAAGATGTTTCTGTCTTATTCAATTAATTCAAGCTCGAGACAAAATGTACTGTCTGTTTGGGCGACTTTTTTTATAGTATATTTCTACTTATAATAAGTATTTTAACTCGCTATGGGTCACGTGCCACATCTTTTCGAAACCTAAGACTTCCAGCGTAAAAGCTAATCTTTTTACTTTTTTATATTTTTAACTGCTATGTAACTATGTAATTCAAATTATTTAGTAAAAGTAGGTGGTATTAATATTAATAAAATACAAGGCTTCGTGTATGTCTCTTAAAAGGAATAAGTTTTTCATGGATGGTTGGATCTTATCACGTCCGTTCGTAATGTTATAGCCTTAGCCTTCCTCGGTAAATGGGCTATCTAACTCAGAGTTTTTCAATTCGAACCAGTAGTTCCTGAGATTAGCGCATTCAACCAAACAATCGAACTCCTCGGCTTTATAATATTAATATAGATTTATTCGTATTCTATTTTGTTACTGATACTGAAAAACACCAAAAAATTGTACTTAAATGTTTTAAATAAAAAACGAAATTTTAATTCATGACTAGCTACTGGAGAAACAAATTAAAAAATCTGTATTAGTTTACAAATACTAGAAAAGAATATTCTTTGCTGTATTTATAAATATGTGACACCCGGCCGAGATGATCCGATGATTGTATAGTTAACTTCATGACTCGTGTTATATAGAAGCATAGCTTTTTAGTATAATTTAGACATTTGAAGTTCATAATTATCTTTATATTTTATGTCTTATTATTTCTGGCCATTGACATAATAGTGAAAAACAAAATTAGTTGGTGATTTCCCCCATATTGCCCGAGAGAACTGATTTAATAAAATAAACTGTAGTGTCTGTTAATGTATTGTTACAAAAATGACTTGTTTTCGCGTCTTTGCTCCCAAATAACGTAGCATTTTCGCTTCTTACCAAATTTGATAATAGACCGAATTTAAGGGCTGGATTATTTATGTGATGTATTGATGCAGTGATATCATTAAAAAATATTTTATTGACTCAGTCATTTAAAATTGATATGGATGATACCGCCTTATTATTATACAAACCCTGGACTTAAAACATATCATCTAGATCTAAAACAAATAAAAGCGATTTGTTTAATCAAACATGTTACTAGTGGTCTTAATTATGTAACGAGGTAGGTTGCGATATCTCCAATATGAAAATTAAATAATGTTTTATGTACATGTCTAAGGACGATCCTGTCAAGGGCGGATCCATGGTGGGATCATGGCCTCTCCCGCCCTAGGCTATGTCTAGTTCGTACCATTTCCAGCGAGTTATGAAATTAGGACTTGTCAGGAGTCCTGCCCATACAAAAATGACCCCCTTTTTAAATTGGGGATTAAAGTTTTCGTTATATCAATGCGCCAGGGCAATCTTAATTTGAGTGTATAAATTGTACATTATTACACTTGGTTTATTATGTTACCTGTACGTAATGCATGCAGTACATTTGGCCACGGTCGTTGTATTATTGTTGAGCGAGGGTGACAGAGATCTATTGTATAATTAGATTATATGGTTTAAACAACAAAGGTGACTTGTGAATAAATTGTTGCCAATAAGTCTTGGTTTTTGGTTTTATTTAAATCTCCTATGTCTTAGATCAACATAGAATAAAATAGTGCATAACTCTCAATCTTCGAAGCGGGATGACAATATTGGGCACTTACGCACTACCTTTGTAGGGATTACGGGGTAGGTCATGAGCTTTTAGTGTGTGTGTATGTGGCATCAAATGTTACCACCATAGATTATTTTAAAGTGTGTGAAAAAATATGTACCAGTAAAATGAAGACTTAAGAAAGATTCATCGCAACTCTCTTGAGTTCCTTGCTTAATGTTAACTGATTTATGTCAGTCTCCAGAGAACAGGTTAATAGATCAGGTCCAAGCGAAAGGCGTACCGTGTGTGTGGTTTGGTTCTTAAATGTACATGCTGGTGAGGTGCAAATTGTAAAATTAAAAGAGCGCCTTAATGATAAAAAATTAAAACATTTACTTTCAGCCATATTTATTTATTTTTCCTTCTAGCACCGCTATTTTTTGCGGCCTGAGGCTTTCCGAACGTCTTCGATGGCTTGCCTTTGCCCGGCTTTCCACCGCCTCCCTTACCCGGCTTCCCTCCAAATCCTTTGCTCGGCTTTCCTGTCGGCTTTTTGCCAGGCCTTTCTCCTATGCCTTTACCTTTCTGAGTTTTGTTAGCGTCATATCTCAGTCTCTTAGTGGCCGACCGGGACGTGTCTGTTAGGTCATTAGCGAAGTTGGTCTGTTTTTTCTTCTTTGTTATGTTTTGTTTGTTCGCGTTGAAGCGAGGTCTGTCGTCATCGTCCTCGACGGCGCGGATTCTTCGTTGTTTCTTCGTACGTTTGGCCATACGGGACTGCAGCAACGCCACCTGATCATATCCCCAATTAATAACTATTTTAAGGTTCATATATATATTTTCTATACTGCTGAATAAGACTGAAAAAATAGCTTAGGATGTTAATTTAAGTTCATTAAAAAGAGCCCTAGAAAATATGATCTTAAAAATATAATTAGTAGCTTAATATAATTAATTATGAGACCGAAGATATCAAAAGCAGAAGGGGTTGACTAACCTTCTCCATCTCTCGGTTGACTCTCTCCTCGGGTGTGTCTTTAGCTTTATGTTTATTGGGCTTCTTTTTCTTCTTATTCTTCTCATCTTCTGAGTCATCGTCTTCGTGCTTTCGCTTCTTACCTTTACCCCCCTTCTTCTTTTCTATTGTTAAAAAATAAAAGAATTATAAAACTGGGCCTACAGGAGTTTTTTTTTTGTAATTTGCTACCGATACAATATGTTAAGATACGGCCGCCATGTCGTCTCGAAGCTATGTTGTCACACCATAGACACACATAGACACACTAGGGACTGTCAAAGAAGCATCAATCAGGATTTCGGTAAATGAGTAACATGTTATTAATTTATAAACATTTTACACACTGCAGTCTGAATCAAACTAGGCAGTGCCTGTACTGCAGTGACAGTTCTAAATACAAACATAATATTAAATTACACACTGACCCAGAAAAAAATAACACTGCTCACACACAATTATTTGTCCTGGATGGGAATCGAACCTACGACCTCCGGCTTAGGAGTCAGGGTCACGAACCACTAGACTAATGGGCTAGCCATTAAGCAAGTGGTACATTGTCAGGGCACTTAACAGCTTGCTATATTTGGTGTCTTAACTGTGAGGGCTCTTACCTTTATCTGGGTGTAAAGCAAGTGTAAGCCTCTCTTTCTCTTCCCTCTTCTCTTTGGGCGTCTGGAACCACTCCCTCTGTCTTTGCAGTTCTATTTTGGGTCCTTGTTGGACATCGTCTTTCTTTATGGCTCCTTCCAATTTGGCGGTTTGACGTTCCATTTTATTCATTTGCTTTTCTGCATATTCTTCATCAAGGATTGCGGCTAGATGAATGATTTAGGATTTATTGCTACATAAGTTAATATACTACATATTTTAGTGCACAATTTCGTTTTCCATAAGTTAGAAAGTTCTTGTTTTAAAAATATTAATAATCAATGTTGTTACCTTTTATTAGGTAAAATAAATACGTATTAAAATTATCTGGTATAACTAAGAGTAAGAGGGTAAATAAACATTGGATGTGAGAGGTTGAATGGTTAATAATAAACTGTCAAATAAGAGAGTCAGGTAATAAGATTTAGACAACACTTAGAGTGTCACTATTAGAACGAGGGTTGGGGGATAACGGTCCTAGGCCCGCAGTGCGCTGTATGTCTCAATTATTTAACAAGCGAAATATAGTATATTATTCTCAATTACAATCATTAGGAACTATGTATAATAATCATTACACACCATTTTCCTCAATTTTATTTATCCATCATACTTTTTTTTATGTTAGAGGTGGGCAGACGAGCAGACGGATCACTCGATGGAAAGTGACCATCGCCGCTCATGAACGTCTTCAACTCAGGAGTCACAATCGCGTTGCCGACCTTTTGGGAAGGAGTACGGTCTTTTCTTGGGGGTTTGAAGGTCGTATCGGTTCGGAAATACCGCAGACATATCGTTCATATCATATCAACAGAGATCAATAAAAGTGCATCGGTATACGTACAGATCTCGGGCTCGAGTCGCGCGAGCCTGAGGCGGTACTTGGCGACGATGTCGGGCGGCACCTGGCGCGACTTGACGGCCCGCTTGGCGCGCCTGACGATGGCCTTGACCAGCGCGCGCTCCGCCTCGCCCGCCAGCGACACCGACACCCCCGCGCGACCCGCCCGCGCCGTGCGGCCCACCTGCACCACACACACACGCGCTGATAAATACTTCACGGATTAACTACATTATAATTATTTTGCATTGACCGACATACGTTCAAGGAATAGCCAGTTTGAGTTATTATTAGCGATACGCTGTCATTTAATTATAATTTTTTATATAAGTAAAAATTAATACTTGTTTAATATCGTTGAACGCAAAACCCATGCCTAGCAAGAAAGCAATGATTCAAATATGTACACTTTCTTTAAAATAGTGATATTTTATTTGGAAAAAAAGTGATATTTTGTAAACAAAAAAAAAGCTCCTTGCCCGATGAATGCGTTGCGGTGCTAGGGTTGCAAAATTGGAGTCGCGAATGATGATGATTTACGAAGTAAAAATAATTCCAAAAAGTGTTAAGGCCACCCATCCCTCAATAAATTGTGTAACTGGTTTTGATTAACCAAAATAAATATTGGTATAGAGACAAAAAATATGATGATGTTATTTATAAATTAAAGAAGACTTCTACCTAACTTTTTGCTTCGAAATCAACTTAAAATCTGATATTGTTCAATGGGGATCGAACAAGTACTGCAGGTAAAACAGTTAACCACTGCACTTTAATAAAAAAGTAAGTTAATCTCACATCACACACATCAACAGGCTTTAATAGTTCACTACTGGACATAGGCCTCTTCTTAGAAAGGAGGTTTTGGCCTACTATACCACGCTGGCCAGACGGGTTGGTATAGGGTTTATGTCAAGTTGTCCTTTTTGCAGTGCTGGTGTCCTGCGTTGTTTTGGGCCCTTAGTCGGCTTACGACACCCACGGGATGAATTTTGGTAGTGACATTCCGTATTCTTAATCCGTCACTACACGGACAAAGTTAATCTATATATACAAAAATGTAAAGTTGGTTTGTGTACGCTTCAAAAACTCCAACAGTTTTGAACCGATTAAGCTCAAATTTTGACATGATATACAACCCATTTTTAAGACAGTTGTTATCTATTTTTTGTAACCGCAATGTGCCATAGCGAAATGTGGCAGGATACATTTAGTTCATAATAATAATGTTTTCATACCCGATGTATATAATGTTCAAGTGTAGCGGGCAATGTGAAGTTGAGCACAGTCTTGACCCCCGGGATGTCCAGTCCCCGGGCGGCCACGTCGGTGGCTACCAGTACATCCACCTGCTCCTCCTTGAACCGCTTCAGAGAATCCAGCCGTTGAGGCTGGTTCAATGCGCCGTGCAGCTCCGCTACCTATACCCAGATAATCATAAAAAGACCGTGTTTGAAGTATCCACAAGTATTAATGAATTAAGTAAAAATTGTTAAAAACTTAGGCCATTTAAGACACTCTCATTAAAATACTTTATGTAAACAAATTAAGGAGTACAACAGTTTCAGAGATTATTTTATGGTATCACCTGATAGTAAATGACTACCGCCGCTACACAAATATCTGTTTAGTTTTATTGTATCATTAAAGCTTACTTTAACTCCGAGGAGTCCGAGTGCGACGTGGAGTCGGTGCGCCTGTTTCTTGGTCTGCACGAAGACCACGGCGCGGTCGCGGAACGTGCGGCACACCAGCGCCGCCAGCAGCGCCTCGCGGTCCGACTCGCGCTCGCGACGGATCCTGCGCAGCGTACACCACTACAGCCTCACGCGGTACAGAGTAATATACAGCCCCTCCGATTGTCACATTTCTTTGACTAACATATACATAGCAGAAAACACACTGACGCTATGTAAACGAGCGCTTCATGTCTTAAATCGCAAAAAAAAATAACCCACTCACTCCTTACTGAAGATATACACACGTGATACCCAACTATTGTCAGGAACGACCGGGGTACATTATCAAGGAGTGTAACGATCTGTCTAACATTTTAATAAGGAAGAATTATTTTCATGGAAGTTCTTATTCAAAGATTACTTTACTTGAGACTTTTAGTTTTAACTAATCATTCGTGTAACAGTTACTTTGTATCCATGTACTTACCTAACAAACTCCTGTCTGAGATTGAAGGCGACATCCTTGTTAGAATCAACGAACAGCTTGACAGGTTTCTTCAAGGATACAGCCGCCAAGTCCTTGACCTCGTCACTCATGGTGGCAGAGAACAACATGGTCTGACGCTTGGGGGAACACTGACGTATGATCTCCTTCATCTGTTCCGCGAAGTATTCGTCCAGCATCCTGGAGAACAGAATTTAGCTTGGAATCCTTATTACAGTAAACAAAGCATCATACATACATACCTACACTTACGCCTGATCTCCAGAGAGACTAATCGCTCTCACACCCCCACAACTGTAACTTTCTGATCTTATATTACGTACCTGTCTGCTTCATCTAGGACCAAGACTTCGATCGAATGCAGACCAAATGATGGTGTGTTCCTGATGTGATCTATGAGACGACCAGGCGTCGCTATCACTATGTCCGGATTGCGTCTCAGCACTGTTTCCTGCACACAAATAATATTTTAATTTAACAAACAGCAATGTTTATTTTACACAGTCAACTACTATTACCATCAATTTTTAGGTACGTAACGTGTTTGTTAGTTAGTTAAGCAACTTATTTTTGGTCCTTCGAGCCGGCTACACAATGACGTGATAGAGTTCCCGAAACAAAAGGCCAATTGAATAGAACTTACTTGATATTTGACGTCCAAACCACCGACGGAGAGTCCGACAGTGACGGATGTAAACTGTGATAGCTGTCTCGTTACTGTATGAACCTGTTAACGGTAAAAGAAAAGAGGTTTTTTTAAATATTTATTAATAATCTATTCTCTAAAATATAACGATAAAATAAATTGTCTCCTTGTGATGACTCATTACCTAGATCCTAAATGATTTACGAAAAAAAAGTGGAGTGGACCCCAATCACTATTACTGTCTAAATCTACAGTATGATAAACTTGGGCAAACTCACAATACAATTAGATCCATTGTTTTTTTAAGGTGCATGCAAAAAGGGGAAGACCCTAGTCATCGGATGTGTTATTTGTCAGTTTTAGTTTTTCAAATTTTAATTGTTATCTGAATACCTCTTAAGATACTCCCACGCTCTTTCTTAAAGAGTTATAGTTCGTACCAACGCAGATACAGGCGACAATTTGACCCACAGAATAATGACTGTTACACATTTTTCAAGCAAAGGAACAAATTAATAGAACTTCTACAAAAATATCCTCTTGAAAATAGATATATTATTCAAATATATACAGGTTTACCTCACTATGCTATAATAACCTTCATACTTATTAAAATACAGATGTAATTACCTGAGCACCCAATTCTCTCGTAGGCACCAAAACAAGTACCCTAGTGACTCTGTCGCCCACGGCTGACTTATACAAGAGCCGCTCCAAGATCGGTAGCATGTACGCAGCAGTTTTACCCGTACCAGTAGCTGCGCAGGCGCATACGTCCTTCCCTAAAATAATTTATAATAACCATTTAATAATGATTTATCATAATAGATGTTGTATGTTATATGTATTTTTTTCACTAATAAAACTAAAGGAAAATGAATATTATTAAACTATCATTTTTCCACCGTTTATGCTCACTGTTCTGCTCCTAACGGTGATGATCATCATCAACAACCTACACCAGTATACTTCTGGGCATAGGCTCTTAGGCTTCTTACCAATGTGTCCAGATTAGTATAGGTTTTGTTTAAAGTTTACCTTTTCTTTGCAGTGCTGTTGTCGTGCGTAGTTTGCTACCTTAGTCTAAAAGTTTGCTAATGATTAGGGGTGGTGACACTCTGTATTCTTAATATATTTATGTCACCACATGATGATAATATATATGTTATATATAATAATATGATAATAATACATGATCTATATCCTTCATCAATAAATACTCTATATAATACAAAAATAAATTTCCACGTCTGATTAATAGTTCTTTATACTTATATAGATTCTGCATCTATTTGAACCTCATTGAAGGTGCATAATCATTCACTGATCATGTATGCATGCATGACAAAACAGATAGTAGTTCATTCTTTAAGTCTTCTTTATTTAAAAATAATATTTTTTTTTTTTTTTTATCATGGTAACTATGAGTGTGACAACAGAATTAAATGATTAAGTTTAAGGAATATTACTTTTAAATTGCTTAATCTTATGGACATGTAAATACTTCGGATATTATAAATATTAATTTATAAAAAGTTAAGTTCAAAGACAATTTCAGTATTTCATACCCAGTAGAGCCACAGGTATTGTGGCAGCTTGAATTGGTGTGGGATGTACATAATTCAGTGCTCCGATGGCCTTCAGTATTGGTCGGGACAGATTCATCATGTAGAAAGATGCATTCTCATCATATGGGGGTGGTTCTTCAAAGAAGTCAGAGTCATACTCAATTTTTGCACCCTGTTCACCTTCTGCATTTTCCAACTCCTAAAAACATTTTGTAATATGAAAATGTTGATTTAGTAGTTACATTATTTTTAAATATTAAAGTAATCAATTGTTTTGTATTTACTATTGAGTAACTAACTATACATGTATAAAAAGTTACTGTCAAAGCTTTCAAAGAAACATAATTTTGTAACTTTATTTTAATAGAGTGCAATGTATAATGCTTGAACATATAAAAATAATAGAGATAAATTTGAGTGTAGTCCAAGATAGATCCTTAGGGCCCGCCTTCACAGCGATTATTGCACTGCACGTTTTTTTTGCAAAATTCTGTAATACATGGGATCTATATAGGACTATCCGCACAGGGGGAAGAAAAACACGCGAAAAAAACTGTGATTTGATGCAAATTGAACGCGATACGGTGTCGATCGAAATATCACTGTGCGGACAGGCCCTTACTCTATCTACCTAATGTATTCAAAGTATTAAGCACATAAGCCCACAAAACATCGACAGCGCCGACTGTTCGAATAGTACATGGGACGAAATTTTCATAATTAAATTGGTAAAGCCTTCCAACACAGGAACTATCACCATTATGCAGGGATTGTCTATTTAATATCTTAAAACAAAAAACTTTCTTACGTCTTTTAACTTCTGCTTCTTGGTAATTTTCTGTTCTTTTGTCTTTATTTCATCCTTTTTGAGCTCATCATCTGATATCTCTAGTTCATCAACATCACTCTCTAAAAAAGGAAGATTTTAATTAGTTATTATAATACTATGTTACTAGAATTGATTACCGGAATTAATTGAATGTATCAGAAAAAATTGATAATGCCAAAATGTTTCAAGATGGTCTAGAAGTTTCCAGAGAGATGTTGAGTAGTTATATCCAAATTTTATAGAACTTTCTAGAAATCTCTACGATATTACAGTTTTGACCAGATGTGGGATGTAAAAACATTTTAAAATAGTTCTGTGACACAGAAAGTAAACAAGTTTGACAACAGAAAATTGTGCAAGAAAATATCAAAGTTATTGTTAATTGTGGATTATAGTGTTTAAATAAATACTGATACGTATTTTGTGTGTAATGTGTTGAACTGATTTCTAGCTTGTAACATGATCTAAGGACCAATATGTGAATGTTTGATCAACTTGCATGAATTATGATCAAAAATTTAATGAAATCAGTACCATTCTTAATAAATGAAGCATCTGGTACTTATTTCCCATGTTCAGAAACTTACCTGCTGATACTATTTACCCACAATATGTGAAACATTTTTATTTTCAGGAGATAACTAGTAAAGATTTACCTTTTTGGTCAACTTCAGAGTCAGTGTCTACATCGTTTGAGTTACCGTTCACCTTAACTTGAGCTCTTCGCCTCTCTATCTTTTCATCGATGGTTCTCTTAACATTGCGTCTCACATACTTCTGAAGGTCATCCCATGTATTCTGCAAAATTTGATCATTTTAGAACTTAATTCCACATACAATGTGATAACTTTAGATTTAAATTTATTGAAATTATCAAGACCTGAGATGCTAGAGTCAATTTGTGCTAAAACACAAAATATTAAAAAAGATACAAGTTTACCTTATTATATTCATCGACGGATGCTACAAACTGAAACTTTAGATTGAAATCTGCTTTCCGTTTGACTTTCTGTTTTGATGGTTGATACTGAAAAGTTTAGAAATAAGGTTATTTTTACACTTCTTTTTATTCAAGATTGTTTTTCTACTATGTAAGTAGAATTGAACAATTCTGAGTATTTTACAATAACTCTACTACAAGAAAGTAATATTACAATCAACACATAAAAACTGAACACAAATATTTTTGTGTTTTTAAATAAATAAGTGTTATTTACTTCTACTTCTTCATCCGATTCTTCAGAGTAATCTTCAACTTCTTCACCATCCTGAATCGTTTTAATAAATTCTGGTATTTTTGTAGTATTCTTCATTGTTATCTAATTACAACTACGGCACATGATATTTTTTGTAAATAAATGCGGTTTGAGGTTATCCTTCAAAATCGTAGGCCTACACGTTTCAATTTACACAACTGATAATTTCCAATTTCCAAAAAAGATGGTTCATTCCTTTCCACCCAAAACTTTTCAGTGGAAAGGAATGTACTTCGTTCAAAAATGATGGGATTTATTTGTAAAAATTGAACACAAAGAATAAGTGTTCAATTTTAATTTAATTAGAATTTAAATCTAAAATATATTTCGTTAATGATAAAACATGAACGCAGGTATAAACTGGATAAGATAAAATTACTGAAGCCCGAAATACATCTAAATTTATTTGTATTTAGGTAAACAGGAAAAAATGTTTCAGAATACACAATATATAGTGATGTCCCTGATGAATCTTCACACACACAACAAAAATCAGTAAATTATCATTTTCAGAAGCAGAGAAAATATTTTGAGTTTCAGTAACTTTACATATAAATTCGGTTTTTATTTCAGATTTAAAAAAGAAACATCCAGATCCATTGGAAAAGTTATAAAGACAAACGAGATGTGCGGAGATCTAGTAATATTAACTATGAAAATTGCGTTGTGTTACAAAATATGTTGGATACACTCAAATTTACTCAAAATTTAGTAAAAAATATCGAAATTTGAAAATAAAAAATTATGACGTTTTAATAAACTATTCTTTCTCCATTATATCGATATTTCTGCCCAAGCTTAGTGTCATGTCATACATGTCAAACGTAGTGAGTGTGTAATGAAAAAATAATTTAATTTCACCGAAAATTGATTGAAAATGGCAGATCAGCTGTTAATTCATGATGATATTAAATTGTAAGTTAAATGATATACATTTTATATAGTCAATCGTCTATTTAGCAATATAGTAAATAGGACTTGCTGATATCGCTAAGTTTCACCTTGTTTTCGTGTTTTCCCTGAAACCATAGCAAATTTCCTTTAATAATATACATAATTAACTGTTCAAGCTGCTTAAACATGAATTTGGGGGTAACACTTATCAGATTTATGTAAATTTCAAGTTAAGTTAATCAAAATACATGAAAAACTTTACAACATTTTCTTCACTTTATCTTAAATTATTTTATAATCATACTATGACAAATGATGATAAGTTGACATGACAATCTGTAATTAGTAACGTTAATAATATGCATAATAATGGTTATTTTCTTATCCTAAACAGTGTGTATTAGTTAAATGTTAATTAAAACTTCTTCCGAGTCCCTTATAACACTCATTATAATAAGGGTTCTGTAAGTAAATCATTTTTATTTATTTCTTTTCATATTTTTATCAAAGTTTGTGTAGGGAGGAGTCTAAATATATAAGTGATGCAGTGGTTATGATCTTCATTGATAATTAACATTTATTAATTTACTAAATGTTTATTGTTTCTGAAAGGGCAGGACCATCTTGAATTTGTCTTCGGCATTGCTTTATCTATATCTATTAATTAATAGTTAAAACAATAATAGCACACATTACTTTTGTAAACTTACATTTTTATATTTCTTTAACAAACCACCAAAAGTACCAAAAGCAGTTATACAAATCTGTCTGAAAAATATTTTTTTGTATTTAATACTTGGTGTGCAATAAAGAGTATTATCATTATTAGTCGGGATACATATCATTTCATGTGTGTATATAGTCACCTATCTACTTGTAAAGCAGCATGTTTTAGAGCATATTTAAATAAATACTCTATTCAATATTAGGATTGGGGTCAGACAGCCATGTATGATATGTGTGAATTATTTTTATTACTAAAATAAAAAGAATTAATCAAATCTGACTGAAATATGTTCCCTACCCCCTCTTCCTAGAAGCAAATATTATTCTGGTCTGACCATATAGTGGTGTTTGATAACTTAGTATTTGTATTTATTTTATTTCATAAACAATTTACATTGTGTTTGAAATTTTTCATAATATGTAAACAATAATAATAACATCAATAGCATTCAATGGAAAATAATAAATTAGCACATGCACACTCTTCAATTTATATAACTGTTACAATACAAACAATAAAATGTCAAACGAACAATTCAAATTAAAAAATGTCAAAAAAACTAAATAATTAATTAACTTTGGGCGTAGTTTCCTTATTAAAATTGTTTTTTATTATTTCAGATATACAACTTCAGATAAGTTTTATCTGGAGCCCACAATTAATCCCACAGAGATCATGGTCATTGACCGCATCACCGGGGAAGCTACAGTCAAAGGTAAATGTACTTTCCTTACTTATATTATTTTAATTCTCAAAAATTTTAATAAGCTTGCTAGAAAAGTATCTATTTATTATAATGTAATGAGGACTTACTTATGATTATCACATCTATGTAGCTGGGTTTTATCAACCAAAGGAATATAGATAACATTGAATTGGAACTTGGAAAATGACTATTTAGGTTGGTCTACACTGGACGATCTAATGCGCTTTGATCGCGCGCGGCAGGCGGTGTGGACTTAAAGCGAGATCCAAGCGCACGCATTGTAGCTTGCGCTCCTTGCCGCAACCGACCCGTTCGATGTCGGTTTTTGCGGTCGCGCACGGTGGGGATGGGTGTGTGGTTCGTGCGATCAGCCAACATTTTTGAATATCGTTCTAACCCAAAACCATATTTTCTTTATTTTTTGCTCAAATATTTAATCAAAAAAAAACTGAAAATATACACAGTGAAAGAAAGAACATCCTCCTTTTTTGAAGTCGGTTAAATAAAGATTTCTGCAGCTACAACAATTCGACGCCGCCGCTGTACGTTGACGCTGACTCCATACCGAGCAAGAGTTCGACTGAACTGACTATCACGGGTCGCGTTTGGATCGCTTTCATAAGGATCATCCGTTGTGGCCCCGGCTAATTATTTAAGCTTTCATATCGTGGGACACAGTAGTGCCCGCGCCAAAACGAGACAACGGAAACAGAGCACTACCTAAGTTTTCTCGAAGTAAAAATTGTCATCAAACTTATTTCTGTAATCGGTCTCAACTATCCAATGATACAAAAAGAAAAATAAGCTCCATTTTAAATGTTGGGGAAGAATTATGACAACACAAAACTATTAAAATTTCATTGAATCACGTAAGCTAAGTTGCATGACGCACGCATGAACGAACGAACAGACCGAAGGACATCGCGGAACTGGAAGGGTTGTCTACTAAACTCTAAAAACAATAAAAAGTCTGGTCTTGTAGTAACCTTTTCTGAGCGACAATTTAACACATTATTGTTGCTTTCAGACTTCAATGAAGTGAAAATTCCAATTCCTGCCAATGCTTACCGGCCCGTATGTGGGTTTCTAGGTAGCATTAAACTTATATCTGGATTGTACCTGGTAGTCGCTAAATATAGGATATTGGTAAGTAAACACATTTATATTTTACTAGCGGGTACCCGCGACTTCGTTCGCGTGGAATTTGCAAAGCGCTGCTGTAGTGGGTTCGATTCCCGGACCGGGCAAAATTTTAAAGAGTTTTTCTGAGAGGAAAAATAGCTTAAGTTAAGTAATCCATATATAGACCTGGTCGTAAAATATAATCAAAATCGGTCCAACCGTTTAGAAGAATACCCGGAATAAACAGACAGACAGACAGACTTAAAGATGTTTGAGAGAAGAATGTACATGGTAAATAGTTCATGGTTACCGAACTAGTGTGAAATGGAATATGGAATGCTCTAATTAGGGTAATTTAAGTTCAGGGTATGTGTTAGAAGGCGTTAGAAGAGCTGCACGGATGGCTTAGTGGTTTAAGCGATCGCCACGCCGCTTACTACTACGCTAAGTGTTGTGGGTCCGATCCCCACATGGGACTACACTTTGTGCGATCCACATTTGTTGTTCTCAATCTGGGTGTTTTTTGTGTTCCTTTCATGTGTGTTTGTAAAGTCCCCCGCGACACATGATATATTCCTAGTGCGGTAGTTGTCTTTTTATGATTAAAAGAAATGTAAGTTTTGTATTTGTCTCTGGCTTTAACAAAAAAACCTAATGAAGGAATTTAATCATATCATCACCCTTTAGTTCTTCTAATACATAAGAGTAACAATTTCAGGTCGGCAAGCTAAACAATCACGATATTTATCAGTTGGCGGGTACAGATATCATACCTTATGCGAGATCTAATACACATCTCACCAATAAACAGGTAAAAATTAACAGCTTTTATTTGATTTTAATTTTTTTAATCGACTTTAAAAAGAAGGTTTCGTCTTTGTCTATTTTGAAATTTCAAAAAATATTTATATAATTTAATTAGTTCCGCCCAAACTTAAGACAATTTAATTCCAATTAAATATTCGACCTCTCCAATCTTGTATTAAAGGTGTTTCTTAAATGTTAAAGAAAGCTGTTTATTACAATTTATCATATTTATTTTTTAAAAGTTAATCATTCATCACCCATCTGCAAAACTGATCTGGTAAAAAATCTTAATAAAAATGGTTTCAAATTATTGCGTTAGTGAAATAAGTATAATATCGCAGATAGAAGACAATTCGACGTACGAGCGAATGTTGCGTTTGGCTCTAGACACGCCTGGCATTTACTTCTCGTACGGGTATGACCTGACGCATACGTTGCAGCGGCTACACTCCATCACACCATCCTTCCACAAGGCAAGTCTAAAGCTTTCAACAGGTTGCGAGCTATTGTTAATGTATATAAATCGTTATCATTGCGTGATGTTAATAATTAATATAAAAATCGCTTCGTTTTTATAAATTTTTTGCGTCAGTTTTGTATTTCATTTCTCGTTACTGTAACCACAATGTCCCACACCACAGCAAAGCGTGGCATTGTACAGCTAGTTGGAACGGAGTTCCTTATCGCGCGTTACACACTCTGAGTAGATGAGACCGAAAAATTTGTAACACGACTTTTTTGCGACACTAATATAAATTATTATATAAAGAGAAAGGAACTTCGTTCCAACCGGGAGTCCCGTTTATTGATATAAAAAATTATTATTTTTTGTATTATTTAGAGAAACTCGAAAGATTAAATAATAAATATTTTTAGAAAAGCAAAGCTTTATGAACATTATCAGAGTTCTAATGAAGTCGATAACTGTTAAACTAACGCATAATTATCTTTCAGATGTCATTAGCCAATCGTGCAGATGCTCGGTTTCTGTGGAATGGTTACTTGTTGAGAGATTACTCAGACGAACAGTATGGCCGATTCACACTGCCTTTAGTACAAGGATGTATCCTTTTTGTTAAAAGTACAGATAGACCAAGCCGGAGTTATTCAAAATCGGTTTCGGTACTTTATGGTGAAAGAAAAAAACTTGCCATTTTTACGATTTGATTTGGGATCGGAGATCAAAGTTTTCATACAAATAGGTGAGGCTCGACCGGCTTAAATAAATACCATGGACTTACAAATTGGGTGTACTTAATTATTAATATTTATTCTGGCGTTACTAGGGTAACGCAGGAACGAGTTCCATGTTGTAAGATTTGTCTCCTTTTTTTGAGTGATTTGGTGAGTAACCTATTTCCTTAACTCTGTGTACAGTTGTGTCTATAAATAATGTAACTGTAAATGGTCATCAATTGAAATGGTCGCTAGTGTCCCGACGGTGCGTAGATAGAGCCGGCACGAGGCTGTTCATGAGAGGAGTCGACGCACAGGTTAGTGGTTGCCTAAATTGTTATGCGTTACCATATAAAAGATGGCGTTACTAACATTGAAAATAGATTCAAGATTGAAATAGAGCTCATTTTGGTTTTAAAATAATACAATTTATGCAATGGTCGTCTGGAACGTTTATATATATATAAATTAAAATATATAAGCAATTTAACCCAATTTCTAAATATTTCAACTGTCTTTATAAAATTATCATATGAAAATTTCGAGTAGTCGCCAAAGACGTGAATGAAAAATTTAGTTTAAAACTAAACTACTTTCAAAAAAAGCTAATTTCGAATATTCGCCAAAGAAATGAATGAAAAAATTTCGTTAAAAACTAAATTAAACAATACCAAATTTATCATAGCCGGGGACATGCACAACATCAACCTCTCATCAATTTGACAACATTCTGCAAATGACAAACATTTAAGATGTCTGAGATCTTCTGAAACTAGAGATTTGATTGGATACCAGGGCATTTCACCAATTTTTATCCAATATCATTTTCTGTAGAAGCTGTGTGTTTGTGGAATGCATTGCCATTTTCTGCGAGTCGCAGGCGAGCTATGCAACTTCATGTTATTTATTTATTGCCTGGATAACGCTAAATTACAATTATCCAAATACTTCACAACAACTGATATTAATATTTAAATTTTTTAAATCATACAGGGCAATGTAGCAAACTTCGTGGAAACCGAGCAAATTGTCGAAAGAGGGGGTGAAAAGTCTTCATTTGTCCAGACCAGGGGTTCGATCCCCCTGTTCTGGAACCAATACCCGGACATCAAGTACAAACCTGTGATAACCTTGTCGCATGAAGATCACGTGTCGGCTTATACTAAACACTTGAGAGATCAGCAGCAGAGATATGGCAACCAGGTGCTTGTGAGTTTGGTAAGTTGACCTGCATCTAAAACATATATGGATTAGTAATGTTTATGCATGATAAGTATATATTTCACATGTTAGGACCATAATTGGTTATGGCTTGAACTCGTATACCTATCACCAGTTTATAATAATTCCCGTCCATCCAAATTTTGCCTGGAAGAAATTGCTCTGAGCGATAAGGCTAAGCTTAAGGATTTACACTACCTGTAAAAACCCTGGTGTACAAATAAAGTATTATCTATCTATCTAATTAAAATATGAATAATGATCGTGCTTTTTACACAATTATTTGTTCTGGATGGGCATCGAACCCACGTAGAACAAATGCAAAAACGTTTGGCTTAGCTATCAGAGTCATTCACCACTAAACCAAAATGTCAGTCTTGAAATTCTTTTGAACGTCATAATGTTTTTTTTTATGCCAGCACATCCACGTATCAGCCAAGTATTAAGCCTATTTTTGAAAAACAGATTAATTTAAACAAAAAATTTCGTACGATATTCTGGCACACAAAGTTCCTAATTGTTATAGAACCTTCGTAAATAATAAAGCCAAATTTTACACGGACTTAGGTAAGTGGGTAGGTACCTATTTTTTTTGACGGGGTGGATAATCCCGTCGGATCTCCGGCTCTGCGGGGACGCAAGAGCACATATTCCTATATGTGGTGTTTCCACTTAAAACCATCCCGAAGGCTGGTCTCAGGCGCTCTACTCTGGGGAGGACCCGGGCCATGTTATTTCAGGTGTCCCAGAAGGTAGGTAGGTACTTAGTTCTTGACGTATGTAAAACTTGTGTAAGCTTCCTAGTTTATGTAAAGTTGAATGATGTTCATCATTCAGATCGACCACCACGGCAAGGAGGAGGGACTGGAGCGCGGCTACCGCGCGGCCGTGGCGGCGGCCGCGCTGCCCGGCGTGCGCTACGAGCCCTTCGACTTCCACACGGAGTGTCGCGGCATGCGCTACTACCGCCTCTCCGTGCTCACCGACAGGATCGCGCACGAGCAGGTCAGTCCACCACCTCATGTGCTTCTGGGCTCCATCTTTAAGAAACCAGTGAAGGCTTCTTATTATTTCTGCATAATTTTATAGATTAGTTATAGTGTATCCGCGCTAAGAAAATAGTGACGCATCGATTAAACCCCTTGCCCTGACCAATCAGGTTCCAAAAAATTATCTGTTCGTACGAAATCCTGGAGCCTGATCGGTCAGGGTACGGAGTTTGGTCGGTGCGCCACTTTTTTCAAACTATAGTTAAATATTACTATAGTTATATTTTTAAGCTTTACTTGTTAGTAAGTAAAATATCTTGAAGTAAATTTTTACATACTTCAAATTTGACTGTCGTATCTAAATGCAACTTTGTATGTATATTTAATTTTGATAACAATACTATAATTTGCCATCTTGGGACTGACCTAATGACTAAGCCAGGAGGTAGATGATGGAACTCTTCGGTAACTACTAATAAACGTCTTCCGTCTTATTATAAAACGTGGACTTAAAAAAGTACCGGCTTTAGTACTAGGTTTAAACCATGACCTTGAATAAACGTTATTACAAAACGAAGTTTATCGCTAGTCCTAGAACTATCTATGGTATCAAAGTTAGACCATCGTGACCCCTAGTTTAACTATGGTACTAAATTGTCAAACGTCAAATTCTTAATTTTGAGGTTCGCTTTCGGAAAGGAATTTGTGATCAGAAACCAAAAAATGGATATTGATGCAATTGATATGTTTGATTTGGAAGATTTGAATGTGTTGGATATACTAGAATATCGGATATCGTAGCTCGGTGGCGTGGCAGTGTCCATGATTCTAGAATCTTTAGGGAGTGTCGCTTGAAGCAAAGATTTGAATCTGGAGCGTTTTCTGGCATCCTCTTAGGAGACAGTGGATATCCGTGTACACCATACTTGTTTACCCCACTGCTGAACCCAAGAACAGAAGCAGAACAAAGGTATAACAGGAGCCATATCCATACACGGAACACTGTGGAAAGATGCTTTGGTCTGTGGAAGCAACGTTTCCGCTGCCTACTAAGATGCCTATTTCCTGATGATGTCAACAATGAGCAATCCTCTAGGGATTCAATACCAGTGCAGCCAGTTCAAAATTCACTACGAGGGAATATTAGAAGAAGGCAGTTTATTGAAACTCACTTGTCATAAAATAACATTTATTATATATAACTATATTTCTTTTTTGTGATATTCATGTATGTATATGTTTAATACATGTATTATATAAATGCTAAAATAAAAGCTAATGATCCTTTTTTCATAAAGTAAATCAAACATAAATAAAAGTAACTATTATCTTTAAGAAAATGCTAAAATCAGTCCTATAATACTAATGATTATTATGGGGAATATATAACCTGAAAATAATTATGTTATATTATTATGTGATTGTCAATATATTTGAAGTATTTAATCAATAGGAGATAGATTACATTAGTTATTTATTTGAAACTCTTGACTGAACAATTTATACTTATTTAACTTATTTATTTATTCATATAGGACAACTTACAAAACATACACTAATACATAATTTACAAACATGTTTTACAAATATTTTCTGAGTGTTGTCTTACTTACAAGTTGCCACGGCATGGTAAGGGACAGTTGCATCTATACCTTAGTAATGGTGTTAGTTTTTATCTGAGTCTCCAATAGTGCTATTTGTAACTGTAGCTTTTTAATTTTTAATTTTGATATTTCAACCTGATAGAAGTGCTGGGCTTCCAACATATCAAGCTGTTTTTTTTTAAATTCTGTATTACTATTTATAATAGCTTGGCGCCCTTCTTCATTTCTGTAAAATAAATTCTATATTATTATGTAATAATTTGACTTATTATTTTAGTGTGGTAAGCTTTATTTATATTTTCGTGGTTCCTTGATTGAAATAAAATATATTCAGTATTATCACATTTATTTTAACAAACCTATTTAGGGAGCGGTTTTCCCTTTTGGTTTATTTTCTTCTATTTCTACACTACTTTTTGTTTGCACAGTTTCACTGGTGTAGATCACTGAAAATAATAAATAATATTAATGAAACTAACCTGTATTTTTCTTATTATGAAATTATTATACCTTGTTTTTCTTCAATACTGGACTCTACATTTTCATCACTTATAATCACTACAATTGGTTCTATTGAGCTATGGCCAGCATCAGGGTCTTCCACTGTTTGTTGTTGTTATATTTGTCATCTGTAACAGGTAAATGTTTAGTAAATTGTCATCATATTATACTCTCCACTATTGTTAACTTTTACTTACCACTGCATCACTGTCACAGTCACACGTCTACAACAAACTCATGAGGAGCAATAGCCATGACTTCCAGGTCCTCTGGAGAAGGTGACGGGGGCTTGTTGCCACCTCCTGTTTTAGACTGCTCTCTCCTGTGAAGAGACAAGTTTGCCTTGGCTGCCAACTTCATTCTCTTCCAAGCCAACTTTATCTCTTCTACAGAACGATTTTTTCCGGCGATTTGCTCACCACAAAGAATACTGTGCCCAAAGAATTGTGCCCTTAGGTACTTGTAGTAACAATAATCTTGAAGTGAAACCACAGTGAGGACATTTTTTTAGTTTAAGTTGTAACATAAACTTTTCGATTACATTACTCGAATTACGCGCGCCGTCCAGTTCACTCCGTTATACTCATACGTGCTAGCTCGGTAGTTGTTCCAAAACATAACATTCATAATTGGATTGTGAACATGCATTCAAAAAAATACAAGTCGGAATATTTAAATACCTTTAAATAACAAAACTTTAAATTTTACCCCTACAAATAACAATTCATAAAATATTTTTCTTTATATTTCGTAACAACATTTTGTTAAAAAGGAAAGGCGCGTAGAACGCTGAACGAATGAATGAATAATTTAAATATTTTGTTGCTTATAATCTGTGGAAAATGTTTAGTCCAGAGACGATCTTTGGTACTAAGTAGTCCTTTGTTGGTCTACGATTTGTAATAAGAATGAAAGAACTAACGTTAGTACCGTAATAAGCTTAGACCTTTTAGTCCTGGTTTAAACCTGGTACTTATGAAAGTTTTTATAATAAGACGGCTTAAGTTTAGGAGTCTATGAACAGTTTTGACCATTGGGCCACACTCGGTGTCGTAACCAGGGTCTGATATTGAAGCCCCGATATAGTGGAACTATATCTTTAACTTTAATTTCTCTATTAAAACGTGATATTTTAAAAATAATGTCTTACCATCCCATCTTTATCTAACAGAAAGAATTCGGATACTTTTTATCTCGCGGTGGGACAGTTCTACTACGCCAGAGTGGAGTGTTCCGCACCAACTGTGTGGACTGCCTGGATAGAACCAACGTGGTCCAGAGTCTGCTGGCCAGGCTACAGCTGAATGCGGTGCTAAGGCTGCTTGTCGTCACCAACTCTGATGATGAGAGTCATCCGAATTTGGACAACTTGTTTAATAACGTAAGTTCTACGAGAAAAATAATGGAACACTTAGTTTAAGATGTATTTAAGATCCATATTTCTATCCTAAATTGAAAGACAAGTCTGAAGTCAAAATGAATTTTCTGAAAATTATAGTTAGATACAAGAAAAACCTACATTGAGACGGTTTCATAGGTTTATTTGTGGGTGAACGGTTATTTTCGAGCCATATTTATCAATAGGTAAAGTGACGAGCTCCGTTGATGTCAGACTCCACACTAGATGTCTAGATTGCACTGGCGTTCCCATCGATATATACTATGTTGGCAATGTAGAGACATTAATTAAAACAAATTATCCTTAACGAATATTAAATCCAACCACAAATTTTTTTATTCTACCGTTTTTTATGGTCGAAATTTGAAATTTTTTTCAGGTATGGGCTGACCATGCAGATTTGATATCAACCCAGTATTCCGGCACGGGCGCTCTGAAGACGGACTTCACCCGGACTGGCAAGAGGTCCCACCTGGGGCTTTTGAGGGACGGGATCAACTCCCTCACTAGGTATTATAAGAACAACTTCAGCGATGGATTCAGACAGGTCAGTAACCACAATTATTATTAGAAGTCCTCCGTGTTAGTTCGAGTTCTTTTAAAAAATAATTAAGAGTAACTGTTAATAATAATAATAACTTTACACATTTCACACACAACACTCTGATCTCAAACTAGGCAGAGCCTGTACTATGGTAACCAGACTGTTGATAAACATATTTATATATTTCTAAATACGTACATATCCTAGATAAACTACACCCAGACTCAGAACAAATGATCGTGCTCGTAACACAAATATTTGCTCTGCGTGGGAATCGAACCCATGATCTCTAGCTCAACAGTCAGGGTCACTAACCAGTAGACCAACAAGCCAGTCAGTTAGAAGTCGGCCAATATTTAAAAAAAAAGTTGATTATTCAAATGTAGAATGCAAATTTTTTTATTGTTTTAACCTTTTTTTTTTGTTTTAACCTTTTTTTTTTTTGGTTTCCGCTGGGAAGGTGGCTGTATTTCTTAGTGTTGTACCCATTTAATTTGTTTTGATATTTTCAGGACTCCATTGATTTGTTTTTGGGCAAGTATGTGGTAGCTGATGGAGAGGGCAACTCTGCCGTTTGTCCACTAAGGCGAGACAGGGATTGGAAGTATATTACTGTAAGTTGAACATTGATTATGAGAGACTACGAAAGATTATGAAATCCAAAAGCTTTTTTTTCTCATTAGTCCCAAAGGTTATGTGCATTAAACAAACAAAAAAAAATGTTTTTATTATGTTCCCCAGTTCCCCTCAGTACTGTTGGTAGCTGTGTCGATGTTCTGCGCAAGCGCAACGTTACCGCAGCGTTACACGAACGAGGTGCTCATGTACCTCATGTTCTGGGGAGCGGCCATCACTGCCACACTCAGCTTTATATTTAGGTAATTATACTGGTACTAAGTATTAATAGAATACAATAGAATATGCTTTATTGTACATCAATTACAGTAAGTTGGTTAAATATTACAGATGGATATGTATAATGTGCTACCATATATTTTATACTATTGATTTTCTTAGAGCCCAAGCTCTAAAATTCTACGAATCGGCCTAGTTTTGAACAGTCGAGTAAATTAAATAAAATCCTCAAGAAAAACCTTAACCAAAGTTAAAAATAAAATTACTTCCACAATCTAACTTAAACTTTGCTATAAAATGGTTGCGGGCCTGAAACGCACCTAGTACACCACTGATGAAATCACATTCTTATCACAAGCATTCCCCTTTGTTTGGGGGAGTTTATAAGAATACTAGTAATATGAGACCTATTTACAAGCAGTTAAAAAAATGATTTCATAGTGTAATGGAATGCATTAAAAAACGAAATGTCAAATGTGACAAGCTAATTCGCGCTAATTTTCACTATAAACGATTGGCTGGATAAGTCGATATATTATTAATAAAGCTAATCAAGCTGAGTACAGCTAGTACTAAATAAACTTGTATTGAGAACTCATCATGAGTCGTTACTAGAAAACACTTAAGAATATGTATGTTACATTCCAGACATGGCAAGGAGTTCGTGGACTGGCCGCGCCTGGACGCGGGCGGGCTGGTCGCGGCGCGTGCCCTGGCCCCGCAGCAGTCCTTATGATCAACGACCTGCCGCTCGTAGTCGTCGTGTAGCCCTCCCACCCCTCTGGCCCACCCTAAGGGATGTCGCTAGTACCCTCTAGTTAGGTTCATGGTTACCGTTCTAGTGCGTGTAAAACTATTAAAAATACACTACCTATACGACAGCTTTTTATATCAAGATAAACATCACATCACATCAACAGCCTTTAAGAGTCCACTGCTGGACATAGGCCTCTCCAAAGAACGGAGGTTTTGGCCTACTATACCACGCTAGCCAGACGAGTTGGTATAGGGTTGTGTCAAGTTTTCCTTCTTTTTGACCTCTGATACAGAATATAACAGAATAGTTGAACTCGATGTAAAATAACAATGCAATTTATATTTACTTTTTGTGCCAAATAAACCTTTAAATTATTATTATCACGCCCTCCACATCCGCACAGAAGTCGGGTATATTAGTGTAAGTAGACAATAAAACTAGCTATTACCACATCATAAAGTTTATCACACCTTCTTGCTTAGTTCGTAGTATATTCTATTTTTATGGGGAATCTTTACTTGTAAAACATGTTTTGTGACCCACAGCCTGTTCTTACTAGTGAAAGTTGCCAAAAATCTTGTACATTACATGCACTTCTGCTCTTCTGGAAGGAGCTTGGTTGGCTCACCTAGCTAACCAGTCCTCGACGCATAAAGGACTACTCTTGAGTCTAAATGCGGAAACCGAAGCCCACAACTACCACCTACATGCACTTCCGCATATACTCCAAAGGAGTCGGCAGAGGGGTATTAATACGATTAAAATTTATAGATTCATTTTAGGCCCACTTACGTAATCGACGAGCCTGTTGGTCTAGTGGTCAGTGGCCCTGACTGCTAAGCCGGAGGTCGTGGGTCCGATTCCCAACCAGGACAAATATTGTGTGATGGGCACGGTCTGGATGAAATTTATCTATAATATGTATGTATTTAAAAATATATAAGTATGTTTATCATTTATGTTTTGACGACCGGATGGCGTAGTGGTTTGTGTAACGGACTGGTATTCCAAAGGTCGCGGGTTCTATTCCCGCTCAAGTCAAACATTTGTGTGCATGAACTTTTAATGTTTGATTTGGTCTGAGTGTTTCTATGTATAATATGCATGTATTTACAAAAAAAAAGGATATATGTATTTATATCAGTTGTCTAGTACCCATAGTACAAGCTCTGCTTTGTTTTGGACTAGATCGCGCTGTGTGAATGTGGTAGAATATTATTGTTAGTCTGGTTACCATAGTACAGGCTCTGCCTAGTTTGGGATCAGACGGCCGTGTGTGGGATGTGTGAGGTATATTATTAATAGTATCTTATAGTAATCATCATGATGATGATTTTCGGAAAGAAATATTGCTTATGCATATGAGAAGTATAAGTAATAACTCGAGCAGGCCAGGGTCTTTTACCTGTAACCTGAACTGGCTGCTACGGAAAGAATTCTAACACATACCCTGAACTTAAATTATCACATTACCCTAATTAACGCATTCCATGAGTGTTTCACACTAGTTCGGTAACCATGAACTATTTACCATATACATTCTTCTCTCAAACATCTTTAAGTCACATCACAGTTTGAATTATACCTTAATGCTTTCTTTATAAATTCCATTTTCGATTATAGAGAAAATATCAAAAGACCAGTTGTACAAATATTGAAACATATTAGGCAATTCTTTAACAGGTAGAATATAGGTATAACGTAAAGATTGGTGAATAAGTAAATAGCAAAATATTTTTTATCTGTGGCAGTTAGTTTCTCTGTGAGCTACCATCAATGGAGCCTTAACTTGTTTGCTACTTTATTGCTGTAGCTTTGCTGATTACTTATGCACCATCCAACACAGGTTATTAGAAATTGTTGCTATTTTTGCTTAGTGTGAATACTACGAGTTAAATAAATATCTATATTCTAAAAATATTTTTATTAGCATTCCGTAGGTGTAGTACGCGGCCTACTTGTCGGTTTAAGATATTTCTTCCAACTTGGAAAATATATTTAGTCTTTTGAACGCCGTGTCACATTTAACTTTCGAGGATATGGCCTTTATAATGTCTAATTCAACTGTTTACTTAATTATACTTTTAATTTCAGTGATTTTCAAAGCGGTGCTTATTGTGGTTTTTTTTACTACTTTAACATCTCTTAAATCGAGTTTACCGAATAGACAAATATCTAGATTTTGACTGGCCTGATCGAGTGGTTAGTCATCCCGACTGCTAAGTATAATGTAGCGGTGGTAGCCTAGTAGCATTGGACTTGCGATCAAGAGTTCATGGGTTCGAATCCTGACCAGTATAATACCGATGTAAACCCTCTCCTAACATAAGCAATATATCTTAGCGGGAAGGGTTAAAGGGAATACTAGCAATTTCGGTTGCTAGTTGACCTTTAAAAATATATATACAAGAATGTCTGTCAGCAGTCTGGTTACCGTAACCAAGGTTCCACCTAGTATAGAACCACCGTGTTCTAGATGTGTCAAGTTATTATTATTATCGTTATGATATATTCGCGATTTACAACACAATGTTCTTCCAATAACCCCGTTGAGGTAGGCCGCGTACAATGTTACCCCACACACCGACCGAACAAATTGACATTCAAGTCGTAGTGTGCGCGGGTAGTTTCATATAATTCACCTTCATATATTTGTAATGGTTTGTTCCTGTGGTCCAATATCATGTTCCTGGTGATGGAATTGAAGGTATGGGACTTATGAGTGTTTTAGATTATAAGGCTAACTTAAGGGCACTTGAATCTTTGTATGACTAATGTAACTATTCCCTTACACCCTTTTGAAAAACGGAATAGTGGTATGAACTTATTTTATTGTTGTAAATAATTACCATTTTATCGATAGTAAGGTGTAAACCTTTGAGACGGGAACGTGTAACACGAAGCTGGAGAAACGCAGGCTATTTGATTAGACCAGGGATTCCCAAATTATGTTGGGCAAGAGACCCCTTTTCTAAAATGAACTGACACGTCAGACCAAATCAGTGCACGCTTATCTACTTCTTGAGTTTTTTAAAAGTACAACAATGATACCTACCTACTAAAATATTAGTCATTCTTATAACAAGTTTATATACGTAACACAACTAATATAGTTATCTTGATAGATTCAAATTAATTCCAAATAGAACTTATGTTAATTAATAGAGGTCGATTTTTAGACCTGGTCGGCCCCTAAAATCAGTTACCCATGGGAAAGCGATTTCGACCCCAAGTGGTCAATATCGACCACTTTGGGAATCCCCGGATTAGACCAATAAGCGCATGCTATTTAGATGTCGTATGTTTCATATCAAATGTGACTAGTGTAAAGTTTTCTCTCGTTTATTTTAACATAATGTTTTTTTTTTAAATCAATTTAATATAGCTGATGTTTGAAGTAATTAGTATGCAAATATGCATTATTTTATACTTATTGTTTTACATACCAAAGATATTATAGAAAATGTAAAAGAACACACACAATGTGCTTTGCCGGCTTGGTGCTATGCGGTATTCCCGGCCATGGGTCCATGGTAGCAAACATTATTGAAATGCCACGCTTATGCCACACAGACCTTTAAACCATTAATTTAAATTTATGAAGTATGCGTATAGGCGCATGTACGAGTACGTGTACGTACTGGTGCATAATGTACATATATGCAGTTTTTTGTTTTTCTCTATAGCGGTCACTTCTTTGACGTCCCCTTATGGACATAGACAATACTAACGATTCTGGTAAGTTATGGCTGATCCCATCTACTCGCTCTCTGCAGCTGTGCTCGGGAGCTTCATTGTTGCTAATTTATACATTTCCTCAAGCTTAGATGAAATAAGAACCATTAATGATGAAATAAGTGGTGCCATATGAAATACAAAACTATTTTATGTTTAATTGTTAGTTTTCTATTTGACGCATGTATATATTTATAATAGCAAAAAAAACCATACAATCATTCATTTTTCTGCTTCTCAATATTACTTCCCTTACAATCGAAGTTCTCCCGTTTTTGATTTATTAAAGTTGGCAACATTGAGATCGTTAAACTGTCCACACTGGGAGGACAATCACTAATTATAGTACCTGCAACTTAAGCGGAGTTAGGAGTAAAATAACTTATAATCTGAAACACTCATGGTTCCTATTTAATTTCTTGTTGTGAAAGCTTACGACGACACGAGACGGCTGACTTCTTGCTTTTTGGAATAACACTGAGAAATCGTTTTAATGCATTTAATAATAAAAAAAATATCTATATAAGTGATGTAAATATATATGTATTCATTAATTTTCTACTCGAGGAGTTGGTTGGTTTTTATATCGATCTATAATGTGTTTTTGTAGTTATAACTTTTTAATAATTGACGTTGACGTCTGGTAATCGTTATTGATAGTTTGTTTTATAACGTAACAATTTGTCTTTCTCATCCATTCTGTGTTTGTCTATCTGTTTTACAGTTTGAATTTTTATACTTTATTCAATATATAAACATTATTTCTGTCAGGCACTAATAACCAATGCAACTTGTAACTTTTATATGTTCTGTAGTTATTCTAGAGTATAGAGTGTGTAAATATCCTAGCGGTCGTAATTTTTTCGCAGTTTGCTGCGATTAATTAAAATGGTAGCTTTGAATTTTATTTCTTCTCAGTGTTATTTCAAATGATATGTTATTATAATAATTGTTATATTTGTCATCTTATGTAATTTAATAATTTTGATCTTGTAATTTTTATGAAAGAGATATTTCAATAAACAATGAATCGAATTTGTTTTATTTTATCTCATTTGAAATCGACTGCCTCGGTGGTGCAGTGGTAGCATATGCGACTGTGCTGTACTAATTTCTCGGGATCGATTCCCGGGTCGGACCAAATGTTTTTGTATGATCTGCAAATATTGGAACGAAGTTCCTTATCGCGCGTTGTGAAACGCGTTGGGGGCTAGACGGAAAAAATTCGTACGAAAATTTGGAACGACACTTTTTTATTAATATAAATTGACGTCTAACTGTGGATACCATACATTAAATTTGATTTAACGTTCGCCAACGTCCATACCATGTTGAATACACCGGTTCTCGTCCGATCACCGAAGTTAAGCAACATTGGGCGTGGTTAGTACTTGGATGGGTGACCGCCTGGGAATACCACGTGATGTTGGCTTTTTGCTCTTTATTTTCGTGTCATCTTGTCAGACATTCAGCGCCATCTATCGAATAGATAGGAAATCATTTCGCAAGGAGATTTTACCAATGTATAAATTGTTTTTAATATGTAGGTAATAGCCGCTTTCTTAGATGGCGTTGTAATTAAAATCGTGTCAAATCAGTTTTACTCGATCGTCACAACTTCGTTCCTATCGGGTGTCCCACGACACCACACGGCTTCTATTTGTTATACATAATATCATCAACAAACTTTATCAGCCCACTGCTGGACATAGTCCTCTCCTTGGAAAAGAGATTTTTGGCCTACTATACCACGCTGGCCAGACGGGTTGGTATAGGGTTTGTGTCAAGTTTTCCTTCTCTTTGCAGTGCTGTTGTTCAGCGTAGTTTGCTCCCTTAGTCGGCTCTTACGACACCCACGGGATGAAAGGGGGGTGATGAAACTCCGTATTCTTTATCTGTCACCACATGTATTTACAAAAAAAAAGTAAGTATTTTATCAGTCAATCTAGCTTTCATAGTACAAGCTCTGCTTAGTTTGAAACTAGATGGCGTTGTCAGATGTCAAAAAAAATTGTTGTTTAATAATCGAAAAAATAAACCATAAGTAACATAACCCTTACACGAAGTCTAAGAGGGAACTACGTTTGCTTTTTTGTGGTATAGGAGGTAGGGATGGTATAACATCACAATCACATGTGATAAATTATATGATTTAAAAATCATATTATAAGCACACCTGTGACTGATTTACAAAATCGCAAGAGTCGCGAAAGGCTAAAATCTTAAAAAAGGGCTGTATCTTGAATGAAAAGAAAAACCAATCATTTCAATAAAATTTATCACCTGATAGTAAGTATCTACCATCGCCCATGGACACTTGCACCCAAGAGCCAAGCCCTTTGAGTGAGCCCGTCCCCAGAACTGTGGTCTCCGTCCCTCACTCGGTGAAAAACAATGTAAGAAATGCTTACACCGGTGTTCTGGGAGGCCGTGAACCCCTGTCTAGTCGGCCCATATATGCAAATCGACGTCCATACAGGTGGTCGCTAAGACCTTAACTTAAATGGTCATTATCAGTCTACTGGGTTCTACATGTAATTCCACACACTGCATTTGTTCGCTAGCACACTTGCACGATGACAGATTCAATAGGGGCGGAATGATCGTAAATATCTTCAGAGAACATTGTTTCTTAGACCCGATAAAACCTACATTTGCTTTCAGCCAAAGCGCCGAGGGGAGGTCTCAACAATCGAAGTTTACTTCGATCTCGTTCGTCGCTAGTGGTGCCAATAAGATGATCCGCTACAGTACTTATCCCGCCCTTAATTCACTCTCACTGTTATTTTCTTTTTTTATGGAACAGAGGGCAAACGAGCTAACGGGTCAACTGATGGTGACTACCGCCGCCCGTGAACACCTGCAATTCACACTTGACTAGTCGCCGATGTTTGAGTACCTTCTTAATAACGGTTTTCTGTGAGGCCTTGGTATCACTCCGGTCGAGCCGGCCCATTTGTGCTGAAGCATGGCTCTCCCAAGATTACTTTTTCCACTCAAAATAGTGAGTAGTTTCTACTCACCTTATCTTTCCACTCATAGTTTAACCTACCAAGCCGAAGGTACATAGGTTTATTCTGAACTGATGATGATTTTGGAAAGGGCACGAGACTGCGCACGAGTACTCGGCTGCTTTGTAAAATATTTTAAAACAGTATTTTATTAGTATTATTACCTACATAAAATTCAACCTTGTTACTGTAATGTACAGCTTTGCTTAAATGACGTAGGTCCGGGGGCTTGGGCACTTGGATTATTGCATATTGACAGCTGCGGAGTGAAAGTGGGTGCAGCGATAGGCTTTAAAAAAACAGGTCATTCTGCATTCATGGATTTGTTGCCAGAAAAGACTAAGAAATTATTTATTTTTACTAGAGATCGTCTGAAGAGCAAATCTGCACTCTTGAGCAAATTTTTTAATTTGAGTCAGATATTCCTCAGATTAGCGCGTATTGAACGCGCTAAACAATTCCATTTTATTTTATTACCTCGTGTAGATATTGTTTTTATGTAAGAAAATTCCAAGTTGGTGTTTATCCATGAGGCATAAATATTTTATTATTCATGCCTCGTTCATTCATGAACCCGTATATAATATAATAATATTCTAACTGTAGTACTGTAGTAACTGGACTCTTCAGTTTCTTAGTAGCAGAACTAGGAGAGATTTCTTCTTCAACATAACGTTTTCGAGGGTTTTGTAGTAGTAAGCGACGAAGTTTTTTACTTACTAATAGCTGGCAAGGAGAAAGTAGGGGAATGGAGGGGAAGTATCATCTGGTGCAGGTTTGGAATTTTTTCTTACCCATTGCTATATAATGGATATTTTTTGTTTAATATACGTATAATATTAAAACTGCACTATACCATATACTAGTATACAATTTATAGAAACACACAAGAAAGATATTGTTTTCCTACAAAATACTCAATATCCCTAAACTTTTAAGACGGACGTGCTATTCAAACATACGTTAACCTGTCATTTTATAGGATTCATAGTCATCTTCAACTTTTGTTGAGTGGTTGCGGTACGGTGCAACCACAATTTCGACTATGTCATTCATGTACGTGGGTTTTAATCAATGAGGAAGTATGGTTTTAATTCGAAATGTATTCGTGTTATGTCACTCACTATATTGAACGCAGTCATATCGATTGCTGTCAATCAACTCAAGTCTGTCACCGCACAGTCTACGGCTGTTCTAAAACTAGATTCCTGTTTGAAAATTTTCAATAAATGAATGTAAAATGTTGTTAGCTTTTTTACATTTAATATCTGATCTTGAAGCAAATGATTTCGTCAAACTTAAATAATGTACCAATAAACCCTAATATAGTCATCTTAACTAAGGGATTAAATATTGCTAGACTTCATGTTCCGAAGTGTCAGGAGCAATGTATGTATGTAGCATCTGTATTGTAATTATATAGTATACTTCAGAACGCCGTCGTCGGTGGTGAGTGAGATACGCGGACGGGGATTGCTAATATTTCACGCGTTATATATTGTCGAGTGGCTGTAATTAATTTAAATTTCACAATATGTTTTAGACCGATAACCTTCGGTTGTCATAGCCGGTGTCACAATTGTGAATTTTATGAGAAACTTAAAGAATAAAATGTGTTGAGTTGTGTGATTATTTCTGTACTTGTTTTTTGCGACAATCGGCGCCAGAATGTCTGACGAGCTGGAAGCTAGAATGTGGGATGACGGAGGCTCCAAATATGAGTCCCGTAGCCGTGGGCCCTACTTTGAATCCGCCTTTGCTTCCTCTGAACATTTAGACAGAGCTCCTTTGTTATCAGAGGTAAGTTCTTTTTAAAGGCCTGTAATATATTTTATTATGTGCAATAAAAATGTAGTCGCTCATATGAAACTAAATAATTTCATGTTTTAATATTTACACCATTTAATCCTTCTATACAGATGGAAATTGCAGTGTTTTTTTATTTTTTTCTAAACATTACAATATGTATGTATTGTGATTTGGATTTAAGCTGTAATATTAAAATAATATATTAAAATCTATTTAAATTACTGAAAAGTACTTGTAATATATTTGAGAACATTTTATTTGCAAAACATGCATTCAGATTTTTTTTATGTCACTATTTAATTTTTGTACTTAAATCGTACGGCTTGTTGTTCTGAAAGTACTCCGATTAATAATTTCCGACTTATAATTTTATTATATTAAGTCACAAGTACAACGATATATGAAATTGATATCTACATGGAATAAAAGAATAATTATCATGTTGTAAAAATAACCAAAAATAGATTTAGTCATATACATCAAAAATATTTTATATAATAAACCCACAGTATAAAAGTTGGTAATAATTCTTGTGTAAGCTATAATTATGTAAAAATGTATTGTGGTGGGAAAATAAACAATTTAATATTATTTTATTATTTTTATTATTTACTTGTAATAAAATATTCAAAATAATAGTATTAAGTTAAGACACAAAGAACACCCAGATTCAGAACAACATTTTGTGGATCACACAAAGTGTTGTCCCATTTGGGGATCGAACCCACAACACTCGCGTGGCGACCGCTTAAACTACAACGCCATCCGTGCAGTCGAAAATTGTAGGTCAATCTTATATATGAAATTCTTGTGTCACAATGTTCGTTCCCGTACTCCTCCGAAACGGCTTGACCGATTCTCATGAACTTTTGTGTGCACATCGGGTAGGTCTGAGAATCGGCCAACATCTATTTTTCATACCCCTAAATGGTAAGGGTGACCCATCCCGCATTTTTTTTTGTTTTGCAATACAACGTTTGCCGGGTCAGCTAGTTATATTATACAACCATGTTGTGCTTAGATAACATTATCTATACATATAATTTACATTACTTGCCCTGATTAGCTGCTTCATCAACGCAGAGCCTGAACCGCTTACATACCCGCATACACTTGAAATTTGGGAGCTGATGCCTTTTATGTTGTAAGCACCCACCAAGAAACGATTTTTGGAAATTTCTAAGGGGTAAAATAAGTGACAAACGGTTGTATAGAAATTCGTCTTTTTTTAAAGTTAGTAACACGGTATTTAGTAAACCTGGTTACCAAATAAATGTGTGTCTAAAAATGGAGTGTCAGGGGTACAGAGAAGGACTTGGTGTACCTTTTAACAAAACAAAGTCAAGACGAATATCTGAAACTTTAAAAAAAGTATTACCAACTTCAAGGCGCCCACATTATAATGAATTGTTATAAGCTGTATTTTACCACCCTAAGTATGCAATATTTTTACTACAAATTTCAAATTTAATTGAGACTAAAAGGGAAGAATACCCTTCCAAATAAAAAAAGATTTTTCCAAATCGGTTCAAATAAGATTGAAATCTGAAGTATCAAAAAAAAAACCCAATTGAGTAGATACCTTTTTTTATTTGAAGTCGGTTAAAAACCGTGTGCAAAAGCTACTAAAGCATGTGTCCTTTATATTGTGGTTAAGTTCGTATGGTGATCCACTTATTATTATTCAAGCAACACAGCGAACATATTTGAATAAACCAAATTGTTTTTCAATGAAGCATACTTTGTCGTTTATCTATCGTATATTTGCTCCAGCCACGAGTATGTGGCCATGGTTACACGATAAGCAAATATTTGCTAACATTGTAGGCTGCTATTAGCTTTAATAGTAGAATCTTTGGTATTAATTTTGAGATCTACTGTTTTGAACTCGAACTGTATTGTACTAAATTTGAGAGTGACTCTGTCTTTTTGTTGATACATTTTAGCACCCAAACCGCTGATCTAATCTTGATGAAATTTAATATACAAATAGATAGGATTTTAGAGAGCGCTATAAGCTACTTTTTAGCTGAAATAGAGGACTAAACTTTGTTATAAACCAAAAAAGAAAACAAATAAAAATGGAAATAGTATTTTCACGTAAACATCTATTTTTCCTTCTGAATTACTTAACATACTTGAATTGCAGGATATCTACAAGGAATTTTACAAAGTTTATTTACATTATAGTAGGCCAAAACCTCAATTCTAAGGAAAGGCATATGTCCAGAAGTGCACAAATAAAGGCTGTTGATGTGATGATGTGATTGTCATTATAATATTCGCCGACTTTAACTTCATCTGTATAAAAGGTCTTAGGCCAGTAATGCGTATCACGAGGTTGGTGATAGCTTCTCCAACTGTGCTCATTTTTCTCTCTAATACCTCGTTAATCTCTTTCATTTCTCGTAAATCTTCTCTTCTTCCTGCGAGCCTTTTTCTCAAAGTAGGTTGGAGTCGCCGTTTGGTTTACGGCCAAACTTCGATTTTTTCAAGTAGGCAATATCGAAGTTCTGTAGAAAGACTTGTAGGACTTTTTCCAACTACCCGTAACGATTGCCGCAGATGTTATGTTATGTTATGTATATAAATACCGTGTATTTTAATCAAACGACAAATTATTTTCATCTACACCTTGTCCGTTTACCTTTCACTGCTGATATCCACAATCATTATCAAAGCTTTCTATACCCAACTTCTGTCTGCGAGCTTTCTATGACAATTATATATATAATTTTCTATTACCTCACTAATTCTATATATAAGTGGCTTGGATAATGGCTGACTGGTGTGTTGGTCAAGTGGTGAGTGAACCTGACTAGCAAGCCAGAGGTCCTGGGTTCGATTCCTTATGACAAATAATTGTTTGATGAGTATGATAGTTTGTTCTGTGTCTGGTATATTGAGATGACATTAAAATATATATATAAAAACATTTAAAAGTCGAAGTATCGTTTTCGAAACTAAAATGTGATAGTTGTGTTTATTGTACCTAATATGCTTATTTGTAATTAATTTTAATGAGTACATGCCAATACCTAATTCTAATCATTATTTATGGAGTAAGATATTTAAGAGCCATAAAGGTTTCGATGCTTAACGTACGCAATACCATTACTGTGTTATCTCTATGAAAATACATGACGTTATTTGTTATCATATTGGTTATCAATAAGACTTAGTTTTAAGTGTTTCTTAACTCATTCCTAAGAGATGTGCGAAAAAATGAGTAGGTATACATGAAAAGGTACACTATAATATTATGAATGAGAAAGTGTGGCTTTTTTTAGATGGAATGGTGGGCAAACGAGCAGACGGGTCACCTGATGGAAAGCGACTACCGCCGCCCATAACCGCCTGCAACTCAGGAGTCAGCGTTGCCAGCCTTTGAAGAAGGAGTACGCTTTTTTCCGCATACCGCAGCCTATAACTTGTTCCACAGGTTGGTAGTGCGAGCCAAAAAGTGTCTTGAAAAGCGCACAGTGGTGGTGGTTGCGTCCGGTATTAGTTTCGGACTAAGACCGGACGCAACCTTCCGCAATTCCTCCATGATATATACGATAGAGAATGCAGAGCGAAGCTATATCTCTACGTAACACCAAGGGATCGAGCCGGTCGCAAATCTTTTGGCGGTCTTCTTTGAATACGGTCCAGAGGAAGAAGCTAGTACTGTGGTGCCCCTGCATACAGATGAGAACAGTATTCCATATGCGGTCGGACTTGCGCCTTATAGGGTTGGAGGCGATGGGCTGGAGTGAAATACTGCCTCGATCTGTTCAGCTTATCGAGCTTCTTCGAGTCCAATTTGACCTTACCCTCTAAATGACCGAAACCGGACTTCGCTTGATATCTCAATGCCTATGATTGCACTACAAAGAGACTGCAGTAGTGGACTATTAAGGGCTGTTGATGTGTATTTAAGACATATTTTGGTGGGCATTTAAGTTACACTTACCAACACACAAGACTATTCACGACGGACACCTGAATCGATTGATAAAATCTACATTATTACGTAAGCCGCCGGTTATAATTAACAAATTATGTACTCGTAGATAAGGTACATAACGGGTTTTAATAATAATGTACAGTAATATTCTCAAAGGGTACAAGAAATTATGAAGGTACATAATTCCTGTACCTTCATAATTCCTTGAGAATGGTCTCACTGGTATTTTACAGTGCATAAGGTCTAAAGATATGGGTGACCAAAAGGCCAATTCTCATAATAAAAGTTCCGTCAAAATTCAGTCTCCGATCAACTCTCTATCACGCAACTGTGGTATTTTATTAGTAAAATAGTAAAGTATTACTAGCTCTAGCAGATTACTGATTAATTTTTCGGTCACAATACGATATAATGACATTACAGACAACGTTGGGTGTAGTACTTTATCACGAAAATACCTTTTATAACAGTTGTGAGATCGAGACTAGATTAGAACTGATCGCCTAATTTGAAAATTAACAAGGTATAAGTTGATGATTTTAAAGTGTACATACGAACTGCGCCGTCTCCTTCTGCGAGCAAGTTATGCTTGCGAAGGAAATGGTGGAGCGGGACCGGGAGAGGCTTAGAACTCTCCCGGCCCGCCAGGCTCGGGAACGGGCCAGGTACCGCAGACGACTCAGGCGCCAGAGGTCGCAGAACGATTTCCGTCCTCCATAAGCGCAGCCCTGGGGGTGGTAGGTGAGGTCATCTGTCACCCTAGCAGAAGCAGGCCGGGGTGGTAACGAGACGGACACATAGGGGACATATGGGTTCCCGCACAGGAGGGGTCATCTATACGCCGTAGATGGCCCGAGGTACGTCGGGGTACCATGAATTTCCTTTCTAGGGTACACCTTGATCCCCGGCAACTGTTCGAGTACGACATAACCATCCGACCGGTGGGTGGTATCATAGAGGATTTCCGCACAGGAAAAAAAAAGAAGAAAAAGGGGTCTATATACCCCCGGAAAGCTATGTGCGGCGATGTAAATAGTTCATA